CGTGACATAGAAGCTATACCTTACGCGAAAGATGTCTGTTTCTGTATGGCTATCTTCTTCACTGTGTTTGATTCCTGGCCCCGTTTGCTATGGTTCGTCGATCACACGCTCTGATATTGTGCCCTGCCTTACCACATCTACTGCAGTGAGCAGGAGAATCTCCTGAGTGATAGTCCACTCAATTCCAGATACGGACGACTTTAGGGCGACATCTTCGAGATCTTGAATCTGGGGGCTGCGTTTCGTCATTGCTAAATGTGTTCAGATCAACAGAAAAACGTGACACCTTCGTACACCGCCCGATGTTCGTGATGGAGTAGTAGGTGGATACGGAGCTGAGAGGGCAGGGCTGTGCAGTAATCCGGCCCACCAGTAGAAAATAGTACTATAGTACTATTAATATTACTATAGTACTCAGTAACTCGGCCAATTTTGATACTACTGTTACAGCAGTACTCAGTAACTCAGATTGGAGCTCGGATAGTACTATCGAATTACTGCCAAGATCCAGAAGAAGAAGGAACACGCTCCGTTTTGACCACCACACTGGATTTCCGAATGGCTTGATCACTAAGCTGTATGCGGCATCGGTATGTCTATCGTGTCATGTTCCCGTCGTTTACTTCACTCGAACACGACGAATTTGCAAGTTGAATGGCTGCTGGTGAGCCTTCAAGCACAATTGCAAAGTAATTTCGTTCAGCGAGTCCTGTTCGGGTCTGATGCGCAGGCCAGTCTCATTTACTTGCGATCTGAGCGAGCTTTCAGTCACTTTGCGATTTTCATTGCAACCCAGACTTCCTTTCCAGCCCGCTCAACGCCTCTCTCGCGCCAATAAAGTGCTCTTTTGCTGGATGTGACTACCCCGACATCGCGGTAGCGGTTCCTTGCTCCGTTTGCCAAAGGCCGGTCCATCATCTCTGCTCTAACAGCCAATACGACCCGGACAACATCGCCGTGCGGTAAGTAATCTTTAAACATTATACATATTCTATGGTTGAATTCACTTTACTAACAGATGCGTTATAGATTTTGCAGCGCGTCGTGTGTCACGAATTGGAGAGCCAAGAATCTGTCTGCGGGGACTGTTGCTGCGGACGATCGGCGACATACCGGATTAAGGGGCAAATTATGAAGAGGCTGCCCACGCTTACGGCTGAGTCGGTGGTTATCTTGTTGCTCGACCCCCGAACGAAGTTCACGGTCGACAGTCTCATTCATCATCCAAAGCTACGCCAAGAAGCCGCCGTTGGTGGTTGTCTCTGGTGAAGGCTTCGATGATACCGCTGGGCTCGCAGAAGACGCAGGTGATGCGGATACCGTTATAAGCAAGGGCAAGCAAATGCTTCGCAACGCACACCGAGAAGTTTTTCGGGCAATCCACGGTTCCAACACGAATAACAGCCTGCACACGGACGTGGATACACCACCGAACCTGGACTTGGTACCGTCGGTTGACGACGAGTTAGTGATGTGTGGCGCGCCATTGGTTGCTTCATCTTCAAGCAACACGCCTGTGGCCAGCCGTCACGACCGAGTCGATGAGGTCCTTGCGAAGTGGTACCAGCACAGTATGAACTGGGTACCCGTTGCACTCCAACAAGCATCGGACGACCAGTTGACGGAAGCAGACTTCACCAAGTTACTCCTAGTCCGACGCAGAAACGACATTTGCTGGAACTTGCAAGCTCTATGCGAGCACATCGACATTTGCCATTGGTACCGTGAGACTGGGGCTGCAACATTCCCGTCAATTGCTGCTCTTGCCCGTGTATGGCTAGGCCGGAGCCCCTCGAACGCCTTCCAAGAGCGTGTCTTCTCAACGGGAGCCTTTGTCATGGGACCTCTACGTACAAGCACAGACAACCGTCGAGCTAAAATCCAGGTGCTGATGAAGCACAACCGTGCGGAGATTCGGCGAATGGAACATGCGAGCATCCGCGTTTGCGAGAAGATTGACCATGCAGCGTCCCTCTAGTTGGTCGAGCAGCGGGAGCACAAGCGAGAGTGTGGACCGCACAAGCGAGAGTGTGAACCACACTTGACAATATTAAGTTGGTCGTAAGCAGTAGTTAGATAATACTACAGTACTTCTACTAAGTAGTTCAGACGCCGTGAATCGAGTTACTGAGTACTGCAGTAGGCTTCAGCTTTGCATCCTTCTACTGCCGCCAGTACTTTGGAAAAAGTGGCAGTACTGCACAGCCCTGTGAGAGGGTCTTCGGGTCTAAATAATAAAGTCGCTCAAGCGTGAACACATGGGAATTCCATCTCTTGCCATCTCCCACACGAGTAAGTGCGCTGCTGTACATCTACGACTGCGTACGAATTGTCGAAATCTCGCATACCTTCAGCGACGAAATCTGAACTGGGCGACATGAACCGCTTTTGAGCTTCTGCAGTCATCTATTTCGCCCATACGACCAGTAGTGGCTTCCTATTAAGATTAGGCACGCCTAACCTCGTGATAATGAAGCAGCATCTTCCGGGCCATCACACTTAGACCTTGAAACCACTTTTGGCTTCGTTCATCTATCAACCAGCTGTTAGAGCTCTCCGAAATATTTAAAGTCACTTGCCCCAATTGAGCGCGAGGAAAAACATGGGCAATCCAGCATTGGAAGATCTATAGCTAGCTTTTACATAATATCAACACGTCACACAACAGAAACACGTTAGTCATTCCAAATTCGATGTCTGCGATATACTCTGTTGCTAAAGTATCGGTTTCCGCAAATATCTGGTATGCATACTTTGCGGTACGACATGTAGCGAGCTTGCGAATATTCTGGTGCAGATCCATTCGAAACGCAAGACTTTACGTTCTTCTTAATGTGGAAGGCCCATTTTCTGTGTGATCACCAGACATTATTGAGGAAACTGCGCTAGAGATCCCCTTATCTATATCGCTCATCAATAAAATTATCCGACACAGAAGTAAAACTGTACTTATCATTAGATGCGAAAACAAATACGTATGCCATCCATCGTCTTCTGCCGGAGCAATCCCGGCCGCAATTAACATGATCTCATAATTTCCATTGAGCATCGATGCTGCAAGTAAAGTTCATTCCCGGGTTCAATGACACCACATGGAAGCAGGTGCTAGCCGTGGATGCCCTATACCGTAAGGCTATGTACACAGCCTGTAGTTTCCGTTGCGCCTTAACTACGTTTGCAATAGTTCTCGGGTACTGCGTGAAATAGTGTCTAATCGTGGAGTAACCAGGCCGTAACTGTCTTGATTCAATTCCAGATGACGACTGCAGGTGAAAACAAGAGCGCGATGTGCTTGTTGGTAGGAGACCTGAGCTTCACGCACCGTCCTAGCTTGTGCGATTACATCTGCAGGAGTAATAGGCGCATATTGAGATGCCTCTTCAGCCAAGGCTGTCCCCAGAAGCCTTTCGATGTCGCCATACATCGAGGCACACATGAATGCATCGTGTGGCAGGATGGTACGCGAGGAAGCCTGGCCAGATTAGCTCGCACGCTGACGAAAAACGGACAACGTTGACGCTTGTATGCGGTCCTCACGCGTATAGCGTTGTTCCGGGGCAAGACAACTCGCAGTTACCATTCACCGTTTCCTCTGCTCTCTGTAAGAAGCTATGTGAGACAAAACCCAGAGCTGCTCGTTCAACGATTAACGACGCTAGCCTCTGAGTGTGTGGCGTAACTAGACCAACAGAGGCAGTCCCCGGGAGTGATGGGTGGGAAACAAACAATTCATGCGGTGCCCGAGTCGAACGTGGCCTTGTACGCGCGCTCAGTTTTCGTCGCTGTTGAGGCACTGGATGCCGGAGCAGCGAAATGCCAAATGAGAGCTCTGGAGCTACACGACTTCACCGATGCTACCGCAGTGGAACTACCAGTGGTTGATTGGTGGGACGTGACAGACGAAACCACTTGCCTTGTCTAAGTCGTTTGCAGCGCTGCGGTCCATATCCACACTGGGGGGGTTTCTACTGATCTACGGTTATACAGATCTTCGGTCTTGCCGGAATTCTGGACGCTACTGAGGTGTATGTACGTGTGCGCCCCGAGCTGGTGTACATGGACTTCTTTCCGATCCAGCCCGAAAACCACGTTTCCACTTCGCTTTGTGCACCTGAAACTTAGCACATCTTCCACGATCGCTAGCTTGAACGTCTACTTGCTTACGTAAGTATCGCTTTTCTCGATTATTGTTGGGTGAAAATGGCTGAGGCCAGCCATTTTCACCAGTGGGGGGGGGTAGATATAATGCCCACTGGGCTCCTGGGCATTGCCCAATAGCCACCCATCAAGAAACATATGTCGCATAAATACGCAGAAAAGACGATATTGTCGGCTGGTAAATGTTCCAATGCTTTACTCACTTTTTACGCGGTGCCTTACAGCTAGTCGACACTATTTAGCTACAAGCTACTAAACAATATGTATGGTGTGCAGCACACAGCGTTTTAGCTGCTACTAGAGTGTGCACGAATCTGCTTTGATATTATTTCAATTATACGTATTTTGTCTGGATAAAATGCTCATCCGTTGATGAACATTTGTTTATAGCAAAAAAATCATTTTTACTTATAAACTGAATGAAAAATATAATTACCCAACTAAACCGCCAGAGACCTGTACATGTACCATTTTTCCGTAGATGTATCTCCGAGCTCTTGAACAAGAGCTCTTCAGGTTATGCTTTGATCTAAGTAAAATCTTACGAGGCTCGTTAAGAAAATTCCTTTTGCTTTTTTTAAGGATAATAAGTTCTTCTAAAACCCTTAAATGAAATGATAATTTAAAAAGTAGTACTGGCTCAGAGCTACTACTTCAGGTAGTAGTACTAATGCTGAGGTTTTTGACATTCAGAAAAAAAGAGAAAGACACATTTTATATTTCACAGGACCAAAGCCTATTTTAGATGTCGCCGAATTCATATTTTGGATTTAATCCTTTCGGATAATATGGGATTGCATGAAATACTACATGTATTACTAGACTAATTTGCTTGATACTCTTTAGACCGCATGGTGAGGAAGGTTCGACTGGGTGTGCGACCTGGCAGAATCGCGAGCCTCCTGGGCTTCACGCTCCATACGTTTCTTCTCCAAAAACGCGTGCCACACCGTTCGACCGCCCTTCTTCTGGTACCAGAAAATAGTCCACACCAGCGCCACCACCACGATGGCACCCACGATGTATCCAATCACCTCCACCGCGGTGCTGTCGGCGGTACACATGTACACCAGTCCAAGCAGGATACCAGGTGCAACCAGGAAGAGGATCATGAGGAAGATTATAGCAGTCATCGGCCACGCAGCACTGGAGAAAGCCAGAGAACGTGCCCAGCCCAAAATGGGCTTACGGGTAATCGGGATCGGGTAGAAGAGAAGGATACCGAACACGTTGAACCAGAAGTGCACGAGGGCAATAGCCACCGAGTCGGACTTACCCGTCACCAATGCTGCAAGTAGCGCTGTGCCCGTCGTTCCGAGGTTGGCTCCGATCACCAAGGGGTACACCTGCTCCAGTGAGACAACACCCAGACCTGCCAACGGAGTAAGGGTGGACGTGACGACTGTCGACGAGTGAACAACGAATGTGATCATCGTTCCGACCAGGATGTTGATGTAGCCGTTGTAGTTCAGCAGCTTGGAAATGAGACGCTTGGTGGGGCCCATGAAAACCTTGGCTAGCATCTTCACCAACGTCAGCAGAGAGCAGACTAGGATACAGAAGCCGATCACGACCACAATGGCACCGATGCTTCCGTCACTCAAACTGGAACCCTCGAACGCGCCTCCGGTGACGAATGTCTGACCGGGTTCGCACACTAAATCACCAGTAGCGACATCGTAGATGGAGTCCTTGTCCACGACCAGAAGCTCCTTCGCGAGCGGCTTCACGATTGTGTCGACAGGGCTTGAGAACGCACCACTGTCAGTCTGAGCATTGGACATGGCTATCGACAGCTCCTCAAGCGGATGGAAGAGCACTTCCAGGGGGAACAGGACGAACACTGACCACAGGTTGTACATGTCGTGGACCGTTGCGGCAGCCATGGCACGCTGGAAACGAGCACGGTCTCCGACCTGGCCGAACGCCACCATGATGCACGTGATGCACGTACCGATGTTGGCACCCATGATGACATACACACCCTGACGAATCGTCATACCACCAGAGCCCACAAGAGCCACGACGATAGACGTCACCGTACCCGAACTGTGGAGCAGAGCGGTGGCAATGGTACCGATCATCAAACCAGCCACGGGGTTGTCAGCGAAGTCGAAGGCACCCTTGGTGTCACATCCGAGTGCTAGTGTGAAACCATCTCCGATAAGCTTGACAGCCACCATGAAGAAGTACAGTGCGGCCAGCGACGCGGTGCCGTAGATGATACCCCAGATGATCTTCTCCTGAAGAGGTTTCTTGGAGTAAGAGTCTTCCTCTTCATCTTCAATAGCGATATCTTGCTTCTGGTTGGTGTCACTAATAATAGTGCTACGACGTGGCTCAAGGTTTGGCGTGGTCACCTTCTCATAGTCGGCAGAGGTGTCGTGGATCATGGCAACTGGTTTGGGTGCTGGGTGAGAGTCAAGTCGGAAACTGATGTTGAGATTGATGCGAGGAACAGTTGTCTAAAGAACCCTGATGGCAACCGACCACGGACGAGGAGGAGACCACCTTTCTGACAAGAAGCATCCGTTGATGTGGGGTCGAGTGCTGCCTGCATGTATCTGAGACTCGCGATTCAAGTTCAAAGCAGTAACTTCTAGGAAGTATTTCCCACATCTCCTAGAATCTACAAAAATCTTGGAGAGTGGTGTTGGAGGGCGACGATGGCAGGAGGGGGGTAAAGCAGGACACGTACCACGCATAAATGCCGCGCAGACGTGAAAGCCGGCGTTGCGCCTTTTGAGCAAATCTGAATGATCACCCTCTGATTAAAACAGTAACCAATTGATTAATGGCCCATCGAAACTTCAAGATTCACTACGACGACTGGGATAGCCCGTTCTTTCTAAAATCATACAATGGCGGGTACCACAGACGCAGTGAATCTTCCACATTCCTGATGTGATGCGTTTCGAACGCAAGCTGAGATTCATTGAGTCGAAGTGAGGCGCTTTCATCGACTCGCTGACTTGCTTGCTGTACATGTAAACTGTCATCAAAGCTGCGCTCTAAAGCCCCCTGTGCAGTGCTCTGCATAGGGGTAGATGCCCTTGCCGTTGCTGTGTTTCCGTCTATTAATACACCGAAAAGGCTTCTACAGTAGTTTTCTAAAATCGACTAATTTCTGGAAATTAAAATACGCCTGGTTATGTCACGTGAATGCAACTTCAATGCTCTTCATATCGAGACTCCACCGCAGTCGCTTAATGTCGGTTTGGGTGGAGGAGAACGACCCTGGCGCGCGACGCCCTCGCTCTGCCAATATCTGCGGCTATCGCCGGTGTATATTCCCTGCAGCATGCTTGAGACATCGGGTTTGTAACAAATTGTTGCTGCAGCTCTCGTCGACGAGCAAACGAGGTGCTTCGCCACATCGTTTGATGACAGCTGAAGACAAGATACCGTCCCATCAGTTGGTATTGGATCAAGCCTTCAGCTCGTAGCGGTTGAATCGCAGATTCGCGGTAGATGTAGAAGTAGCTTATCTAGGTACTGTACTGCCATCGGTCACGCGAGTGCACATGTACAGCGCTGATTTAGCCCACTGACTACTGTAGCATGTACTGTACTAGCACTTCGAAGTAAAGGGGTCACGGCACGATGAAGCGCAGTATTATACTTCGAGGTAGTCCACAGATCAGCTGTTTTCCATATAATTGGTCGGGCAAGTGCTGTTGAGCCGGGTCAACAGCACTTTCAGTACGGCTATTCAGAGGAATCGTGGACGCCCGCTAAAAGATTCAAGTGATCCTTTTCGTGCACACACATCGCGCTGAGATTACCACATGGCGAATCTCTTAACAAAACGCGTTGAAACAGAAAACAAGAATTACTGTAGTACATAATACAGTCGTGCACCTCCAATTCGGCACCGGTATCAGTCGATACCCTGCCAGATTCTATGATTACGCGAATCGGATGCGCAATTACCTTTGCCCATCACCACCTAGCAATTAACCTCAACTCCTCGCGGAGGGATGACACGCCGCATCGATCTGATTTTAAATTTTGGATCGGACGTCTTCATACAAGCACACACTTTGATTTTTACCGCCAAAGACAATGGGAAATCGCCCTTTCTCCTACATGTCCCCAACTCTAGCACAAAAGCAGTCTTTGTGCGAAGCACAAGTCAGATCCTGCATGCTCTCACTCCGAACTTGCTCGTTGGGCAACGGAGCGCCTTAAGACCCCCCAAGCAGTAAAGCGCACTACCGTCCAGAGTATTCTTAAGCGGTCGGCGGACGTTGCCGCCTTGCCGGATGCCTATCACGACCGGACCGGAAGCGCTGTTGCGCGCCCGCGATTCGCGCGTCTGACGCCAAGATTATGCAGAAGATTGAAGTAAATTTTGTACTGAATTGACAAAACAAATATCAGTGCACTGGATTTGCGTTTGTTTTTTGCTTTACGCTGTGCACGTAATAACAGTCCATTTTATTAGTACTAATATAAGCACACAAAAATTCAGTACTATTTTTTGTTTAGTAAGTACCTGGCACCCAATGTGTACATGCCGCGGTCTCTCACATCTTTAGGTGAGTCTAGCAATTTACTTCAAAGTTTCACACGAAAACAACCCAATCACGCTCAAATAAAGGTTAATTGTTGGCTAGTGTAACCCCGCATGCTACTGCCGTCTAGCGTACTCCACAGGCGGTATAATTTACGAAGATGATTAGGCCCGATCCTAGTTCATTAAACCTCAAGCCACACACGACACGAGGGAAACCACCAACCGAGTATTGAATCTTACCTGTTGAAAAGTTTACCGGGCACGTATATGCCTAGCAAACGCATAGCACATTTCAGTTGCAAGAATGAATGTCCAAGCTACATTTAGAAAAAAATGTAGGGCTCCGCCACCAGATAAACTATCACTGACCACGGCTGCTTCTTTTAAGAGAGCACCATAAAACAATGAGGTGCGTCAGCTCTAGCACAGAACCGATAGGTATCCTTTGCGTATTTACTTCTGCTAGACAACTTTTAATAAGTATTTGTTAGTTTCAATAGTAGCTGGCTACTGAAGTGCTGTGGTGCATTTCACGTTATTTATCTAACACTTTACCCTACAACGCTCGGGACACCACTGCTCTTATGTAGCAGATGTGTCAGGGGCGTTGTCTCGTACGATTAGTGCTGCCAACATTGGTTCGACAGGGTCACAGCACTTGTTGTTGCAGAATGGCTGCAGTTGAATAGTTTTTTACAAACTTAAGCCTCCATAAAAAATTAAACATTAAATCAAGCAGCCGTGTGATCATTATTACAAGGAAGCTTACTCAAAAAGCTTTCAGAACATACCATCGGCACTTGAAGTGAAAACAATGCAGCAGCAACCGCAATATTAATGTAGGCCGAGTTGAACTCGACCCTGTCACACTTCCCTTTTCAGAAATCGCGGATACAAGACCTGTGTCAAACGAGTCATTTGGCAAGTCTCCCATACACTCGAAAAAAATTACAAACAGAGAGTCCTATCGCCAAGCGTTATGCCATTTACCTAGACTGTGTTACAGTTGTTTCACTTTTACTCGAAGAGCTATTGAAACGAAAGGTGCATACAGTAGACAGCAATACACGTAGTTCTGCTCTACGCGCATAATCTTTCCCAAGGCTATCTCCCCGAGAAACCTGCATAGTGCTATCGCCGAATGAAATGTATTAGCTTGTCATAGATATTTCGGCTGATCATCATAGCAGCCCGGCAGTGGTAGCAGTTTACCGTATTTATCATTTTAATTACGACGCAATCTATCTAAAGCCATGCATGTTTTTGTTTTGTGGAGTTGTCATGTGCATAAATAATACTACAAAAATTGTTTTTGTTTTTAATAGGTTATTTAAACGCCTTTTATTGATCAAATTGATCCGTTGAAATAAATTGCCGAGGTCGATGGCACTAGCATCACAACCCGAAAGATAATTCAAAATACTTACTAGATTTCTTAACGGCAATTTTAACGGAGACTCTGGGAGACTTAATCACGAAAGTGTCATCGATCCCTCCTTTGTGCACGGATTCATTGGCATTACCAAAAGCAACATCAGAAGAACGGTACAAGCAGTGTATTCTATCAAATGGCCGTATGACGTTGTTACCTTGCATCAGCACGATTTGTCTTGATCTGAACGTGTTAGCAGCCTATATTTCGCGAAGTTGGAACATGGATGTTTGCGCGTTCATTTCTGAAGAGCAGTATAGATGTAGAAACTTCATGTACATTACAGCGATGGCCACGCCAAGCTTTTTGTTTTTTTTGGATATGCATGCTGATAGAATGGCTTCGGCTAACCAAAACGAAAGGTATTGATAAAAAGATGCACCAACAAAAATACAAAATGTTGTTTAGCAGCTTATTGGAATAAACATTTGGAATAAATAAGCTACAGTATTGATGTAGGCGAAAGCTGCACGGGCCTCCGTGTAATGTAGCCACTTTGATCCCATGGTTGGACGAAATTATTCTACATGTATTATAATGCTTCGTGCAGTACTTGCCGGTGGAGATGCCCTCAGACAAATTCGCTGAATTTTTATTGCAGTGCAGCAGTTTAAGCAAATCACCAAAAAAAATCTCGTGTGTACTGTACCCATGCGGATCATCGTATTTCACCGGCTCGTTCACTGGAGGAGGCGACGCGGCTCGGCATCGTCGAGTCATATTCTTCGGTTGGAGACCGTCACTTTCGCTAAGGCGTAACAGCGCCAGGCGCTACAAAGGCCAACGTACACGCGCAGTGCGGTTTTGACGGGCTTGCTTCAGTTCCAACTCCAAGCCATGCTCACGCGAAGTCTATAAGTAGCAAAGAGCTCGAATTGCCGCTTTCCAGTGTTGTCGCCCAGGGTTCTCGAGGAGACGGGACAACTGTGTCACCAAGTTTCCTCGAACGGGACAAAATGATCCCCTCAAACAAATTACATGTACCGGTAATGGCTCCTATTAAACGGTAGAAGTCCTATAGCGGCAAGAGAAGCCCGGTTCTGTATGTACCGGTGTACTTGAGTTCTTGATTTTCAATTTTTCCAAGCAGCATCTCGATCGCAGCTTTAATGGTCACACATAAAATGGGCAAGTCGCCTGAATGTTATTATTCGATACGGGTATTAATACCGGTTGACATGTATAATTCAATTCTGGTGAAAAGATCCCCTGGAATCCAGGCTGGATGGCAGCCCGAGGCACCAGCACCATTCAACTGATTGCAGATCTTATTGCAGCAGGCTTACACCTCTCAGTTTAACTCAAAAATGCCACCGTGGAACAGTCTGTTCCTTTTGAAGGCATCCAAAAAGCGATAGATGTATGGTATCGGCAAGGCTCGCAAAACATGTACCAACGGTGACTACAGTAAACATCTTCAGTCGACAACATGTTCATGTACATGTATTTATGGTTGGGTACTTTGTTGTACTAAGTACACAAGTACACAATACAGTACTTCTGTGATTGTAAATGTGTACTCGAGTCCTCGAGTTCCGATCGGCACGTTGGTCCAGTCGAGCAGTCAGACTGCTCCGAAACACGCAACAAGAGTCTTGCTGCTGACACGGGACTGATTTCCGCTGGATTTTATGCCGGCTCGACTCGAGTCTCGCAAGCAAAGCGAAGCCAGCCTGTCAGCATACTGTATCACATGCTCAATGCATCAAACAGGCTACTGTACATGTACAACTCCATTGGAAACTCTGTAAACTGCACTTTCACAGCCATCTTTCGTGGAAAATGAACTTGCCGCGTTATTAAGATGCGTGCGTTCGCCTCATATCGCATGCTTGAGAGCTGACAAACCATGTACTGCTACATGTGTCGAGTTTGACGCTGGATACATGTCGACAGCCAACTGAAAGGGCCAGATAGCATAACTTAAGTTTAAGTGTGTAATTAACCGTTTAGTTCTCGGAAGGCGCGAAGTTGGTGGCGATCTTTGACATTCGATTAAGCACAGCGACGGGTCATCTTCGTACCGCCAATCTGATTGGCCATTTTGATGCTTAATCGTCCAGCACTGCAAGCAGAGCAGTGCGAGATTGATATCCGCACACAACCCAGCGACTTCTTTTTCAACCTGACCTATAATACAGCAACACACGCCATGTTAAAATCTACGGAAGATCTGTGATCGTAGCTCGAGGTGGACACGCAGCTTTCCAGCGGTAAAAATACACCAGTCAAAACCCTTTATGAATGCATATTGAAACATTCAGTTAAAAAATCCACCGCCACCGGGCTAGTGAGATTCAGTCAAATCAGCGAGATTCATCTCTGAGATCCGATTCCTCTCGATAGCGGATCCGCCGGATCAGTTGCACCTACGCCAAAAGAAAAACGCGGCAAGCTTGCTTGAAGATGTCTCCACCTTCGCAACTTTTTGTCTTGGTTTCCACGACTTGACTTCCAAGCCTACAAGCGTTTGGTATCACCTACCTTCACCACCACCACTGCTGGCTGCTTTTGTTGACTGCACGCTTATCTCGATTTGCGCGGGACCTTTCCCCAGCCCCAAATCGTCTGGCCCGTCTGGAGTGCCTCTGGCTCTGTACCAACACACGAACGACACACCAACAACGGGTTGGGCGAAGGGGGACGAGCTCGTCAACCCGCTTAGTCGAAGGCCTCGGTCATTCCCGAACTTCCCTCGGCAGATTCAAGTCAAGCCTACAGTCTGGTATAAAGGTACTCGACTAAAAACAGCTTTACTCGATCGCCTCTGCCCCGTGTCTGTGCGTCCTGATCTGGAGATTCGATCTTATCATTCTCCCGCTCGTCGACTAAAGAAGAAGAGACCATGGCCTCGTTCAAGCTGGTCACGGGAGACCTCATCCGACTCGTGGAGACCCCTCATGAGAAGCAACAGAACGTGCTCGCTAGCATGGGCGGCCTCGAGGGCGTTGCCGCTGCGCTCAACGTGGACCCTCGTCAAGGTCTCGACTCGAACAACGCCGCGGATCTCGCCAAGCGTGAGGAATCGTTCGGCAAGAACTACGTGCCGCCCCCCAAGCCCAAGAGCTTCCTGGAGCTCATGTGGGACGCGTATCAGGACATCACGATCATCGTGTTGACCATCTCGGGTTTCATCTCCATCATCCTATCGAGTACAGTGGGCGACCATCCCGAGACCGGCTGGGTCGAAGGAGCTTGTATCATTCTGGCCGTCGTCGTCGTCACGATCGTAACGGCTATGAACGACTACCAGAAGGAAGCGCAGTTCCGCGCCCTGAACGCTGTCAAGGAAGACGAGAAGATCAAGGTCATTCGTAACGGCCAGCCTGCTGAAGTCAGCAAGTGGAGCCTCGTGGTGGGCGACATTGTCCGTGTGGACTTGGGTGACATCATCCCGGCCGACGGTATCGTGTTCGACGAGAAGGAGATCAAGATGGACGAGAGTGCCATGACGGGTGAGTCGGATCTGCTCTCCAAGAACGCTGACAACCCGTTCTTACTCTCCGGCACGAAGGTCATGGAAGGTGTCGGTAAGATGCTCGTGGTGTGTGTCGGCGAACACTCGCAGGCTGGTATCATCAAGAGTCTGATCAACGGCAACCGACCGGGAGCTGCTGCCGGTGGAAGTGACAGCAAGACCAAGAAGAACCCGGACGCTGCTGACGACCAGATCTACGTCGAGATTGAGACCCCCAAGAACGTCGCTACCCTCGAGGAAGAGACCAAGGGTGGAGAAGAGGAGGAGAGTCAGTCTCCTCTTGAAGGCAAGCTGTACAACTTGACGGTGCTTATCGGCAAGCTCGGTACGCTTGTGGCTCTGCTGGTGTTCGTGATCATGTCGATCCGCTTCTCCATCGACACGTTCGGCAACGACAACAAGCCCTGGAAGAGCGGATACGTCAGTGACTACCTCAACTTCTTCATTATTGCTATTACGGTGCTTGTGGTGGCTATCCCCGAGGGTCTACCGCTCGCTGTGACCATCGCTCTGGCCTACTCGGTCAAGAAGATGCTGGTGGACAACAATCTGGTGCGTCACTTGGACGCTTGTGAGACGATGGGAAGTGCCACGACCGTGTGCTCCGACAAGACCGGCACCCTGACGACCAACCGTATGACGGTGATGCAGCTGTGGATTGGAGACCAGGAGTTCTCTTCTGCTACGGAGGGTGTTGGTGCTCTCTCAGACGCCACTAAGGAGGCTCTGTGCGTGGGTATTGCTGTCAACTCGACGGCCGAGATCTTGCCTCCCAAGGTGGACAACGGACTGCCTGAACACACTGGTAACAAGACGGAGTGCGCTCTGCTGCAGTACATTCGTGATGGTGGCGTCGAGTACCCCGAGATTCGCCTGAACAATGAAGTGGTGCACATGTTGACGTTCAGCAGTGCCAAGAAGCGTATGTCCGTGGTGGTTCGTCGTAGTGCGACCACGTGCCGTGTGTACACCAAGGGGGCCACGGAGGTGGTGCTTGGTCTGTGCCAGGACATGCAGCGTGTAGATGGCTCCATTGAGGCTCTGGATGATGCTCGCAAGGCGAAGATTGGTGACGAGGTGATTGAGAAGTACGCGTCTCAGGCGTACCGTACGTTGTGTCTGGCCTACCGTGACTTGGACGTGCCTGCTGAGGAGACGGCTAACTGGTCTGATGAGGATGTGGAGAAGAACTTGACTTGTGTGGCCATTGTGGGCATTGAAGACCCCGTGCGTCCCGAGGTGCCCGGTGCTATTCAGAAGTGCTATCGTGCCGGTATTACCGTGCGTATGGTGACTGGAGACAACATCACGACTGCTCGCTCCATTGCCAGCAAGTGTGGTATCACACAACCTGGTGATGGCTCGTTGATCATGGACGGACTGACGTTCCGTAGCCGTGTGCTGGACGCTCAGGGCAACATCATCCAATCGGAGTTTGACAACATCTGGCCTATGCTTCGTGTGCTCGCCCGTTCATCGCCTAAGGACAAGTACACGCTGGTGTCTGGTCTCATGCAGAGCAACGTTATCCCGCACGGCCCTCAGGTTGTTGCTGTCACCGGTGACGGTACTAATGACGCTCCTGCTCTTAAGAAGGCCAACGTGGGGTTCGCTATGGGTATCAGTGGCACGGCTGTGGCCAAGGATGCCTCGGATATTATTCTGATGGACGACAACTTCAACTCTATCGTGAACGCCATCAAGTGGGGACGTAACGTGTACGACTCGATCGCCAAGTTCCTGCAGTTCCAGCTGACTGTCAACGTGGTTGCTATCTCGCTGGCTTTCATCGGTGCCGTCGTGCTGGAGCAGTCTCCTCTGTCTGCTGTGCAGATGCTGTGGGTCAATCTGATCATGGACTCATTCGCCTCGCTGGCTCTGGCCACTGAGGAGCCCACGCCTCAACTTCTGGAGCGCAAGCCGTACCCGAAGACGCAGCCGCTTATCTCTAAGAAGATGACCAAGCACATCCTCGGTCAGTCTGCGTACCAGCTGATTCTGCTGCTGGTCATTGTGTTCACTGGTGAGAAGTGGTTCGACATCCCGTCTGGCCGCCTTCCTGACCTTCCCGAGGAAATCGAAGATGACCCGACGGTCCACATGACCATCGTGTTCAACACGTTCGTGTGGGCTCAACTCTTCAACGAGCTCAACTGCCGTAAGATTCACGATGAGATCAACATCTTCACGGGTATCACCAAGAACCGCGTCTTCCTGTACGTGTGCGTGCTGCAGGTTGCCATGCAGTACGTGATGGTGCAGCACACTGGTGACTGGTTCAAGTGCAAGCCTCTCAGCGTTGGCCAGTGGTTCGCCTGTATCGGCATGGGCTTCGTCTCGATGCCGCTTGGGCTCGTGCTGCGCTCGATTTCCATGAAGAACGCTCCCAGCTGGATGGCTCTTTGCCGCGAGGTGGACGAGGATGAAGTTCGCAAGATGACTTCGAACTCTGGTCGCGGCCAGGAGCTTTGGGTTCGTAGCCTCGCTCGCATTCGCGCCCAGATTCGGGTTATTAAGGCCTTCCGGAAGGGACTCCAGTCGAAGGCTCTCCTCAAGGGATAGATTAAGTATCAGCAATATTGTTTTCATCTGAACGATCTTGCTTGTCTCTCTCTAAAATTACTTTAAAGACGTAAAACTCCTTTTTTACTTCAAAGCAGTAGTAGTACTTTAGTACTACTTTTCGTGACAATTTTGCGAAGCTACTTCAGATGCACTGATAACTCATACTACAGTATTACTAAAACAAAACGAAGAGGTACTACTTCGTAAGTAGTAGTACCGCAGCAACATCTTACTACTTGTAGTACAACGAGGTTATTCTAGTAGTACAAATGAAAGTACTACTACAAGATGCTTCACAGTAGTACATGTACCCAGATTCTAGTAGTAGTAGATGTACTATCTGACTCTTCTTCGCAGTAGTACTGTACTACTCTTCCTAAATTGTCCACCTTCATTCCACTGTGGAATTTCCACAACAATTTTCTAAAAGCTCATCACTTATCACTTTGGTTTTTATATGATACAGTACTGCGTCCACGTTGTCATTCTTCGATATGCTGTCAAGCACACTCGCCCGGCGCCTCCTGCGAGGCAAGTTTATCATGACACTGCGGGTGCAAAGAGCATGCACAAACACGTCAACGTATCTTTGACGCTAAAATCGTTTTCTTATCAGGTAAACCCAAGCTCCGCAGCTTGACACTCGACACTTTGACCTGGTAGGTGATGATGGTCCATTCTGCAATCTTCCCTGGTAGACAGCAACGCCGCTCGCCCGCCGTCTTACTGCTGGTGGTGCTCCCTCTGCTGCTCGGTTTAGATACAGATACGAAATGAAAACTGCCATCAATGGCCGGCAGTTCGCCTGACAACGTCACACAACAACACGCCGCTATGGAGAAGCACGTGGACCTCACTATTGTCGGTGCCGGACTGGCTGGTGCGTTAGCTATCGTAAACTTATCAAAGAGATACAGTCACTAACCCAAGAGCTTTGTAGGTCTCACCGCCAGTCTGGAAGCCGCCAATCTGGATCCGTCGCTCAAGATTCTGCTCGTGGAAAAGGAAAAGAAGGTCGGAGGCAACTCAGCCAAAGCTTCATCCGGTATCAACGCGGCACTGGACGCCGCCGACGAGCCAGTATTCACACGAGACACTCTGAAGTCGGGTGGTGGACTTGCTGTCGAGAAGATCGTCGACACCTTCATCCCCAAGGTGTGTCAGTCGATACGATGTAGATCCCTAGATTTGAGCTAATTTGTTGCTACTCCAGACTCCAGACACCAAGGAGTTTCTGGAGAAATACAACGTGGATCTGTCGGTGCTCTCACAGCTCGGTGGCCACTCCGCCAAGCGCACGCACCGCAACAAGAGCGGACCCAACATCGGATTCGCAATTATCAGTACACTGCAGAAGGAGATCGTCACCAGAGACAACATTGAGATCCTCACTGGAGCTACAGCTAAGAAACTTTTACTAGCGGACGAGACACAGACCCCTCCGAGCGTGACGGGCGTTGAAGTCAAGCTGGTCGATGGACAGACAGTTTCCATCTACAGTAAGGCTGTGATCCTGACCACGGGAGGCTTCTCGGCTAGTCACAAGATGCTCAAGCGCTTTTCCCCTGGTATGGAGATGTACCCGACGACTAACGGCGTGTGGGCGCAGGGCGAAGGTGCTCTGATGTCGGAAGCCATTGGCGTGGACCTCACGCTTATGGACAAAGTGCAGCTGCATCCGACAGGTTTTATCAACCCGAAAGACCGTGAGGCTGGCACGCGTTTCCTCGCCCCTGAAGCCATCCGAGGCTCTGGAGCTGTGTTGCTGAACAAGAATGGCAAACGCTTCGTGGACGAACTGACAACTCGTGACAAGGCCTCGGATGCTATACTGGCTCAGCCTGGTCAACAAGCGTACATGTTATTGTTCGAGGACGGCGCGAAGGCGATGGCATCGGAGCTGCCTTTCTACAAACACATGGGCATCGTAACGATGACAAAATCGGTCGCAGAAGCTGCTGAGTTCTGTCACTTTGACGACCCACAAGCTCTGCTGAAGGAGCTGAATGATTACGCGGAAATAGCTGGCGGCAACCAGGAGGATCCGTTTGGAAAGAAGACGTTCCCGTACCCGATTGAGCGTCTCGCCACTATCGACACTCGGATGCAGATCGTGGCGATGGAAGTGGCTCCTACCGTTCACTACACTATGGGTATGTTTTGAGTGTACTTAGCAAGTTACCAATGACTTTTGAGTTGTGGATTGTTAACGTATTTGCTGCAGGTGGTGTTAAGATTACGGAGAACACGGAAGTGATCCACAAGAACGGAGAGGTTGTGCCGGGTCTGTTTGCTGCCGGAGAAGTTTCAGGAGGATTACACGGTGCCAACCGTCTGGGTGGCAACTCACTCGCGGAGTGCGTGGTCTTCGGCCGCGTTTCGGCTCAGCAGGCAATCAGCTCGCTACTTTGAATCTGTGTTGCATGTTTCTAAATGGAAGGCTCTTGCGTCATGAACCATGACATGGTGTCGCAATCTTTGGGTCGTAAAACTACCTCGTCCGACAAGGAAATCTACCGTTGTTGCACCCGATTACTGTAACGAGCTTCCGTGCAATGGTCGTTTCTTGGGTTGAGGAAACGTCGCGACCTTGGAAAATGGGGTTTCGTTAGTTGAAACGTGTGTTATTGAGCAGGAAATGGCTTCCACCAGCGCATCCGACGCCGGTGACAGCGAGTCTTGGTCCTCCTCGGAAGGAGAGGAGCAGCTGATTGAGATCTCTTCACACAGTCGGATCCTCATTTCTCCACGGAAAACTCGTCGCCACAGCAAGTCACAAACTAGCCGCGTGAATGTAGTTAAGAGAAAGGATAATCGAGTTCAGCAGGAGCATGACGATTTAAAGGGTCCAAGAGCTCAGACAAGTCTTCATTCTCTAAAATCGAAGTCGTACTGGGCTGCAAGTCCGCGAAAAAAACCAACGAGTAATCAACCAGAGCGATCGAACAACTCCGACAGCTCAGGTAGTGAGAGTGAGGAAGATCTCGCCTCCAGTCGAGGTGACAGTGATAGCGATGACTCGTCAGAATCTGACGAGGAAACGTCAGAGTTTCGTCGAATTAAAAGAAATCAAGAACCCAAGAAAACCACCTCGAAAGCGTATAAACATCTAGCTACGTCCTTACGGGAGTCACTTGGATCACCGACAAGCTCAGGGAACGAACTAGAAAGCTTGAAAGCGACGCTGAAGAAGTTAACTCGACACGATGACAGCGACGATAACCCGGTTACGCAGAAAAGGCCCAATATAACATCCGCCACAGCGTTGCATGAATATCTTACCGCAGCGACTGCGGTAGCTGCTGCAAGTCAGACTCGTCCGACGGAAACCACACGAATGAAGCCAAGACATTCCTCTCTTCACCTGCCCCGATCGAGTTCCAACATATCGAGTGGGTGGAAGAGAAATAAACCGGTATCAAAGCGAGAAAATGATAGTGGTGATCCTCTTCCCAACAAGCTTAAAGGGGGTGCAGTATCTGGGGATGAAGGTCTTAGCTTTGACAAGAAAATCTTCAGCACCCCTCCTCCACCCTTTAAAGTACCGGGCACGTATGCTGGATTTGCGTTTCCTATGAAAAGTAATGTAACAAGCGGAGGAAGCGGTGGGGGTGCCCAAGGGTCTCGAGCTATGTTGGCGGCTCTCAAGGCATTGCAAGACAAGATCGGTCGATTGGAACAAGAGCGCGAGAGTTTATTACAGCAACTTTCAGATGCCAAGTTGACTGCTCGAAAGAGAGAAGCAGAGTTGACTGCAACGGAGAAGAAGTTGTCCTACGAGCTGGGGCAAACCAAGGAATCTGCCAGAGCCGCGTACGACGCACTGCGTTGTGACCGTGAAGAGCTCAAGTTACAACTCGTCAGATCCGAGGAGCGAAGAGAGACGACTCACAACGAACTGCAGCATTTCCAGGAGCTTGCAAAGAATTTATCAGCCAAAGCAGACGAGTTGCAGTCACGACTTGAGATCTCGGAGTCACATCGCTCGCGTCAAAAAGCTGGTAAGCTCTAGAGTTTGGTGCTGATAAAAAAAACGCTCGACAACTCACCCACGTTATGTGCAGAGATGAAGGAGTCTAATAGCAACCATAAACGTGTCGTGGACGAGCTGCAAGCTGAGCTCACTCAAGTACGTCAGAAAGAGCAGGCCACTGTAGAGCGAAACGAGCTACTCGAAGCGCAAGTTCAGCGTGAATCCACGAATTGTGCCGAGAGTAGAGAGCGAATGAAAGACGCAGAGGTATACGCAAGCACTCATCCGCTTGGAGACTGGAGCTGCACCGACTGATCTTTACTATTTCTTATGTAGCAAACAGTGGCGTCGATCTCACAGCTGAACGAAAAGCTGGTAGCCAAAGTTTTGGAGACGACGGAAGCTGCGAACCAGGCGATGAAGAAGAACAAGAAACTCCAACAGCAGATACGTTCGTCAACTCTGCTTCGACCCACAGCTGCAAGTCGTGCTAGTGCAGCAGCAGCCAGCGAGGCAACAGCACGACGATCCTCACATTCCAGGGGAGAGACTCCGGCCAAAACGCTGAAGAAAAAGAAGGCAGCGACCGGAACGGCATCCTCGACTACTAAGAAACCAAAGAAAACCGAGAGCGTCAACAACATGACTCTGTTGCGAGAAGCCAATCTCGGCAAGTACGTCGGTCTTCTGTCCACTGGATCTAGAAATCCAAGCACTAACCGACATTGTTTTCCTTTAGGGAGATCCCATTCTTGCTGGGTAATTCAGTCCAGCCGTCATTCTCGTTGATTGGAAACATCCAAGATGCACTGCGACGATGCGATACAACGTACGTCATGCCGACACTTCTTAGTGGCGCATCGACAACGCCAGGATCCTCTTCAAACCAGCCGACGACAGACAACTCTGCAGCTACCAATAGAGAGGACATTAGTCCAGCACCGCCAGCTCCTTCACAAGCGACACCAACCAACGAAGCCGCATCATCGTCGCCGCCCACATGGGTCCAGTATCACAGTGCCAGCGGCAAACCCCCACCTATCGAAGTGGCATCTGCTTTGCCGAAAACGTACACGAGTCCCATGCAGGTACCTCCCCGTCCTTGTCTTCAATCATCCCATCACCTGACAGTCTGTTCGTTCTTCTGTGTAGTGTCAAATAATGGAGGATCTACACACAGCTATTGCATCTGCTGAGAAGGAGTTCAAAGCTCTCAACAACCGGTATAGAGCTCTAGTCACTCAGATGGAGACAAACAATCGTCGAGGGGTCTCTGGATCTCAAGATGGCTCAGGTATTAGCTCTGCGCAGTTATCGCAAGCTTTGACTCCATTGCTGGACGAGCTGGAAGCAAAAGCGAATCAGCTAAACCTGCTCAAGCAAATCTACCAGCAAGCAGCCAACAGCACCATCAACCCACAAAGGCACGTAGTTGTCAGCCCAGCGGCTATTCGTCGCAAAACGGCGTCGTTGCGAGTGCTCAACACGTATCGACAGCTCGAGAGCGACTCCAAGAACAAAGGAAGTGGACAATCAGCCTCTTCTTGAGATAGATCAACGTATGCAGCCTAGAATAGAGCTAACAATCTAGTCCGACTCGCCAAAGTTCCTCCGTCTCTTCTTGCCTGACGTCGTAGAGCTCGAGTTCAGGTTTTCCCGATGGAATTTTTGAAGCAAGTTGGTCTACAACGACGATAAAGGTAGAAGATATCACGCAGCAGTGAGAACGGCGTTTGAAAGTATTAAGTGATGCTCTTATCGCCGAAATTATTACCATGTTGGGGTGTTTCCGGGCAAGGAGCGTCACGTCCTCGGTCTTGATGATCTTACGGTTGGCATGACGCGCGAAAAACTGCAGCTCCGTCGCCATCACTGCGAAATAACAATGATAATGAGACTGATTTAGCAATTAGAGGCCGTGGTAGTATTGCAGTGGACCTTCGGATTGTTTGTAGACTAGATCGGCGAGTAATGCCATGGCCTCCTTAGACATATGAGGTCTCGGACGGGCATGGTGCTCCTGTTGCTGCTTCTGAGCTGCGGGAGGAGCGACAGTGAGCAAAATAGCCGGAGTAGAAGGTGGGAAGGAAAATTAGCAGACCCTCTTCGTCGCAGATGCGGCCGACAGTGTACAGGATGCTCTGGCGAACGCGCAGCTCCTCGCCACCACCCAGGTTCATTGTCAATTTGAAAATGGGGACTTTCAATTGGTTGCTTTGGATTTGTGGACAAAACACGAAATACACTTCAACTTCGGTACAGTAGCTCTTTTTTAAAAGAGAAGAAAAAAACTTTTAAGTTTAAAAAAGTTCGAAAAAGTAGAAGTGACTGAAGATCCCACATTCAGCTTTGATTGAGAAGAATATTGAATGTACTGCACACGTTTTCCGTCAGTACAGTGAACTCTTTCTCACAGAACGTCAGTTCAGTGAGCTGCAGCAACGATGACGAGCACCAGAAGGTGTGGTACAGTTACAGAAGCACAAGTAGCACGACCTTTTTGCAGTCTGCAATTTGCAGAAGTGGTCTCTTATTACCGGTATAGCTCTTTTTGCTTCGCCCATCGGCAATGAAACTGTCGTGCGTAGAAATGCGGTGTTACCCAGCAAATTGAATTTCACTAGGGTGGGATGTCTCTGCCTTTTGATTGGTCAGGTAATTGTCTCATCCTGGTACGTAATCGATCGAGTGGTCCACACACCTGTCAACTGAAGCAGACGTCTATTTCACTTCTCGATTCGCCTTTACCAGAATACACAAGGCAATGAGCCACAATTCAGGTGCGCTCGCTGTTGCCTTGTACTTGTCACTTGCATGTAAGTAAAGTACTCACCTCCAGTGTGTAAATACGCTGCAGACTTGCTGTTAAACTCGGACATGGACCTGCACGCGGTCGTGAATGGGCTGGACGATTCGCTACCTCTACTGGACATCGAATCCTTGGACAGCGGCGCCGTGTTCGACGCGTCAGTGGACGATATGGACCTGAGCTTCCTATCAGACTTGCTGCAACAGAGCGAGCCCGTGCCGGAGCCAGCGTCACCTGCGTCGACGTCCTCGGTCTCGTCTCCAAGCGCCAAGAGCGACACCGCCGAGAGTAGCGACGACGACTCGACACACGACATGGCGGTGGCTATGCAAAACTACGGTCCAAAGCGTGCCACGGAGCCCAGTGGGCTCAAGAAGGTAGAAGAGCGCAAGGCCAAGCGAAGAGCGCAAGTGGCCGTTAGTGCCCGACGTCACCGTTCCCGCAAGAAAGTGAGTTCCCGCACCTAATATGGAGCTCTAAAAAGGGATATTGTTACTGACTGGTATTGTTGACTGTAGATGGATATGATCAACCTGAAGAAGGCAGCTGATTACCTCATCTACCAGCTAGATTTCCTGCGTTCCAAGCACAAGTTGATGCGTGCTGATGGTGCTGTGGCCGAGTGGGAAGAGAAGGCCATTGCACAACGACACAAGCGTCGTCAAGCGGAGGAACTGAACGCTCAATTGCGGTACGCGCTATTCCAACAGAGCGGCTACGTGCGCGACTTTAAGGCCATGTTCGCGCTCGGGTCGCCGAACACAATGGAGCTCAATATGCGGCGCTTCCTGCACACGTACACGCATCTGCGCAAAGACCCGCAGTCTCGTGAACGTGACTTGGCTTCGGTATGCACAGACGCCAAGCTGGAGCTCGGAATGCAGACGGTTCTTCGCGAGACAGAGGGTATCCCAGTCCTGCGTCCGCATATCAGCACTCGTCAGATCAGCACGAGCTCAACCGAGTTTGGTGCGTCCACAGTGGCCGTGTACGCGTTCGACACGATGAATATGGTCCAGATCTTCCTTGCTGCGTGCGTAGCCATTTTGGGTTGCGGCAGTGAGTGGCCCAAGTACGCGCAGCTGGACTCATACGGCAAGGTTGTGGATGCACCTACAGATAGCATTCGGTACGGAGTCTCGGGATGCCGCTACCGCAGTGACGACGGCCAGGACGAAGTGGCCGTCGAGAGTCGAGGACTATCGTACTTTAAGATAATGGACCAATGCGCAGTGCTGCTTTGGGACTATATCGATGACGACGACTTGTACCCGATGAACAGAAACACTTCGGTCAAGCGCGACATCATTGGAACGTACGTTTTATTCCGACGCTGATGTTTTTCTGCTGTGCTCACAAGAGTGCTAACGTCTCGGTGGACTTGTATTGTGTTGATCAGTGTGGTTGTTCGTCCTGAGATTTGCGAAGATGGCGTCAAGCGTGTGGTGTGCCGCAGTATTTGCACGAAGGTTCACTCGGCCAACATGACGCAGTTGTCTCCGGACATTCGTCGATTCTCCGAGTCGAAGAAAATGGGTGCGCAGATTTGTGGCTCGATGGTTTACCAAACCATTGTGGGTCGCTGCCCCGATGCCCGACCAATTTCGGCGTAAGAAGCCGTCATGTAGTGTAGTGCGATTCTTTTCAAGTTGATTATTTAGCCGTGTACTCTTTCGGTAGCAAAAAAGAAGAAACAATACTTACTAAAGGGTATGTACATGTAGCAGCACTCGATTTACCTTAACAGCATTGAATTCGACTAAAAAAACTTTAAGACACCGCACAAACCAACCAAACGGGTGCATTATATGGGGTAATGCTGGTAGCAGTAGTACGTGTACATAGAGTGATGTTTTTAGCATCGGAACAGGACCGTATCACTTCAATACGAGCTGATCACTGCATCACTCTTGATAGTCTCGTACACCAGTGACCCGCAGATCTGAGCACATGCATATTGCAGCTGTCTCGACTTCGAGAAGCGCTCTAGCGTCGGTCACCTCGGACGAGTCCAAAAGGTGCACCTTTGTGCAAATATTACGGCAAACAATGCGCTCCACGCCGTCAAGGCAGGTCTCCGGACGCACCAACACCCTACACAAACGTTAAATCAGTTGTCTCTGCATCTGACCACAAAAGGACAAGTCCAAGCAAACTGACGCTCCCGTCGTGCAGCGAATGGCGGACGTCTTCGTCTCCAGTGGATTCAAGTCGTCCGCATCCACATAATCCCACAGGAAGATACCGCAGTCCTTGGTCATGCGGTAGTACGAGATCTCTCGGCCCTCCACAGACACCCGATCGCCCGTAGCGTCGCTCTCATAGACGTTGTGGGACTTCCCGTATTGAATGTTGAGCTTCGTTGGAGGTAAATCTGCAGCCTTGAATGAGGAGGTCACAAGCCTGTAATTTGGCCAAACTACCGCACAGTTCATGACGGCACTGCACGTAGCTTTGAACGTTTTACACGCGTTTCGAGTTTCCAGCGCGTACACAGCCACTGTGGTCATTCCAAAGCCGTCACGTCCCAGATCGATATGCTGGCAGGCAATGTGAGGCGTCGTGAATGGCTTAATCCCACCCGTTTCCTCCATGATGATCTGCTTAGCCATGTCTAGCTTCGCATCGGTGCAAACACTCTCCAAATTTCGTACTCGAGAGTGTTGACCCTCCAGTAGACGCGTGGGTGTGTGGAGGAAGTTGCGCATATTTAGTTCAGTACTGCACGGCATCGTGTCGATGAACATCGACCGGAGGTTCCGTACAAAGCCACTTTGTAAAAATAATGCTTGTCGTAGCTGTTCATTCGTCTTCTCCGCCTGTCGCCGCTTATGGCGCTGTGCAATGGCTCGCTCTTCCCACGCTGCTACGGCGTTATTAGCACGCGATTGTTTGTGTCTTGAGTGGAGAGTGTCCAATTGTTGCTCCAAGTGAATCACCTCAGTCTTTAATGCCACCCTCTCCCACTTCGTACAGAAATCAAAAGGCAGTTACAGCTGTTTACCTTCTTTCTGCACCTTAATAGTCGCCGAGCACTGCTGGCGACTTGTGCTCTCCGTCTTGCATCGCGATCGGTCAATCCTTTCTCTTATTCCAGTTCCAGCTCAGTCCCTACCGCACCCAAATGACGACAACAGCGTCTTCTTCGCCTCAGTATCCGGCGTACTGCTACTCACGTTAGCTGCATCACTACTGCAGCTGTTCGCAGGTGACGAGACTCCTGTCAGGGATCCTGACTCGTTACTCGATGGTAGAAACTCCGCTTGCGAGCTGTTGTCGGACTGCAGCAAGTCCGACAAGAAGTTCATATCGAAGTCACCTGTTGAGCTTCCACTGTCCACCACCCCACAAGCGCTTAGATGGAGTGGCTCATCCACTAGGTCGCCAATGCGCAGTTCCAACTCCTCCGGTACCAGGAATTCTGAGGATGAGATAGCAAATTAGCAACTTAACAAACGATTAAAAAGAGCGCTAAAGGCGACATTCCGAACCAGCATCGAGCGAGTCGACCTCTAACGACGCGAGAGACGCTAAGACTGACTCGTCGGTCATTTTATCAAGCGCCTCCATTCGCGCAGAGCTGTCGCCGGTTTTCTCCTTTGTAAAGATTGTCGTATGTGATGACGAATCTTAGTTTTAGCGTCTACATGTAGAAGTGTTTTAGTCGATCCAAATTTATGTTTTGTTTACTCTACGTACGCCATTGAGTCTTGCCAGTCCGTGGCTCCTTCCTTGATGAATTCGTACACCATCATGTCTTCCAGCAGTGCATATTCGGCAACATTTAGTGATGGTTTCGGCGAATTCACGAGTATTTGCATGTCCGTGCAAATATTGCGACAGACCATGCGCTCCACGCCGTCCGCGCAGACCTCTGGACGTAGTACCAACCTGCCCCATTTCAGCAAGTTAGAACTTCTTTTAACAAGTGTTCTTAACAGCGATATCCAAATAAACGTACGCTCCGACGGTGTCACGCTTGATAAATGTGCTACATTTCAACGGGTACGAGTCGTCGTCGTCGACAAAGTCCCAGACCAGAACACCGCAAGACCCGATCATTCGAGAATAATAAAGGTCCCTCGCTTCAGTAGAAGCTTGAGCCTTCGTCACGTTATGCTGGTAGCTGTGCTTTGTGATACCGTACCGAACATTGAATTCCGTTGGGGGGACGTCTACAAACTTCATCGATGACTCAATTCGGGAGTGATCAGGCCAAACTCCACAGGTATTCAGTATCGCCCTGCACGCCACGTCGAATGCCTTGCTCGCATCTCTAGTGTTGAACGCATACACTGCAGTGCTGGTCTTGCCGAGACCCTCAGCGCCTAGATCGAGCTCCTGGAACAGAATCTCGGGGGCAGTAGAAACCGGGATGGTCGCTGTTTCGCGTAACACAACTTGCATAGCACGGTTGATCTTGGTGGCCGTGCCGACAGCTTCCAAGTCTCGCATTCGGAGGTGGGGCTCTCTTCGGAGGTGAGTGTACATGTGTAGAAAATGCCGCATATTGAGCGCTGCGCTTGGAGGTGCCGACTCGGTAAAAATGGACCTCGAGTCGCGACCCACACCGGTATAGGTAAATAGTGCGTGCTTCAGCTGCTCATTTAACTCCTCAGCTTGACGCCTTCTGAGTCGTTGAGCAATTGCCTTCTCCTCCCAACATGCAACAGCACTATCTGCGCGGAGCACGTGATGTCTGCGCCGTAATGCGTTCAGCTGCTCCTCGAATCGGTGAGCTTGCTCTATCAACGTCACCAGCTCATTCTGCAATAATGAGAAAGCACGTTAGATACCAGTGAAGATTGCTTATAACCAGTATTACCTTCTTGCGGGAGCGGTAGAGTCGAGCATTCTTTGCACTGAGCATTCTGCGTCTCTCATTGCGGCTGTCTGTTTGAGCATTATCGTCCACAGACTCTGGCGATGATGACACCAGCTTATCGCTGTGCTCAAACCCACTAGCAGCATTCGTATCATCGGACGACTTTGCGCTACTGGTGCTTCCACTTACTGTGGCTTGACGATGAGGGCGACGGTGCTTTGTTCATCATGGGAACGGTGACATTTGGGACGTCATTTGGGACGTTCGAATTTTGAGACAGAAGCTCAGACAAGAAGGTCAAGTCGACCTCGTCCATTTGACTGGTGGGTTCTCGGTGCGTCTCAAAATCGGCAAAATTAAGAGAATCGTGTCCACCTAGAAATTCGGATACAAACAGCAGCTCATTAGTGAAAGAGGGTTAGACTTTAATGTCACGGGCACAGCAAGGACGCTATAACGCTGGGTGGCTGGATCGAAGGAACCGGGATTCAGGTCGACGGTGCGAAACTTTACCTAGCACGACGTTGGTGGAGCTGTCGGGTGCCTCTAGACGCTCAGTACTACCGGTATTCTTCATCAGGAAGCGGGATTTAGTGGAAAATGTAAAATGTCATTATGCACCACTAGGGCTAGGGAAGGGTTCATCAATCTGAATCTGGAACAATTAAATTATTAAGACTGATTTAAAAAAAAAAAGCTAAGTCAAATCTAGCTTATCAAAACTAGAATCGTCGGGAGACCGAAAAACGAAGTAAAGCTATGACGACCGTAAGGTAGCGCCTGAACTGAAGAGTACCGCGTCTACAGGGCCCAGCTCACTCGATATTGGTAGGAAATGAAAATCCCCACACGAGCGTTTGACATGATGTAGACATTCCGTTGTGAGCTATAAAACTTACCTGCGTGTCGAGCGCCAGTGCATTGCAGTCTGCCAGTGTCCGGTGCCCCCATCTACGAGCCACCGTCCACTTCCAGTGTCTGCAAAGACACATCCCAAGGACACTCATGCGCCTGGCAGTGCAGCTTGCGGCTGCACTACAACCGGCTACACTGAGTACACATGCGTGCAATGGCGAAGGACTATACCAAGGACTGTATGCACAAGGACATCGTTGGCTGTGCGCTGCCAAGATGGTGTACTCAAACGAGAGTGCATTTATCTAGAGTTTAGTATTGACCTATTTGCTATTTGTATACTAATCTACTTTTGCGGTACAGCGGTGTTCTGGCGGAGGCTGCTCCACACTTTGCGTTTTGACGCCTGCCGCTCATCAGAGAGCAGCAGAGAAGAGCAGCCTCGCCAGACACCGCAGTCCTGTCGCGGCCTTTTGCCCGGCACTTACGTGTTTACGTTACTTCCTGATTAGTTTCCTAAAGTTGACATTTAAGTGTATTTACATTTAAATGGCTCCTACTTTTAGAAGCGATCGACACATGGAGAACAATCCCCCCGCGACGAACCCTACGTCACCACTGGTTATGAGCCCAATCAGGGCGCAGTCTGCGACTGACGTGGCTGCTGGCGTTCCAGACACAAGTTCTGGAATTTCGACCAATCAAGATCAAGCTTCAACCCCATTGGCAGGAAATTCAAGCTTGAACAATGACGCAACACTGTCGCACAGTGATGCAGAACGACTAATTCGTTCATTGGCTGGAATCCCGGGTGGCCGCCCGTTATTCCAAATGTTACTCGAAAGTATGCATAAACTTTCGTCGACGAACACGGAAGAATCCGTGCCAGTTGACAATCCTCCCCAGTCGCCGCTAAACGAACAAAACGGCGACCGAGACCCTGACGATCCGTGGCGCCCTCTAGACAACATGAACCCTACTGGCCGCTACAACGACGGCGAGCTGGCTGAGTACACCAAGGTCCTTATCAACTCGCCTCCGATCAAGCTGCCCAAGCTACATCTGAAAGGCGACTACAAGGCCTGGAAGAGCGAGGTGCCGTTGCACTTCGAGCCGAAGATGCTGGGAGACATCACCTATGGCCCTGAGCGTTACGATGCAGTAGAAGGCATGCGTCGTGACAAATATCGCGTGTGGTACAAGTCGCGCAAGAACAAGGCATTCTCAGCACTCGCGTTGTCGCTGTCTGTTGACCTACGTACGACGTTCAAAATCGACGACATCCACGACAACATGGACGCCGCCGCTATGCTCTACGATGCGATTACGCAGCACTTTGAGGCTGGAGATGGTATTAATCCTGATTACCTACTGCAAGAGCTAGTGACGCGCCGGCTCAAGCCAAACGAGTCAGTATCGCAGTATGCTGACGACATTGCAAAGAAGGTGACACTTCTACATCAAGCTAATGGTGAGTTTGCTGAGTGGCAACATGCAAGCCTACTACTATCGAACAGCGTGGAAGCGTTTAAAGATCTCGCCCGTGAACACGGCGATTGGCTTAACAACCATGATCGTAAGACACTTACACTTGCTAAAGCTTTACAACGACTACGCGCTGCTGAACACCAGCGTGACCAGCTGCGTGCACAGACCAGACAACCGGTCGCGCATTCAATGCAAATTGCTCATGTCGGAACGGACCAAGGACAAGGTCAAGCCCGAGGACGCAAGCGCAACAAGCAACAGCGCAAGCGATCTAAGGGCGTTGCAGATAAGAAGCAGCGCACAAACTGCGCGAACTGTCAAGGAGAAGGACATTGGTATGCCGAGTGTACGGCTCTCACTGGCCAGCAACTGAAGCCAGAGCTCGCGAGAAAGCTGCAAGAGAGACAACTAAGGGCTCCCGTGTCGCTGGTGAACTCTGTACGTCGTGTGGATGCGGTAGCGTCGGAAGAAGATGGCCAAGGACTGTTTGCTGGCCTATCACTATGCGATGCGAATGCGATTGACCTTACGGATGGTGCTGCCCTATCGTCTACGGCTACGCAATCACCTGCATGGTCACTAAAGTCTCCTGCAGAAAGTGAAGAAGGAGGAGAGCGTCGTGTTGTTGAAGGGGTGCGGGCAAGTACGCAACGCACTCAATCGTCGGTTGCGCAAGCAACGCAGCGACTGCAGCTGCAAGTTGGAGTTCCTGTTCAACACATACAAGTTGGAGGACAAGGACTACAACAACGACAATCAACCTCACTGCCTACACTGCAAGCACCAGCTGTAGCTGTGCAAACTGCCATACAATCTGCGATACAACCTGAAGTGCAACCTACTGGACAACCTGCTGTTCAACAGGGTGTACAAGCTACTGTACTGCAAAACATGCAACCTACTGTATCGAGTACTGCGCAGACTCAGTGGGAGGGCAATCGGTCTACAGCTGGATTGGTGCCTACGTGGGAATCAGTCATCTACTACTTGGGGCAAGGACTGTCGAGTAACTCGAAAGGGCCTACACTTGAGCCATGGCGCAATCAAGCTGAACCACAAGGGGGTTCGACTGTGCCGGGGGATAGCTGTCGAGGTCCTGATGTCGGGTTTAACAGACGCCAAGAATCAGGGATGCGCAATGATTGCAGACCTAACTTGGAGAGTGCGTACGAGAGAGGACTCTGGAGTCAAGATGTTGGACACTTTGACCCTCCTATTCAAGGACGAGGACGAAGTCGTTCACCACCCCGATTCTTCAATCGAGAACGAACTCCACCAAGAGGAAGAGGCCGTTCTCCGTCAATGCGAGGGTGTGAACCAAGAGGAAATCCAGGGCGTTATCGATCTCCACCGCGTCAGCAGCAGTGGCGTAACGAGAGACCGAGTCGCTATGAGCCGCCACCTCAACGTGATGATCGACTGAGTCGCTATGGACCGTCGTCTCCGCAGCAGCAGTGGCGTGACAATCCTTCGAGAGGACGAGGACCTTCACCTCGACGTGACAATTTCCAAGGGCGGAACATGTCTCCGCGTCGATTTGAAGACCGTCGTGAGAACAGACCACCCAACTCTCGTCAAGTCAACGCTGTGAACCAGAACCAAGGTATGCAATCAGCTCAGTCTGAGTTTGTGGAGTGGATACTTGATTCAGGATCCCAGGCAAATGTCTGTGGTGACCTGTCATTGTTTACTACCATAAGGGAAGACCAAGCTAGTCGACTTGACTTTGCGAATGGCACAACTGAACACACTTCTGTTTGTGGGTCTGTGCTATTGCGTGTTGTTAACCAGGCAACTGGCCAGCTCGAGGACCGTCTCCTGGACGACGTGGTGTACACACCGAACGCGAAGGTGAACATCATTAGTTTGGGCTACCTACAAACGAAGGGCATTTTCAAGTTGACATGCTCAGAGGACCAACAGACTGCTTGGATCTCCAAGCCAAGCACATCACTCAAGTTCAGGATGCGTGACAGTATCTACCGACTACGTGCAGAAAGAGTGACTGGAGTAATGGTGATGGCGGCTCTAAAAGAGGACATGGACAGCAAGAAAGCCATGGAGCTGCTTCACCAACGATTTGGTCATATGAGCATGGAGACGGTGAAAGTGTTGGCAAACAAACTCGATGTTGGAGTTAAGATGAATGCAAAAGGTCTGACTTCCTACGAGTGCGTTGCTTGTGCTGCCAGTAAGGAAAAACGAATGTCTTATAAACGGATTCCATCGCGGAAGTCCGAACCTCTGGAGACTCTCATGATGGACATTTTCTCTGTGAACGAACAGTCTGTGGATGGAGCTACAATGTTTCTCTTTATCATAGATGAGTCTACAAGGTACAAGTGGCCGTTCCTACTCAAGAAGAAGAGTGAAGCAACGTTTCACATCAAGGTCCTACTGAACAGGCTGCGAACTCGTTTTCCTGAGAAGAAGGTGCGACGACTACACTCTGACCAAGGAGGTGAATTTGCAAGCAAGGAGCTAAGTGACTACTGCGTCGACCAAGGGATTGAGCAGCAGTTTACGAACGCCTATTCTCCTCAAGAGAACGGCATTGTGGAGCGTGCTAATGGCGTGGTTCTACCAAGAATCAGAGCGATGCTGATGGCTACACACATGCCCAACTCCTTGTGAGGAGAAGCCTTCCTGCATGTGGTGACGACGTTGAACTGGTTGCCCACCAAGCCTTTAGGATTGGTGTCCCCGCACCAGAAACTGTACGAATCGGAGCCCATGCTGGATGATTTGCGTACTTGGGGCTGTCTGGCACACGTGCGTATTCCCTCTGAGTCAAGACAAGCGAAAGAAAAGCTGGAAGCAAGGGCAAGACTGTGTTTATTACTGGGTTATAGCGAAGCGACCCTAGGCTACAAGTTCATTGACCTGGTGACAGCTCAAGTGGTGACAGCTCGTAGTGGGAATGTGAAGTTCCATGAGGAGTTCACAACCGATGGCATCTACATGAAGCATCTATTAGAGAACGCATTCTTTGATGGTGATCATACTCTACTCAGACTGTACCTGTGGCGCGCATCAAGACCAACATGGAGACGTACCTTCCAGGTTGGAGTGACGGCATCTCTAGTGCGGAGAAGCCACTTGAGGCGGTACCACTTGCTGACGAACCTGCAGAAACTGAGTTAAGTTCAAGTGGGAGTTTGTCAATCGCTGACGCACCTGTGAGCAAGGACAGTGCGGAGACTGCTGGTGTTGCAGCACCAGCCGTGTTGCAGGATCCTGCTGAAGAAACCGAGAAGGGTTTGGAAGTGAGGAAGCGCAAGAGACGCAGAATAAAGAAGAAACCTGTAATGGTGGAGAAGGAGACAAGTGGCTTCGAGATTCAACCTCCATCAAGAGAACCCTGCCTAAAGCGACCAAGAAGGAAGCAGAAGGCAAACGTTCGACTGTCGGATTACGTGGTAGGCCTAGTGCAGGCTATGACTACGGATGTGCAGATTCCGACGACGTACAAACAAGCACGTGCAAGCAAGTACTGGCAGCAGTGGAGAGCTGCAATGTTGGTGGAACTTCAATCGTTGAAGGGTCACAAGACCTGGAAACTTGTACCCCGCAAAGATGCCAAGAAAGTGAAGGTGATAACGTGTAGGTGGGTCTTTGCTGTGAAGCGAGATGAGCGTGGACGAATCAAACGTTTCAAGGCGCGACTAGTGATCCATGGATTCAAACAACAACTTGGGATTAACTACTCTGAGACCTATGCACCTGTGATCCGGTTCGAAACCATACGTGCGGCTATCTACTACGCTGTACAAAGAGGTTGGGAGGTGTTGCAATTTGACGTGAAGACGGCTTTTCTGTATGGAGACTTGGACGAGACTATCTTCATGGAGCAGCCTCCTGGCTTCCAGGTGGATGGACCTGGGTCCATTTGCAGATTGTTGAAGAGCCTGTACGGACTGAAGCAAGCACCGAACGTTTGGATTCGCACGCTTCATACGAAGCTTGTTGCGATGGGGTTTACTAGGACGGACTCTGACTACGGCCTATATGCATTGAGGAAGGATGGTGAAGTCAAGTTGCTATTGACTGTATACGTGGATGATCTACTGCTGATGGGTTCACGTGACCTGTGTGCCACAATCGCTGCCTCACTGCAAGAGACATTCGAGCTCACGACGATGGGCACAGTCAAATATCTCTTAGGCGTCGAGATCCTGATTGACCGGCCGCGCCGGCAAATAGTGTACTGCCAGAAGCAGTACGTACTGGAGGTGTTGAAGCGTTTTCATATGGAGAACTGTAATGGCTGCGCTACACCAGAAGCTACGACGCCCTCGAAGACAGACGTGCCTGCTTCGAAGGAGTATCTTCCCTACAGAGAACTGGTGGGTGCTCTCCAGTACCTCGTTAGTGCATCGAGACCTGACATAGCTCATGCTACCCGACACCTGGGCAAGTATCTTGCGAGCTATGATCATATGCATTTCGCACAAGCCAAGAGGGTACTGCGTTACCTGAAGGCTACATGTGACTACGGACTAGTGATGAATGTGAAGCTACAGACTGATGTGCAAGTTAGTGGCTACTCTGATGCTGATTATGCGAACGACCCTGTGGATCGACGGAGTATCAGTGGCTACATCACTATGCTGGACGACAACGTCATCTCCTACGCATCTCGCAAGCAAGAGATCAACGCGCTTAGTACCTGTGAAGCTGAGTACGTAGCAATGGCAGAGGCGACCAAGGACTTGTTGTGGCTTGCTGGCCTATGCAAAGAGTTGAGCTGGAAGCATCCAGTACCTCAACTACTGGGAGACAATCAAGGAGCCATTGCCCTAACTGCGAAACCTGGCAAACATTCGAAATCGAAACATATCGATAACAAGTACCACATGATCAGACGCCATGTGGAGTTGAAGCAACTTACAACCCAACACATCGGAACTGATGATATGGTGGCCGATATAATGACAAAGGCACTTGCAGTGGTGAAGTTCACACACTTTCGCAAGGCTATGAAAGTCTTACCTATTGTGTCGAGCGATGACAACGTATCCGAGGACATGGCTACAACTACGACTACTGCTACTGCGTTGACTACTGCTGTTGATGCGGAGGCTGTACCTGAGCGACATTGATGAAGACGAGGGCGATCGAGTGGGAGTACTGTTACTGAGTGGACTGCTATTGCCTTTGAGCTGCGACTACGCTACTACTAGGACTATGGCGGCAACTAGGATGCGCGTGTGTGATCGCGTCGACTTCCAAGTGCGTCGCCGAGATCAAGTGGGAGTGTGAGCTATAAAACTTACCTGCGTGTCGAGCGCCAGTGCATTGCAGTCTGCCAGTGTCCGGTGCCCCCATCTACGAGCCACCGTCCACTGCCAGTGTCTGCAAAGACACATCCCAAGGACACTCATGCGCCTGGCAGTGCAGATTGCGGCTGCACTACAACCGGCTACACTGAGTACACATGCGTGCAATGGCGAAGGACTATATCAAGGACTGTATGCACAAGGACATCGTTGGCTGTGCGCTGCCAAGATGGTGTACTCAAACGAGAGTGCATTTATCTAGAGTTTAGTATTGACCTATTTGCTATTTGTATACTAATCTACTTTTGCGGTACAGCGGTGTTCTGGCGGAGGCTGCTCCACACTTTGCGTTTTGACGCCTGCCGCTCATCAGAGAGCAGCAGAGAAGAGCAGCCTCGCCAGACACCGCAGTCCTGTCGCGGCCTTTTGCCCGGCACTTACGTGTTTACGTTACTTCCTGATTAGTTTCCTAAAGTTGACATTTAAGTGTATTTACATTTAAATGGCTCCTACTCTTAGAAGCGATCGACACATGGAGAACAATCCCCCCGTGACGAACCCTACGTCACCACTTCCGTTTTCGTCGCTAACTCGTTCTCGTACTCAGACTTCTTGGTCCCCGAAGAGATGGAACTACAGACTGGTACCTTAGCGGACGAACCACTCCATCTAAACGCTTGTGGGGTGGTGGGACACTGCAGTGACCCAACGGACGACTTGGACATGAACTTCTTGTCCGACTTGCTGCCGTCCGACAGCTCGCGAGTGGAACTTCTATCCACGAGTAACGAGTCAGGGGACTCATCACCGACAGGCAGTCTCAGCAGTGATTCAGCCGATACAAGTAGCAGCGCGAACGAGCCCATGAAATCTGGTAGACCCAAGAGAGCTAAGCCGATGCTGTCTCCGCCTTCGTATTCAATACTGATTGGGATTCTGTTTTTAAGGTGATGAGAGTCCCACCTGTATGAAGGTATCCAGACTGCTGAGTTCTATGACAAGCTCGAGAACGTGCTTGCTACCCAGACTAACGCCTTCAAGGTAAACATTGCTCTTGGGTACGATCTCATAAGTCTAACGAATGGCAATTTTACCCAGTACTGGCACCCGAATCTGGCTACCACTTACGTATTTGAGACGACCAAGGCCCCAGCTCTCCAGTTACAGTGCCATTTTACCATTACTTTATTGAGAGTCGTCAATAGAAATTGCATCAGCCGCGGTGTTGCCAACAGGAAGTAGATTCGTACATTCATCTAGAAGCTTTGCAGGAAGAATGTAAAATGGAGCCCTTGAAAAGAAGAAGCCAAAACGCAAAATTTTAGAGAAGCTAGCAGAGGCTGAGCCTGGACGGGAGCAAGAGAGACGACAGACCGATCGCAAGGCAAGACGACGAGCACAAGTCGCCAGCAGCGCTCGACGCCTGCGTTGCAAGAAGAAGGTGTGTTGGTCACCCGGTGGATGACGTGATTGACTCACTAATATTATGTGTGTACCCATTACAGAACGAGAGGATGACGCTGGAGACCGAGGCGAACTACTTGGAGCAACAATTGGACTCTCTCCGCTCAAGACACAAACAATCGCGTGCTAATAACGCCGTAGCAGCGTGGGAAGAGCGAGCCATTGCACAGCGCCATAAGCGGCGACAGGCGGAGAAAACGAACGAACAGCTACGACAAGCATTATTTCTACAAAGTGGCTTTGTACGGAACCTCCGGTCGATGTTCATCGACACGATGCCGTGCAGTATTGAATTAAATATGCGCAACTTCCTCCACACACCCACGCGTCTACTGAAGGACCAACGCTCTCGAGTACGAAATTTGGAGAGTGTTTGCACCGATGCGAAGCTAGACATGGCTAAGCAGATCATCATGGAGGATTCGGGCGGGATTAAGCCATTCACAACGCCTCACATTGCCTGCCAGCAGATCGATCTGGGACGTGACGGCTTTGGAATGACCACAGTGGCTGTGTACGCGCTGGAAACTCGAAACGCGTGCAAAACGTTCAAAGCCACGTGCAGTGCCGTCATGAACTGTGTGGCGGTATGGCCAAATTACAGGCTTGTGAACTCCTCATCAAAGGCTGCAGATTTACCCCCAACGAAGCTCAACATTCGATACGGGAAGTCCCACAACGTCTACGAGAGCGACGCTACGGGCGATCGGGTGTCTGTGGAGAGATCTCGTACTACCGCATGACCAAGGACTGCGGTATCTTCCTGTGGGATTATGTGGATGCGGACGATCTGAATCCGATGCAGAAGGAGACGACTGCTAGGCGCTGCACGATCGGAGCGTAAGTTTGCTTTGTTTTTGTGCATTTGCAGTAGTAGACACTGACTATTGGTGTGTATGCTGCAAAGTGCTGGTGCGGCCTGAGATCTGTGTTGACGGCGTGGAACGCATCGTTTGCCGCAATATCTGCACAAAAGTTCACCTCGTGGACTCGTCCGAGCTGACACCGAGCTTGGAGCGTTTCTCAAAGTCGAGGCAGTTGTGTGCTCAGATCTGCGGATCGTTGGTATACGAGGCCATTAGAAATGACGCAGCGACGAGCTCGTGCTAAGAAACCAAATTTGGCGAGGAAGGGCAACGCTCTCAATTGCTCAATTAGGTGAGCTTCTTTACTTGTCAAAAATTTGTTCGATGGCACACCGAGTGCAAGTAAAACGTGGGGTACCGGAAACATCGTAATTTGGAGAATGACGCTGTGTGGTATGTATTTTACAAAGTTTGCTCTGGTAAATGATGTTGCTTCAGGTAATTGTCGTTGGGGACAAGTATACCGGTGCTTAAGTAAGTGTACATGTACTTTTGGTCCAAAGGCTTGGTCAGCCATGTGAACTGGCGCGTATACAAACTGATATCCTTGAGGACGACGATTACGGGGACAAGTCTTGTTGACGTATCTCGTCGGAACTGAAGACGTTAAAGCTCAGTCTTGAAATTAATACACGCACATCACGTGATAAGAACCGACAACTAAGCATGAGATCTCTTGGCGATGCATCGATCAGTGTGGGCGACGCAGATTTCGACATGAATTTACTGTCTGAATTCCTGTTCCAGACGGATGAGGTTCCTCAAGTACTCGACGATAACGAACTTCAGATCAGTATCCTTTTGACAACAAGCACGGACGGCACTAGTAGCAGCGACGACGCAAATGTATCGCCTAATTCCACCTTGCTTTCGATTGGAAACGACAAACTGACGGACCGCAAGACGAAACGAAGGGCACAAGTGGCGGTGAGTGCGCGACGGCATCGCTACCGCAAGAGACACGAGATGCTGGACCTAAAAAAGAAGGTGACGGACCTCACCGATCAGCTGCATTATCTGCGCTCCAAGCACAAGTTGCTGCAGTCGGATGGGACTGTTGTGGAGAGTAAGGAGTATACTATGATGCAACGACACAAGCGACACCAAGCGGAGAAGCTGAACGAGCAGCTACGATGTGCGTTGGTGATGCAACGGCGCTTCTTCGCTTCGGTTCAACGTATAGTATTGAATTCCCCAGTCACGAACAGTGACCTCAACATGTCCACTCTGCTGCACACCTTCACGCATCTCGGACAGACAGCATATGCGCGTCGACGTGACTTCTTGGCGATGTGCACGGACTCAAAGGCGGACTTGGCAGCTCAGATCCTTTTACGCGAGACGCAAGGAATAAACTTCGCTGGGCCGCCGTCGATTATTGCGCGTATTGTACCTGCCTCGAATGAGCAACAGCAGATCGTGACTACTGTTGCAGCGTACGCGTTTGACTGTTTGGATCTGAAGACCATCTTTGTGTCAGCTTGCGATGCTGTTCTGGGTTGTGGCACGGACTGGCCGCAGTACACGACAGTATCCCAGAATGGTGGGGTTGTCGACAAGCCTCAAGGCAACATCAGCTAAGCGAAATCGGACACAAATTACCGTAGCAGTGCTGCTGCATGTACACAAACTGTGGGAGTAGAGTCTCGCTCCCTTGTGTTTTATCGCATGGGTCACAACTACGGCGTGCTGGTGTGGGACTTCGCAGACCAGCACGATCTGCAAACCCGAGACGACTATCAAGCGCGATCTCATTAGAGAATTGTGTCAGGATGGAGCGGAACGAGTAGTCTATCGATCGATTTGCACGAAGTTGCACTCATTTTCACTCCCAACAGCGTCTGATAGTACAAACTACTTACAGCAGACAGAGGAAGGTGCCAAGGTCTGTGGCGGCGCTGTGTTCAGCCATAAAGCTACGAAAGTTACTAGATGTACAGTGTAAATCCACAACAATGATTATAATTCTTCACATTAGAAATTAATATTCTCTGCAATTGCACATAAAACACAAACTTCAATACAGTGAGCTTACGGGTTGATCATCAAACGACAACTTCCGCTTTGGGCACGCGCTCTGGGTGTGTTTTCATCAGCAGGTTCCACGCGGAGTTCTCGACTGTGTCGGCGTTGCGGCAAAACACCGTCAGGAACGCCTCATTCACTTTGCCACGCGGGTGTGTCATAACTCCAACAGGCGGAGTGCTGTGTGTGATGGAACGGAACGTGGTGCGTACCCCCTGGTCTGGCATGCGCTCTGACTCTAGAATCATACTGTACGCACAACGTTAGCATAAAATACATGACGTTAAACACCAGCAATGGACGTACCAGCCAACTTCGTCGTTGCGCAATGTCGTCTCTGGGCTCTCATCAGCTGGAGGCGGATACAGATCGTCATCTGTGATGGTCTCCCACGTGATCATCACGTAGTCGTCACGCACGTGTCGTCGCACTAGAAAATACGAATGGAAGTAGACGATGCGGCCTTTGTGATCCCGAAGCAGCGGGACGATCGTGCGTCCATAGCGAGTGTTGGAATCCAGCTCCATGAGGCGTTCACACGTCACATGGCGTCGGAATCTCTCGGGAACGTCGAACAAGAAGTTGGAGAACGAGTTCCAGCACGCTTCGCCCACTTCGTGATGGGTGAAACCCGACACCAGTCGTCCGCGCACTTGTTTGATCTCCAGATCCGGCCCGTTCGAGTTCAGCTTGATATCCGTCAACGGATACGACGTCCCAGCGCCAAATTCAGCACGAATGTATTGCTCTCCAATCGCCATACGCTTATCGGCAATACGCGTTAGCATGGTCGATCGCTCGAGCGTGTCAATAGGCAAACGGTGATACCAGTGCTGGATGTGTGGCTTCTGTGAAGGCATCGAGATGAGACCGACGTTCAGGTTCGTGAGCACGCCATTGCGCAATATCTCCTCGTCTTCGTCCACTTTCTTGCGTTTGCGGTGTTGTGTGATCACGTCCTGTTCACGTTTGATGCTGGTGGGGGAGCTGGAGCCTTGATGGTGGGCCATGATGGCCATCTGCTCCTGTAGCATCTGTACTTGCTCTCTGAGCCTCGTCAGCTCCTCTTTCTGACGGTTACGGTGCTTCCTTGCGGACTTGGCCACTTGTGCACGGCGCCGCAACTTCTTCTCCTCTTCCGTGAGGCTCTTTACGGGCGCATTGAGGATCTCTTCCGAGTCCTTTAGACTGAAGCCGCCCCCATCGCTGCCGTTCACGCTTGACGGCGGCGAGTATGTGGGCGAATACGAGCGTGTAGGACTCGGTGCCGATGCCACGCGGGGACGCGCACGTTGACGGCTGCGTGGCCGCGAGGTTTTGTGGGGTGATGCACCAAATAATGGCTTCTGTACCTTCGGAGGATCGCGGAAGGCCGACGGGGACAACGGAAGGTTCAGAGGTTGGTGCAGTAGGCCATCGCTGAAGGATGTGGGCTGCTCGGGGGAGGAGGAAGGTGTCGTATCGTTCTGGTGCGTGGGTAGCGCCTGCACAGTAGCGGCGAAGTCCAAGTCGGCGATTGAGGAGGGATACCCACTCAGGAAGAACTCGTTCTCGGGTGAGTCGACGGCCTCTCCTTCGAGGAACGGATACAGCTCGTCCTCCAGCGTGTGTGACGCCGGTGTCGGGTGGAAGGCTTGCGCGAGTGGCGTCTCCATTGTTGCAAGAACTGCTCTGCGTCGTGGCTGGTCTCTTGTGAACTGGCAGCTCAGCTTTTCGCCAGCAGAATGGGAGATCCAAATTCAGTATGTTGGGCTGCTGTCAAACTACAGCTGTAAAGCTTGAGACAAAACGAATATACTGCTATAGCGCTAGAATGTTTTTTTTTTCAGGCTAAAATTAAGCAAATAAAAATGTTCTTACTAAAGACGCCTTTAAACTGCTATTACAGGCCCAAAAATAAGAAAATCGAACCGCTTGTCATCGACGATTGTGTGAAGTGGGACGAAAGAAGTTCCACCCCCCTTTGTACAGTATTGATAAACCACTCCAGTCCATGCATATATGACATATATAATATGTGTACAGCTATGGCTCTAGGTTGTTGGCTGCCAGTGGCAGCCTGACTGGTCGACTTTTGTGGGAGCAATCCGCGCTCACTGCTCGTAATCAATGCTCGCTGCAGACTGATGAAAGAACGTCAGCTCATCGGCGCAGCGACGGGGCATCTTTGACAAGTTGAAGTTTTTTTTGTAAAGTATCCGGTGCTCCATTGCAGGACAGTGCTCCACTCCCTCGTCGCCTTCAACCACGTTGGTATGCGGCTCGAGCCGTCGTTGATACATGTATGATAATGCGAGACGGGATCCATTGCACGCGGCGCCTTGCCTAAAGCAGGCGTCTCCTGCCGCGGCTTTGCTGCTGGCGCCGACTCTCGTTAAACCCAGAGTCGGATTCCGAGTCCCGGACCGCAACGTGGGAGATTCTGACGGTGGTTTGGTGTGGTTAAATGAGGCGATGTAATCGCGGGGGATTTCATGAGCGGAGACGGGCAGCAGCGCCAACAGTACGCGTTGCAGTTCGAAGTAGAAGTTCTACAGTAGTTGGACTGTGCGATTGACTCTGTCAGCATCACTTGCTGTAGCCGTTCTCTGAAGTGCAAAATGCTATACAATCTTCCCCGTTGAAGCATTAAATACCAATTAGCACGGCAAGTGCTGTGCACTAGGTATTCTACAAGGCCCTAGTCACTACACAACCAACAACAGTTGTAGCGGCTGCTGCAAAATGCGAAGAACACGTACAGGGCCTGCTTACGGACGCACTGTGACGAATCAAGCAGCACTTTTAATATACTGTTCATATTAGTACATGTTTGCTTTATCACATTGACTCAAAGCTCTCAAGTGGAACGCAAGGTGCTAAACGTGTCCAGCGTCGCCAACTAAAATCTGATCGCGCGCTTCGGTGGAATTGAGCACCACTTGGGGCCCCACTTGTGCCCAGAGGTTCCGAAAATGTTATTTTTATTGAGACTGGCAAAACAGCAATAAAAATAATTTTAAGTGCTTGGAGCACCACGGGTGCAAAAATTATTGGTGTTATTGCATGCAATATACAGTGGGCTGATACTCGTCTAGTTGGTGGGAGCCTCACCACGCACAACCTTCCGGACTGTGGCAGCGTTCCAGTAGGTGACCAACCATCAAAATGAGAGGACAAGAGCGCGGCAGATCGATCGTAGATTGCGGTTTAGCTGGACCGCTGGTCTGTAGGAGACCGCAGAATAAATTATTTGATTTTGAAATGGGAGCTCGAAAATAAATTATTTTACTGCAAAATAAAAAAATATATTTAATAAAAATAACATTTTCGGAACCCCTGCTTGTGCCCCAAGTTGGGGCGGCCGAATTGAAGGTTCTGACCGGCTGAGGGGCTCATCGCTTTCTGAATAAACAAGAGAGAGAAGTTGGCCTTTAGTTTACATGTAGTTTTTCTTTACTATAGATTCTGAATAAGCAAGAGCTCCAAGTCGCCCAAACCAATTTGAAACTTAAAATAAACTGCTTTCGCGAAATTAAATCGGTCACAAATTCAGATTCTGAAGCAAACGGGGCTTGATGGTACTGTAAGCTGCTTACGTACCTTTTGACCGAGACACGATGAGATAGCGCCGACCAGGCTGGATGCTGGCTGAATTAGCATCCATCATGAATTCCATGCCTCACTTCTTACTTTGGAATTTGGAAGGTATTTATCCTTTTCCTAATTTAATCGTTCGTGTTTTCATAATATAGGTTTTAGAATTCATTTCCTAGGGTCAATCCTTGATGTTGTAAAGTCAAAATGGAAGCGACGGGTGCGCTAGAGGAGTTGCTGCTGGAACAGCGAGCTCTCATTGATCATGCGCTGTACTCAGTGCTGGAGGACGCGCCGGTACGTCGTTGTCATCGTCACAGAAGTAGCTGAATCTCATCCGTTTGTCGTAGCTCGGAGATCTGTTGGAACATTTCCAGTCAACTCTACTGGGTCTGCAACAGCAGGAACCGTCATTCTGGCATTTGCAAGTGGTAGATTTTATCCGGAGTGTATTCAAGTCGCGGGTGGGCAGCTGCATCGATGCAGAAGTCAAAGCTGCTGCCTCCAAGAAGCCACAGAATCCAGACATTGCTGTGAACCGCGCAAAGGCTCAAGTGCAGACAAGCAGTGAACTACAGGAAGCTCTGGTGCAATTGCAGAGAGATGTGGAGATGGAAGTGGCCAGAATAAAGGATGTGCTGACTGAGAAGCACTTAAAAGTAGCTTCAGACATGGACGAGCATTTCTTGGTCAAATTCTGGACGGAGCTGCAAGACGTAATTGGAACTAAAGCGAATCAACATAAGCTGGACGAGGAACGTGAAGTAAAAGGCGTCGAGCAGGAGCTTGAGAGCTGCTCGTTCGAGAGATTTAGTTTTGACGAGGATTTTAATGACCTGTCCAGGTCAGCGATGAGGTGTGTACGGGTGGAGACTTTGAGTAAGGAAAACAAAACTTATCGCTGTTGTTGTGTGGTGCATGGGAAGTTTCCCATGTATGGAGGATTTCCCAATGACAATTAGACGGATGCAGAGCGCAGATGTGACAGAGCGGGCGGCTGGCTTGGACGAGTTTCTGCAGGTGAGTTTCTCAGCTCGTCGGCTGTTTAAAGTGAGATTGTTTACCTAACGCTCTGTTTCCTAGATCCCCGTACCGGAAATCATCCATTCTGGACCCATTTTCCCTACTGCTTGTTCAGCTGTTGTTGGGTTGTTTCTCGACACTGGAGAACGATGTGCTGAACGAGCTAAAAGGGTTGTGTACGACTTGATGAACCAGGTTGAGGACGCTGCTCAGTTTCTCGAACTGTTTTGGGCAGTCCTCGACTTCATGGGGGCGCGTCTGGAGACTGGAGAGTTGTTCTTGTACCGACGTGAGATCTGTGACGCACAATCGATCGCTGCTGTGGATTGTTTTCGCGTATTGCACGCGTTACTCTTCAAGACGATGCGGCACTGGGTGTATCTTGCTGCCGAAGCACTCGCCCAAGTCTTGCACTCAACATTTCGCCTGCTGATCACGTACTCGAAGGCAGAAACGGAAGTCGAAGCGAAGCAGCTCACTCCTCTTACAATGTTGTTCCTGGTCGACAACGATCCAGTGCGATGGTTTAAGCTCTGGCTGCTCAATGCTCCAAGTTCACGACAACTTTTCGTGGCGATGGATGAATCTGGCTTCATCGCTGATCTACTCCAAAATCTGTCTCGATTTCGCCCATTAAGCTTCGAAAAATCATCCAACCGCTCAGTTAATGCCATCGAAAAACGTATTGCTCAATGCGTAAGTCGAGAAAAGGTTATAGGATGTTTTAGTACGTTTATTTATTTATTTTTCTGAGCAGGCGTTGGCAATTTTGTCCTGCATTTGCGAGTATCAACAAGGGCGAGATCTAGTTGGCCAATGGCAACGACTTCCTGCTCACGCGTATATTAAACAACGGCGTACAAGTTGGAAGAAATGTGCTCTGGAAAGTGACGCAATGGAAAATGATTCGCTGTATCATACAGTGCAGCAACCGGCGTCTGCAGAGGTGAGTTTGCATTGCTAAAACACGACCGCAATTGGGATCTAATTAGCGCTCTGTTGATCGATAGGAACTGCGCGATGAACTGGGAGCTGACTACCCGGATCTCGGAAAGGGTGTTGTGGATGCACTCATCCTATCAGTTGCAGCGGTTTGTTGCTTATGTTTGGCCTTAGGAGCGCTAGCGATCATTGACAGCTTGACGTGTATGTAGGTGATCGTGACGACTTCGTGTTCGCAAAAGGACACCGACGTGCTGTTTAATGAACAGTGGTCCACGAGTATCTCGAGAAGTGTGGCGACGTACCTGCATTGTGCAGACGCTCCCGATCTACTACCAGCACTTACAAAAGTATGATATAACGGCGAGGTTATTCTTCCTGACACAAGTGGTGACTTAACGGCGTATCTTGTCGTAGATTGTCGAAGCTTGCTGGACAGACAACTCGTGTGAAATGACTGATACTTCTGAGCGGGAAGAAACGAATTCATGGTTCCCCTTTCGGCAGCCGAAGAGCGTCGCCGAGGTGTGTCAATTGGTGATCGACAGTGTGTTGAAAAGCGGAGTTGTCGATTCAGATGTTCAGTCCTCTGGCACGCTGATCTTACGATTGATACTGTCAAGTAAAGCTGCGGATAATGCTGTCACCCAATCTTCCAGCTCTGAAACAACGGAACGCATTTTTGAGCTATGCAAACGATATCTACAATCCCAACACTATAAAGTGACGGCGTCAAGTGGTCAACATCATCTGTGGACGTGTGATCCGAGCGCACTTCTTGGCTTAATCACTGATACGGCAGTAGTTCCACAGGCATTCGAGGTGGCAGAAAGAACCGGAGTTATTGACGAACTCTGGAAAGTTTCAAAACAGTGTGAAGGCCAAGAGTGTTCTCGTCTCGGGAGTCGTATCACAATTGCTCTGCTGCGCTCAGTGTCAGGAGTACGTAATATGAGTCGTACTATGACTGCGGATACCTGCATACAGAACCACGTAGCAGCGCAAAGTTTTCGCGATCTCTTGGGAATTCTGTCGCATCGAATCTCGGCACAGTCTTTTTTCGACCTCGTCAGTGTTCAAGCCACCATTTCCCAGAGTATCACTGCACTCCGAGAGACAATTGACTTCTCGATCTCTCTTAACAGCCCCGACGATGAATGTCCATCGCAAATAGTCCCTCAAATCACACGTTTGCAGTGGCTACGGTGCTGCTTGAGCTCGCAATTTGCAGCCTCATCACTGTTGTCAAGTGAAGACAACGCGCTGGTTCAGTTTATCTCCGAGGCGCTTACCGTCCACAGAGCTGGGTTCTGTATGAGCTCCAGTCACGCCGAAGATACGTGTTGCGTGGCATTTCAGCTGCTCATTGCGCTGGTGTCGAGTGTGCCATCGATGCTCGAGTGCAGTTCGTTGCTGTCAAAACTCAAAGTGCTGAACCTCGACGATAAATGTACACTCCAGCGTGGTATTTTGAACGACATCAGTGAGATCCTGGGTCCGTGTTCGTTTCTAGAGAAGCAGCTGTGCTACGAGTTTGAATTCATCGGTGGACCAAGTGAAAAGCTGCCACAGTGTGAGCTCTTCGAGTTTGACGGGCGCTGTCAGGAGACTCAAATCGATAGCAAAGATACGACTGGAGAGAGAGCAGACCGTACCATTTCCGAATTCGCCGGCGTATTGCAGAACAAAATTCTTCAAGCTATTAGCGATGGCGTGGAAGCTGGCTCATCGACGCCTATGGATTTTGTGCTGATCTCGCAAGCTTCGTGGGAGCTCATCCATGACCTAGAGGCTCGTTTTGGAGCAGAATCTCCGTTCATATGCTGTAACCCAGCTGGTCCTGCTAACGAGCTCTTCGCCAGACTCACGTTTAATCTCGTTATGAGCCAGCGCAGTCGTTTGGAGCCAGCACGCAGCGTTGCAGTGGCATTGATCCAAACCACAAGCCCAACGCCAAACAGTGAATCGTTTTTCCCGACAGACTCGGAGCGCAAGTTGATGAACCGGTTGTACAAGAATTATGCGAGTGGCTTATCGCTGGAGTCGTCGCCCACCTTGTTGCATTGTACTGTCAAAAAGTTTGGCAAAATTGCAATGGATTGTTTCCCAGTAACAATGTTGATCGGCTGTCATCCGACTTTCGACGAAGCCGATATCCTGAACTTCTTGTCGCACTGTCTCGCGAGTCCATCGGCTGGATACCTGTGGCCCCGGAGTGCTGATCGTGGAGTGGCAGTAGTGATCACAAAAGGAGTGGAGATCATACTAGCACGCGAGTTTCCTCAGGTGCGTGTCCAATACGTGGGATAGCTTACCTTACACTCCAATTCTGACTGTTTAAAGCTGCTGGGAGTGTAGATTTTACAGGCAATCGATCGATGTCAGTGCTCGTTGCTGAGTCTCGTGCTGCGTTGGCACAGTCAAAGTTTCTGGAATTATTTGGCTTGGGAAAATGTAGTTCTCTACACTTATTTCAGCGTCCTCTACGGTGTCGAGCTCCAGGTATTTCTCATGATGAAGCTTAGGAGTGTTGCGTGACTGACTACTTTAATTATCTTCGTTTCAGGTTTATACCATCGTCGCAATTTGTCGGCACTTGGAGCCGACCATGCGGGAGCTAGCGGCAAGGCATAGTTCGCAAAGTCTCGCTCCTTTCCTCTCTCTCATCCGTGAGCCTATTCGGAACTTTCGCTTCAGCCCCTGGCGACCATTTCTGCTCCGACTTCGTAGCGAATATCACGATGAGATGGAAGCTCTGTTGTTTCCGTAAGTTAAATTCTGCGCTTGCGACCAAAGTGAATACTCTTGGGGATGCGCAGTTCCCGCATGCTTTCTTCTAGGTCTGCCATGTCGACGTCTGTTATCTCACTCGGAGTGTTTTGTTTGTGGCCTTCTTGCTTTTGAAGCCCTTCATCCACTTGCATGTCGGAATTTGGAAGCTTAAGTTGCTCTAATAGCTTCTTCTTCTTCTGTTGACGTCTGCGTTTCCGAGCTTCGCGCTTTTTGATAGTCTCAGCGTCAACTTCAGACTGCTCGTTTCCATCTTCATGCTTGAGTCCAGCACTTCCTTTGCTTAACTTGACTTTTTGCTTTCGCTGCTGGTGGAATGAAAAGGTTCCTGGATACTGATGCACTCGTATCAAGTGTTTCGTCCGCTTATCATCGTGTTGGAAAGTCTCCGGACAGCCGTCCACTAGACAAACATACATCGGCTTCTTCTTGGACAAAATCTTGAAGAAAGCGTCATGGGTCTCACTGCAAAGTTCACATTGTCAGATGCGAATTTTCAAGTTTCACATTTTCCCCTTTTACCTAATGTGAATGTCCAGTAGACGCAAACTCAAAAACGATCTTGAGCATTCTCGGCAAATATTTCGGTGCATCCTACAGGTTTTGACAAAAAATCAAAAATTGCCTATTTATTTGCCGTACACGTACATGTCGTAGTGCTCCTCGTACGCCGAAGTGGACTGGAAGCTCACGTTGCATTTGGCCAATCGACACGTGATCGGCTCCGAGTGAGCTGGTCCACCCACAGCTTCTTCTGGCTGCATCATCGACCTGGATCAATCAATTTACAAATGCTAATTTTTAGGTTAAATATGGCACGACAGCAATGCCGACGTACCCTAGCTCCTGGTAATACTTAGCTGCCCACAGACGCGTACCGGTGTCGAAGAGCGGGTGCTCGGGTGAGTACTTGCGGACGCATTTGCCGCTCGGCAGCTCCCGAACCTGCTCCATCTTTTTCAACACTTTTATTTTTTTGTGTTCGGTAATGCAAAATGTCAAATTAGTGCAACAATGCCGAGGTGAGCTTGTTCAAAATTCTACATGTTGCCGATCGGTTGTCATCGGGCATTCTTCACATAGAATATCTTCGTTAAGGTAAAAAAAAAATCAGCATATTGGTGCTTGTTGTCGGATTCACAGGAATCGGTTGTTAGTGCTCAGAATCTTGGTTGAGCGGTTCTTGATCGATGTCTGCAGCTTCTTCAGAGATGGGTGATGGGGGGTTATCTTCGAGCTGTACCGCCTGCACCAAGAGCCGAAGTGCCGCTTGTTTCACAACTTCACTCACAGGTTGCACGTGTCGAATCGGTCCACTGTTTCGGCAACAAGAAGAGTAAGAATTCTTTACTACTCGCTTGTTCCATGCATAGCGTACCGACAATACGGGCATTCTCTGCGTGGCAGCAAGCGAAGACACGGTTCGCAAATGTAGTGCTGACACTTGAGGAGCATCAATTTGAGCGGGGTGAAGTCCATCCAGCAAATTCTGTAGGCAAAACCCAAGCCATATGAAAAAAAAGACTGTCATCGGCAGCATAAAAATTTCCACGTACCCGCACTCCATGCGATCTGTTGCCAGCCTGTGCGGGAGGCTACGTGCAACGTTGTATCCTACTCGGAATATATTCTCTTGGTGGTCGTACTGCAGAAGCAATGGTGCTATTATTTTACAGCATTAAGGCAAACGTCAGAAACTTTTATCATTTTAATAAAAAGAACAATGTTAAACAACTTACTGAGGCAAAGGATACTCGGAGGTACGTGGATCGAGTACCAGTTGCTTCTCACCTGAGAATCTTGGAAATAATCGCCAAGTGCGTTCCCAAGCCATTCACTCATGAGAAAGTCGCCAACACTCCCGAAGAATCTCTTGGTACGTGATGCTCTCGGTGCAACAGCTTGGTTGTTGCCTTCGGTGCCTCGGTCGGTAGGGCGGACTGGCGAGTCCAAAGGAGACACTTTCGCCACCGAGTTTTCCTGATGCTGGTCGCATAAAGTCCCAAACATCCGGTTGTCAAAGGTGAGCAAGTACGCGTCCTTGAGCAACGGGAGCAGCGTGAAAATGGCATCACCACTGTAGCGAGCGAAGAGGATGAACGGCAAGCTTGACGCTCGAGAGGCAGCTGAGGCATGGAGTACTGTTTTGGCACGACGAATTGCGTCGGTCGGCTTCACGGGGTCGACGTTAAGCAGGTCGTGAAAGAAATCGTCCAGTTCTCTTGAGCAAACTGTAGCCGAGTACCCAGATAGCTTCAGACCGCGCAAAGTATCCACACGAACTCTAAAGCTTCGACGATCCGGGCTCCACACGTGGATCACTCGTCCACGACCGCAGTACAGCGCGTAAGTGAGTTTTTTCGATTGCCATTGCCCGATCTGGACGACATCACCGACGTAAAGACCCCACTGTCGATCCTCCTCTGTCTGCTCAGGAAGAGAAGCTTCAGTATCAGCTTCGACAAGTGGCATCGTTGGTGCTTCCCGGCTGTCTACAAGGAGGGTTAGAAAGAGAAATGTACTTGGTGGAGTCTTTCTCGCTCTCGAAAAGTTAAGCCAAAATTTAACAGGCCTTTCTTGACTATGGGTAGAGAGACTTATCCATCGGTCTACAAGTCTCTTCATTTGCTCATTAGCGGTTCTTGTTGCTGTCTATCGCACGATGCATTTAATCTCAATGTCACAAGCTCCAAGGCCTTCAGCTTCCACTCGTAGAGAGCCTGTCGCTCGACCGGGATGATGGAAACTGAGAGCTACAGTGACAATTGCCGCCAATCCAGGAGCTAAACGTGCAGCTTCCCGTTGATAATTGGCTTCCGCAATACTGGCACTAAACCCTGAACAAGTGGCAACTACCCGGTTGACACGAAAACGTTCCTGACGAAAACCTACATTCCGAACTCGCACGGGAAACAGATACACTTGGCCGGTTTGCAGTGTACCCAAGTGAAGTAGCGGAGGCGACACCTCCACTGCAAAATTCTGAGTCATTGATGCTACGACTGGAAGCCGTTGCTCCGAAGAAGGTGCAGCACTAGCGAACAAGAATCCGACGGTCTTCTTTTGAGAGGTGGTCTCTTGAGGCGACGCAGATTCGTTCTGATCGTATTCATCGCTTCTTTCCCATGAAACACCAGCATACGGCGCGAGTGAGAGCAACTCCGCTCCATCCGTGCGTGACTCAGAGCTTGAGAGTGTTGAAGCACTGCTCTCATCGCTCTTTAGAGTAGTTAGGTCGGTCAACCGCGTTGATGGCGAGCAGGGCGGTTTGCGTGACTTTGGCGTGCTCACTGCGAATCGAGACAAAGCGGCTAGCGTTTTCTCGTCTGCCAAGTCCACTCCGAACCCTTTTCGAGCAGACTCGCGTGCTGAGAACGCTGCAAGGGACGAAGGAGTCTCTGGTCTCGCTGATCGACAAGATAACGGGAGTGACAGTGGCATTAAGGGCCTTGGTGACGGTAGTGCGGGGAGCACTGGCGTCCGTGTAGTTAGTCTGTATTCAGGCCCGATAAGTGTTTGGATGCCGTAATCGGTCAATACCCAGCAGACTTGCTTGGTGGACGTAAACGTCTTCCGCCATAATGAACCATCTTTTAGCCACTTGTCGTTGTTGTTGCTTGGAGAAGCTAAACAGCCGATAGACTCGCTAGAAGACGAAAACAAACCAGTTGATGACAGATTCGATCGTGGGGGTGCCAGGATCGATCGATGTCGGTTCAAGTTGCCGACGTCGCGGGAGTATTTCATCTTAAAGTCGTTGACTTCTTGTGGATTGTGGCGTGTGATGAAGTCACGGCCGCCAATGAACTTGCTTATGTTGGAAAGCGATCTGCAGCTATAGGGTTGCATGATTTTATAGTCGTCATAGTCCGGGATGGCCATGATCAGCAACGCGTTCTTTGGGTCGAGTACCGTGGACTTGCGTGCCTGTCTGGCAATCTGCTCCGTGACGGTCATTTCCATCCTGATGGGGGGAGTGGCTCGACCACCCGAACGAGACGGAGGCCCTGACGTTGACGCAGCGAGTAGCATTGATCGAGTGGAAGACCGCCGATGTGCAGGCATTGGTAGGGCGTTGCAGCTGGTGTTGTTATTTCCGGTTGGGGTAGAGCTCCTGGCCTCTTGAATGGCTCGAGTTGATGGCATTTTGGAAGGGAGAGCCACTGCAGGCGAGGATAGGCGTATTGCAGCGTGGGCATCCGTCATGATCGACAGTCACACTTGAATGATAAATGAAGAAGACCGATGTAAGGTTGGTGCCGCCTTAGGCCATTTGGATAATAAATGCACACAAGGTTGAATTTAGATGAAGCCGTAAAAATAGGTGACAATTTTGGTATTGTTTTCTTTTCTAGCGCGAATATTGATTGACGGGGTCACTTCAACATGCTTCTAGTATATTACAGGTAGAAATTCGGCTGAAAAAACAATTCTGACCAATGCCATTGTCGCATGTGCTATCTTCGTATTGGTCAAAATGTCTTTTCGCCTCCAAGCTCCACGTATAGAGGGGGCCGCTGTGTCGTAAGATAAGGAAAGGATTCCTCGTTCAAAATGGTGAGTACGTTCGGCATCTATACGTAGCTCTGCACACACATAGCACATCGCTACCACAACACGGATTTATCTACGACTATCTGCATCATATTCCTTGTCTGCTCCCATTTGTTCTATGCTCTAACGACTCGTCACAATGTCTTTTCATCCGTTCTTGTAGGTGGTGCTCTCCGCTGCCCTGTTGACCAGAAATGGCAAAGGTACGAAGCTTACGACAGCTTAATAAATTATCTCCAATTCCGATGTGTCTTGTGCTGCGTATTCAACTTACCACGTCGTAATTATCGTGTTCGCAGTGCTCGTGGCGCGCCAGTTCGTGGAGATCACCCGCATCCGACTCGAGGTGGGTGCAATACAGCTGCTGTATTATATCCAATATAGTATTATTGACACTGTATACAGGGTCTGCTAGCAGCCTTCCCTAAGCTGCTATCAAGCGGCTCCCGTGAGCACACGTTTATTGACACGGAGAGTGTGCGCTACGTGTATCAACCCTTGGAGAGTTTCTTCGTGCTCATCATCACCAACAAGACCAGCAACATCGTAGAGGATCTGCACACGATCCAAGTTCTAGCCAAACTCGTGCCTGACATCTGCGCGCCGTTGAGCGAGACGTCCATCCGTGACAAGCAGTTTGAGCTTGTCTTTGGCTTCGACGAGCTCATCACGGCCGGTGGCCACTCGGAGAACATCAACGTGTCGCAGATCCGCGTCAATATGGAGATGGAGAGTCATGAGGAGAAGCTGCACAACATGATCCTCGAGAGTAAGCGCGCGGCTGCCAAGGACGACATGAAGCGCCACACGGCGCGTATTAAGGAGGAGCAGCGTGAACGCGCGCGTCTGGAGCGTTCCGGGCTGGGCGGCAGTGGCTTCGGATCGCAGAATTCGTTCGGCAGCTCGTTCAGCAACGCGTTCAAGTCGCCACGTAGCGGTGGCAGCAGTGACAGCTTCATGAACAGTCCCAGATCTCCACCTGCGACGTCTCCGACGTCCTACAACACTCGACCTGAGCCGGTGGTGTCCAAGGCTGCTGGTATGAAGCTGGGCAGCTCTAGTAGCAGTAAAGGGATGGGTCTGGGCGGCGGTGGCAAGTCGTTTATGGACGCTATGGCCGCTGAGGACGGCTTGAAGGAGATTCCGCCAATGAGCGCAGCTGTGGAGCCTGTGCAGAAGCCTGAAGTGGCTGCTGCAGTCAGTCACGACCCCATTGGAGCTGTGGTTGAAGAGAAGATGACGGTCGTATTGACACGTGATGGTGCACTAGAGCAACTGGAGGTTAAGGGCAGTATGTACGTGTCGGTGAACGATCCGAGCGCTGGCTGTTGCCGTCTCAAGCTGCGTACAGGAGGTGCGGAAGGTATTTCGTTCCAGACGCACCCCAAGGTGGACAAGCGACTGTATGACAGCGAGTCAGTGCTCGCTCTACGGGATCCGACCAAGCCGTTCCCGACGTCTCGTGTGGCGTTCTTGCGGTGGAGCTTGAAGACACAGGACGAGTCGATGCTGCCACTGAACATTACGTGCTGGCCGGAGGAAGAAGGCAACGGCAAGATGAATGTCAGTGTCGAGTATTCCTTGGATCGCGACATGATGCTGGACAATGTGAACGTTGTGATCCCGCTCGGAGGCTCTGACGCGCCTAGTGTGGCAAACGTGGACGGACAATACCAGCACAACTCGGCTGAAGGCGTGCTCCTTTGGCATCAGGACCAGATCAGCTCTGCGTACGGTGGTTTTGTGATGCGATATATATTTTGTGTGTATGTGCACTAATTTTTTGTTTTTTTATTTTTTACAGCAACAACTCAGGCACGTTGGAGTTTTCGATTCGTGGCAACAACATGGACGCGTTCTTCCCCATCTCCGTCTCGTTCTTTTCACGCAGCGTGTATAGCGACGTGCAGGTGGAGGCTGTTCAGAAGGTCGAGGACGGCTCGCCCATTGCCTTTGGGTTCGAAAAACTGCTCTCCACGGACTCGTACCAGATTGTTTAGCTAGAAGACCGGCACGCGTGTGGCTGCTGGGTGGACAGGCAGTCTTCTCTTTATCTCAACACGTAGGTTGACCGCGCTGCTTGTCCTCGTCGTGGCCTTAAAACCCAGAAACAGATACGAAATCAAAGCCAGTATGTGTGTTTTATTCTATCGACGTTCAGGTCTATGGGGTGGCTTTGGGTCGGAACACTTGCGGTTGGGAGGCTTGAAGCAGCTCCTCGCTCTTGCTGCGCATACAGCGCTCCAGTAGTCTCCTGGTCTGTGCACAGTCGCGGATATGTTTCTCCCCTCTCGTCACCGAGTTGATACAGGATTTTAACTCTAGTAAAGGCTTCTCACAGAGCGCCGTGCCGGTACAGTTGAGATACTCAGTGTACACCATCTTCGGGTCTGCGCCTGCGTCCTCCTGGCTAGCGGCGCTGCCTGAGTTGATTAACTCATCGAATTGTTCGTCGCAAGATCGCAAGGCTCGGTATTTATCGCCTAGACGACGATTCGACTCCAACGCGAGCACTCCGCTCTCTCCAATTGTCCCATTTAGTAGCATCTGAGGACAAGAAAGATAAATTAGAGGCGCGTAATTATTGGAGCTATTGAGAGGCTTTGAGCGGTGAAATTTTTGGAGACACTAGACAAGATGGACATCGATAGAGAGTACCTCATGGAGACGCAGAGTGGAGTTGAATTGAGGCGGCGCGATGTCCACAAAGTCTTGAGACAGTTGGATGGGCTCCATTTTAGCAAAAGGACGAGAATGACAAGCTGGTGAGAATGGAACATACATTTCGATACAAAATCTGTGACGTGTGACATGTTGCACCGTTCTACATGACGCTTCTGGACGACTGCGCATGGCGAGGGATACGTGGGCCCGCACTGACATCGTCGCATTCGTCATCGTCCACATCGTAGTCCTCGTCGTCGATACTGTTGATGGTGACGCGCGTGGGCTGCTCAAGACTACTGATGTTCATGTACGGCTGACGAGCACGCCGGAAGACACGTCGATAGAGATACGCCAGAGTGAGCACGACGATCATCGCGCACGAGCTCATGATAATGTAGCCGAACTGAAGCAATCCAGACGCCGGTTTGTCGTCCAACCCCAAATCAGTTGCAGCTAAAGCAGTGGTGCCTTGAGTCGTGCCAGAGGAGGAAGACTTGTCGTTGATCTCATCGTTGTCGTCGCTGTCACTACCGTCTTCACTGTCTTCGCTTTCGTCGTCGGAGTCGCTATCGTCTGTAGCTTTGGAGCTGACACTCTTAGATTTTGTAGCGGACGAGGAAGTTGTAGTGTCATCACTCGAGTCTTCGCTATCTTCACTTTCGTCATCACCCGGAGCTTTTTTCGTACGCTCTTTAGGCGCATCAGTGCTGTCGTCGCTATCGTCGCTTTCGCTCTCACTCGATGTGGATGCTGGTGCATTCGACAAAGATGGGGCGGAAGAAATAGCTGACGACACGCCAGTCGTCTTTGCGGTCTCAATAGCGATGGCCTGGCAGGTTAAGCCATGAGTGAATAGTTAGCGAGCTAACAGTTTTTAGACCACGAATAACACTGCACGTACCGGAGATGTCCACTCGAGAGAAGCCTTGACTCGATGGCCATTCCACTCGAAATCCCAATCTGGGTTTGTTCGAGCATTTACCAGGTGCGACTGCGGCGGTACGCGAGGCGAAGGTGCTTCGTCCCCAGAGCCTTGCTGCTTCCAGTCCTAAAGTACAGCAGAGCCATCTCGTGAGACTACAGTCGCAGATAGTGATCAGAAGCGGTGGTTTACCTGGTCGACAGTTGCTATAGCTCGAACGTACAGCTTGTCCGAGGTGACATTACCCAGATCGAGGCATGTAACAAACAGCGAAGTCCCCATCGTGTCGACGTTCGCAGCCGCAGCTTTAGAGGAATCCGAGGCGAACTCATAGAACCGCCGCGTGGTTCCTTTCTGCGTTGACGTCTCCATCACAATGGCATTATCTTGGAAAGTCTCGCTGGAAGACACTTGGACGTGCGTGCTATCGACAGTGAGAGCACCAAGCACCTCCCACGCGATCTGCACCTTGGACTGAGCAGAGTTGATCAAACTGCAATCAGAGACGCTACACGTCGCGACCTCGTTGCGTTCCCAGGCCAGAGCACCGCATCCCATCTCAGTAACTAGATCGTCTTTGGTAGTGTACAGACTTGCAGCGGGGAAGACGTTCAACAACTCTTGACTTTGAGACGACCCTGTTGCATCCACCCAACGCACCAAAGGCTGAGCCATTTCGATCATCATGAGTGCTAAACGGACGTTCCGTGGTACGTGACCGACCAGCTCGGTCTTGGCTGCTTCCGTTCGAAAGAAATCGACGTTTGCTTCGTACAACTCCTTGAAGTTTCCCAAGTCTGCTGCGTTTGGCTCTTTACTGTTCGACGTCTCCACTAGCATATTGAAAGCACGATGCGTGATGTTGTTGTAGATCGTCTTCTTCTTCGGATAGCCACCAAAGGTAGACGGCTCACAGGGACGGAAAGGCTGCGATTTCGCGTCGTAAAACTGGTTTTCCCACGACGCAGCGTAGCCCCAGTCCTCCATTCCACCTACAATGCATTTGCAACGTTAGAAAAGCTTCATGATATTTAAAAATTGTAAAATATTACGTACCGGTGACACCGTACACAACATCATTCATCGTTCCCGTCGGGTAGAGGTTTCCGTCCGGGAAAACGCCAGCAAAGTTGGCCAGCGTGTTGCCAATCTGGACCTGCGCCATCTGATCCGGAGACTTTTCGCTTGGGTTTCTCTCCTTGCCATTAAGGTAGTGATCGGGTGAGCCCCACTCGTAAGCCACTGCTCGAGTGCCGCCATGGAAAGTCACTGCCAACTGGAAGATATGGTCCCTCCAGATCTCATTAACCACACGGGACGTCATCGTTTGCATACACTCAGCACCTGATCTCATGTAATTGTAGTCTCGATTCGGATCCACCGTCAACTCCTCGCGATGGTTGTGCGAGTAGCCATAAGCGTTGGTCATCGGCATCACCAGCACGTTCCTAGTGTTCACAAGCTCTCTAAGCCACCTCTGTGTGTCCACTGTAGGCTTCACCTTATCGTCCGTGCCATACATCGATGTGGCGTGTGCAAATAAAGCGATAAGCTCAATAGCCGCATTGGGACCGACTCGTTCGTTGCCATGCAGAGCTCCACTAATGAACACTTCGGGTCTCTCTGGGTCGTTCGCTAGCGTCGAGTGGTTGGTCAGATGCACCACATATTGTTTGCAAGGTTCTTTTTCAGCTTTGCTTTCGTCGTCTATTATGCACTGGAGCTCCTTGGGGTACGGCAGATCATACGTGTCTTGAGCTATCGACACTTGGACGACATCTGGGAACGTGGCGTTGAGCTCCAGCAAGTACCTGGACATTTCCGCGTACGTCTTGTAGTTGATTGGGGACGATGACGCATTAGCAGAGATGGGGCCAAGCACCCACACGCCCAATAAAGCCAACAACAAGCAAGGAAGGCGCATGGCGGGCGTCCCGGTGCACTTGTCCTCCCGTGCGGATAAATTGAGACAGAATTGAGCTAAGCAAAAATTGGGTCTGGGGCTAAAACGGTACATGGCTACATTATCAATGAAATGACGTATCGGACGTAGATCTCTCACTAACGCTAGCTGTCCGTTATTAGACCGATTCGCTGGTTAAATATGAGCTCGCCGCGATGCGAGAGATCTCTTCCGGCTGACGCGACAGCTCCAGATCCAGGTGGTCGTCGCAGTATCCGCCACCAACGACCCATTTCTTGCAGAACGTGTACGAGCACTTTTTCCCTCCGCCGTGGCCCTTACAATAGCCTCCTCCACGCTGAATCGCGCTGCATCCTTCCTCTTTGCATCTCGTTCCTCCACCATGACGGATACAAAAGCCTTTGCCTTTCTGCATGTTGGTACACCCTTCGAATTTGCACAGCTTGCCACCGCCGTGAGACTTGCACAGCTTCCGGCTCTGCGCGGCGCGATCGCAATTCGGTACACTACACAGGACTTTACCACCGTGACCACGACAGCGCTTGTTGACCTGACGGATCTTGCTGCAGCCTTCGATAATGCACTTGCGCCCACCACCATGAGCAATGCAGAACCCCCCACCGAGGTCGTACTTTGTGCAGCCCAACATGTTGCAGCGCTTACCGGGGCCTTTGTGTTCCGAGCAGATACCGCCACCAAGCGCCCAGTTCTTGCAGCGCTCAGTCTCGCATTTCTTGCCCCCGCCGTGGGCTTTGCAGAAGCCACCGCCTCGATCCACTTTTTTGCAGTCCTTAGCATTACACTTCTTGCCACCACCGTGGGAGATGCAGAGACCGCCGCCTATATCGCGTTTCTTACAGCCCTCATGCTGACAGAATCGGCCTCCACCGTGCGCCTTGCAGAACCTATCAGGGAGTAACATCAGCTGTTGTGCTTGATAGTAAAGCTCAGGAGCTCCTGCACGTACCCTCCTTCCATCCTCTTGTTCTCGCATCCATCAATAGGACACAGAGGCTTCCCGCCATGTCCTGAGCAGTAGCCGTAGCCTTGTACATGCTTGTCGCATCCTTCGAACTTGCATATCTTGCCACCACCATGTTTGATGCAGAAGCCATTGCCCTGATTGTATTTATTGCACCTGGGATGTTTGCAGAACTGGCTGACCTTGTGGAGGGCACAGCGTCCATCTAGCCCTGTTGCAGCACGTTTGCACCTCTCGCGCTCCTTGTTGTAGAATCTGCAGGTTTTCTTGGTCAAGACGAAGTTGTCCGTGGGGTTAGCAGCTGGAGCCTTCTCTACGCGTCGACTCTGACTCGTATCTGCTCGCACACGCGCTGATGATAGCTGCAACACGCCGGTGACTGCACCAGCGGCCTCTTCCGCCTCAGCTTGAGCAGCTGCGACAGCTTCCTCTGCTTCAGCGTCCTTGTGTTCCTGCTCAGCTTGAGCCAGTAGCATCCTGGCAAACTCAGCTCCGTCATGGTCAATCTCCGGTAGTTCGTCGGGTCCCACGAACGACGTGCGGAAGTCCAACTCCGAGGACTGCGTCGTCGACAGATCAGCTGGAGTCGTTAGGTATAAACGCAGTACGGTTAGTACAGTGTGAGCAGCCTATTGCCATCGCGCCTTAGTAGAATAAACTAGCGCTCTACATTGCTACGCACGCATTGAAGCCTGGATATTGGCGTCGTCTGGCCGCATGCCGCGCAGGAAGCGCAGATAGTCGTTCTCACGCTCGTCGGAGGCGTCCATGGCTCAGTTCAAACGACGTGTGGCACGACAGGTGATGAGTAAGGTAAAATAGTTACTTAGTACTCTGCAAACGTGATGCACGGTCTGTTTCGATGGTGAAGAAGCCGAGAGCGACGCGAACTTGTCCCGTCAATTGGCGCGGTTAGTAAATTTTTAATCGAATTATTGGAGCCTCCATTTCGCGAAATTTTACATTTCTAGCATTTTGATTGGCTACCCAAAACACGCGTTTCGCTCCTCCAGTGGTGTTGCGGTCAACCTGAGCTCTTCAGTAGACGTTGGCGACCATGGCGAGCGTGGCGGAGATCAAGCAACTGGAGGCCAAGATCAAAGAGGATGTCAAGCAGATCAATGAGCTCCCCAAGGTGGTGAAGGCGCTGCAACAGAGTGATAAGGCTGTGGCACAGGCGGCCATGCAGACCATGCGACGTGTGCTTCTTTATTTCCTTGAGAAGGGTGACCTCAAGCCTAAGCCTACAGAACAGGAGGCAGCCAAGAAGGCAAAGGGCTCAGACACTCAGGCTATCGATAAATTCCGTTGCTGGCTCTGGGATGTCTACGTGAATTTCATCAAGGAGATGCTGCAATGGCTAGGTGACGCAGAGGCGGACAGCAACCTGCGTGTTGGCGCGTTACGCACACTCATGGAGTTTGTATCTCGCGAGGGAGAAATTCGCGGTGGAAACGCACCCGCTTTCGGCAATGAAACCTTCACACGCGTCGTACAGGAACTGGCGAAAACAGAGAAGCTCAAGGGAGAGCTGGCCAGTGTGTTCAAGGGCGAATACGTCGGCGCATACATGGACGTCCAGTACTATATGGTATGACTTATACATGGCGTTGCTATGAAGATATAATTGTAGGAAACTGATGCTTGGAATGATTGTTTTTTAACAGCTGAAGAACCTGGCACAAGTTCTGGACAATGCAGACGACATGGAGAAGGACTTGACGTTGGTTGCCAACGCGCTGCGTTTGCTGGGAATGGTGCAGATGCCGTATGACGCAGAAGAGATCACGTCGTTCCTTGTAGAACCCAAAGACTCGAGCTTACCGGAGCAGGAATTGGTGAGCAGTGACGAGGAGAGCGATGACGAGGAGGAAGAGGTGTCTGCTACAGCTGGAACCAAGCGAAAGGCTGCATCTGCCAAGAAGAAGAAGACGAGAGGTCTCCGTAGTGTGAAGCAGCACCAGCACGCTTTCAGTCTGGCGTGGATTGCTGTACTGCGTCACAAGTTGCCTCAGGCTTCGTACAAGAAGGTGCTGGTGCAGCTCCCCGACGACATCATGCCGCACCTTGTAAACCCGCTGCTAATTGCCGACTTCCTCACTGACTCGTACAGCATCGGTGGCGTCACTAGTCTACTGGCACTTAACAGTCTGTTCATCCTCATCCAGGACTACAATTTCGACTCGCCAGACTTCTACAACAAGCTGTACGCTCTTCTGGACGATCCATCGCTGTATTCCGCCAAGCAACGCGACCGCTTCTTCGGCCTGTTGAACCTCTTCCTGTCCTCAACCCACTTACCGGCGTACACGGTCGCAGCTTTCGCCAAGCGGTTGTCGCGCAGGGCGTTGACAGCTGAGCCTGGCGCTATTCTGTTCATTATCCCGATGGTGTACAACTTGATTCTACGTCACAAGGAATGCCTGCAGCTTATCCATCGAACCGGTGCTTTCACTGCAGCAGAGAAGGCTGCTAAGCGTCGAGAGGAATTGTCAAGTGGGTCAGCTGTCGATGCTGCAGCCAAGAAATTGTCCAACGAGAAGACGGAGATGGTGCTGAAGGACGGCCACGACCCGTTTATTAACGACGAGCTGGACCCGATCAAGTGCAACGCGCTGCAAAGTTCTCTTTGGGAACTGTACACCATGAAGCACCACTACAATGCTGATGTTGCGTTGAAAGCGAGGATGTTCGAGGAGAAGCTGCGTCACCAGTTTGTGGACGTGGACGAGAGCATGGAGATCACGTACAAGAGTCTTTTCGACAAGCAGTTGAAGCGGAAGGAGAAGGGCAAGGTTCCTCTCGCCTTCCAGCCTTGCAACGCACTCTTCTCGACTGGTAGCGACGCTGAAGACAAGCAAGAGAGCAACGTGTTTGCCAAGGTGTTCGAGCTTTAGACTGTTTCTGGCTTCCTAGCTAATATATCCATCTTCATAGACTGTTTCCGTGTGTCGAGTGAGCGTCAAATTGTCATTTTGCTTGGCTACTGTAGTCGTAGAATATGTGCAAACCTAAGGTCTTGTCGTTAGTGTGGACGCAATGTCTTCGACAGGGGAGAACAGCAGGTTAAAGGCATCACAGGACTGAGATGAGAGTTTAGTTATGCGATGCGGAGGATGACATGGACACCACTGTCGCTTTCCACCAAGTCGCTGAGTTCGCCAACTTTAAGAGCAAACGCAGCCTTTTCAAACGAAGGAGTCATCTTGCCGCGCGTGAACGGCCCCAGGTCACCGCCGCGCTTCGCACTAGAGGAACACAGAAACGTGACCAACAGCAACACAAGACTCCATACTTTCAATACACGAACCTGCTACAGTCACTTTCTTCCTTAGCAATTGCCTCAAAAAGCTCGCGTAGTGCCTCGGCTGGTCTCTGCAATTCACAGATTCGAGTTAATTCCACTCGTTATACTCAAATAACCTCATCTTCCTGCGCAAACGTACAGCGTTGGCCTCCATACATGCCAGTAATTTATCGCGGATGCCACCTGCCTTAGCCTCCGCCACCGCTTTGCTGCGAGTGATGTTCTCCTGTCGCCAGGAGGAAGGTCTCCTGGATCCAGAATGTTTCACGAGGATATGCAGCGCCTGCAGTGAATTTCAGCACAAACCACGTCATCATGATCATATTAATACTACGACCCATCGGTGCGTCGTTTTAACAAGAGCCACATACCTGAACGCTCTCCGGGCCGGAGCCGTCGGCTGAACGGCGCTTTTTCGTGTCAGCCGCAGCGCGGTGTCTGAATTCGCGCTCCTTGGCGTGCACGTGTGAGAGCTTCCATGTCTTCTCGCCGCTCTTGAGGTGCAGGAAATACACCTTTCCAGGTCGGCTCTTGCTCTGCACCTCCTTCCAGCCGCGCGGCAGGTCCTTCGCTGTCGTGCTCATGCTTGCTACGGCCTCCGCTATTTCAACTTTGGACGTGATTCGCTGGAAATACTGGAATTTATGTCCAATCAAACCTGTGAAAGTTTGCGGAAAGCATAATGTTGCACTAAACTTTGAGCATGACTTCAGCCGGATTAAAAATAGCGCAAGGCTTAGAACAAGTACCGGTATCTGGGAAAAATCTAAATAAATGACGGGTAGATTACCGATCGATATTCCAGTACTTTATTCCAGTGGAATAACGCGACCTTTCGCTATTTCTGGACGAATACCAGAGACTAAAGTGAGTCATCAATCCCGCAAAGCTCGCCGCCTTGCACTGCGAACAAGATGCAATACATGTAGCAGTCGTAACACTGACGGGATATACCGATAAGGCAACCGTCAGCAGTGCTCAGCACTGAGGGAGCTCTGCTCCAGCCATTTTGAGAAGCTCTCGTTGTCAAGCGCTCGGACTCGACGGCACCATCTCTTCCCCCACAAGATGACATTATGATGCATAACAAGTGCGAAATCCCCATCTATCCGGACTTCTAAATGGCCAAAGACGAGGAATTCTGTTCAAATTTGACGAGTCCAGACGTGACAAGCGCATGGAGAGCTGCTCCATTGGGTGGCTCTGTGCGTAAGGGATTCGTTTTTTTTTCGCTAGGAGCAAGCTCCATGTCGCCGAGGCTCGAGCACCGCCTCACGGTCAAGCTCAGGCACTCACGAGATCATTCTTCTTTTGTCGGCGTAAGAGACAGCAAGCGATCGTCGCTACTCTCACCCCAACAGATATATACATACAACGGCCATGGGTTTCTCGGCGCTGTGGCGGACTAAGCCCATGTCGGTGATTCAAGCCGAGGAGATCAAGGAGGACATCCCGCGCACACTCAATCTGTTCGACCTTTGCTGTATCGGTATTGGCGGTACCATCGGCAGCGGTATCTTCTCCACCGCCGGTTCCATCATCTCGGAGACTGCTGGCCCCGCTGCCGTCGTCAGTTGGCTTATTGGTGGCGTTATCTGCTGTCTCAATGCGCTTGCGTACATGGAGCTGTCTACCCGTGTTCCGTCCTCTGGAAGTACATACGCGTACGCCTACCACACGATTGGAGAGCTCCCTGCTGTCGTCGCTGCATGGCTGTTGACTCTCGAGTACGCTGTGTCTGGTGCTGGTGTTGCGCGTAGCTGGGGGGACAAGGTCGAGGAGTGGCTGCTCGTTGAGTACCCGGACAAGAGCTTCCACTGGCTCAACCTGCAGTCTGCTAATCTCAGCGGTGGTCTCATCCAGTTCCTGAGTATGGTGGTGCTGTTAATGGGCGTTCGATTTGGCAAAGCTTTTGTGAACACCGTAACGATAGTCAAGATCGTCGTCGTGGCTTTTATCATCATCGCCGGCTTCAGTGCCATGAACCCGGACAACCTCTCTCCATTCGTCCCTACACGCTCTGATCTGGAGGGTACGACGGCGTTCGGAACGCAGGGCATTATCACTGGCACTTCGCAGGCGTTCTTCGGCTACGTTGGCTTTGATGAGATTTGTTGTCTCGCAGGCGAGGCCAAGAACCCGAAGAAGATCATGCCAATTGCCGTTATGTCCGTTGTGATCGGCACAATGGTTCTTAGTGCGCTCTGCTCCCTGGTTCTCGCCGGCTTGGTGACTTACGTCGATGCTGGCAGTTTCGGCGATGGCTTTGAAGGCCACGGTTGGAAATGGGCGGGAACTATCGTCCGTGCTGGTGAAGTGGTGACGATGCCCGTCGTAGCACTCATTGGCTTCTTGGCGCAGCCTCGCTTGAATTACGCACTCGCCTGTGACGGACTATTGCCTCGTGTCTTCGCTGAGGTGGATTCCAAGGGCAACTTGTTCAAGAACACGCTCATCACGGGTCTGTTCTTCACGGTGATTGCCATCGTGGTGCCCTTCGATACCCTCTGGGACATTGTCAACTTCGGTGTCATGATGTCGTTCATCATTGCAAACGTCTCCCTCACGCTGGCGCGAATGAAGCCACAGTCGCCGAAGCTGTCTCCGCTCCTGATTGCAGCGCTCGTCGTGACCGCTGGATGCACGGCCTTCCTTTACCAGGAAGGATACGAGAACAACTCTTCGACTGCGTGTCTGGTTCTCGCTATTATTTTCCTCGTTATCACCGTCGGAATCTCGGTAATTCTCTTCGTCAAGTGCCCGCAATCAGCCAATGCGCCCGGTTTGTTCGCCGCCCCGTTGGTGCCGTTCATTCCGACGATCTGCATCCTCGCCGACTGGTACATGATCGCGCAGATCGGCCATTTGGCTCTGGGTCTAAGTGTCGCCTGGATGGGTGTTGGCGCTCTCTCTTACTTTGTCTACGGACACTTCAACGCCGAATCGCGCGACAACTGGAGTCAACTGATGGGTCAGAGCCTTCCTCTTCACGGGGACAGCCTCTCGGCACCCATGCTCTCGGCCAAGTACTCCTCGGTGCAGGACCTTAAGTCCCCCGCCATATAGGTAGATGCGTGTGTTAAAACGAGGCAGCCGTGTCAACTTTGTAGATGACCTCTCCCTCAGTATAATGAAGCTTGCAATTGCAGCTCTGCAGCAGTTTAACACAATGATTCATTACTATTAATACGAAGTGCTTCGTATTGAACCACACACAGTTGAAGTTGCTGAGTTGCTCTAATGTTGCTCAAAACAAGAGCAACACACGTTGTGTGCACCACGTAATCATTTCAAATTCTACACCTGGACGCCACTATGCCGCTTCGCTCGCCTCCAGACGACGGCGACGGCGCTAAGGGGGCCGCACAAGGCCGCGAGACCGAGTACGGCACCTTCTCAAGCTCAAACTGCACCCAAGAATCGCCACGACCGGCCCAGAAGTCGCAGCAGAAGGCTGAAAACCCCGTCGTCAGCGAAATGTCCAAGCCTCCATTAAACGCGCTACATCCGGAGTCCCCAACCACCGCGTGGTGGCGTAAACTGTTCTTCGAGTTCTTCGACAAGAAACTACTACACAGTGAGCTAGACGCGAGTCAGGTATGGGACCTCACGCCGGAGCACACGAGCGCCGAGGCCTCCGCCGCTTTCCGAGAAGTCTACGCACAGAGCCACGAGTGTCGATCAATGTGCAGAATCAAACGCGCAATTTTCCAGACCCACAGGTGGAACCTGGCAATCTGTTGGACTCTGCAGTTCGTCAGTCTTCTGTGTGACGCCTCTACACCCGTTCTGCTATACATGCTACTGACTATGGCCATCTCCAAAGAGTATACACAGACGCAGATTTACGCTGTACTAGGTCTACAATACGTCACAGCACTAGGTGAAGTGCTTCTCCACTGTCACAGCCACTTTTTGGGCTTCAAGATCCACATAAAGATCATGGGGGCGCTACGTGCACTCGTGTTCGAGAATACTATCAGCCAGCCGGAGCATATTCCAGGCCATGCAGCTGGAAGCTACGACAGTGAGAGCGGCAAGAAGAGGATGGCGGAAGTGGCGCATCTGTACGCTGAAGATGTGGTGAATGTGGCGAAAATGGTGAACCACTTGCAGTTCTTGTGGCGGAGCGTGCTGCAGATTATATTTGAGCTCTGTATCCTCGTGCAGGTGATCGGCATCAAGTTCAAACCCGTGGCGATCGCTTTCCTGTTCATGGCAGTGTTTGCAAAGTTCCTATCAGCTTCTGGGAGTCGACTACGTCGCAAGCTGCAGAAGAAGGTCGAAGCGAGACTGAATGTGATTCACGAGTGCTTCAAGGGCATTCAGATGGTCAAACTCAACGCCTGGGAGGACAAGATGCAGGAGAAGATTGAACGCGCCCGGAAGGAGGAGAACCGAGAGCGTCGCAGGGTCAACGTGGTGGCTGCATTGCAGTATTGCGTGGGGGTGGACTCACCTAACTTGGCTTCTATATTCATCTTCGGGTGGGTTGCGCTGCAAGATTTAAGTGCGTTGTCTCCAGCTCGAGTTTTCCCGGCGTTATTGCTGCTACGTCGCATCAAGACGCACTTCTCCAATATCGCGCTACTTTTCGACGTCGCGAGTAAAGGCCAAGCATCTTTCTGCAAGATTGACAGCTTCTTGAGTGAATGCGATGCTAAAGCTAGTGCTCGAAGCCAGGCAGAGGATAGTAGACGACCTCAGCTGAGTACTACCAGCTCCAGTGCACCAGAAACTGTGGTGGCCATGGAACATGCGTGTTTTGGCGAGTCAACAGAAGAAGGGAAGGCGTTGCTGGCCAACGTCTCGTTCCGTTTACGGCGAGGCCAATTGGCTATGATTCAAGGAAAGGCAGGCGCTGGCAAGTCCACTATACTCAATGCTTTATTGGGCGATATCAAGTGTCTGGATGGAAACGTTTCTATTGCGGGAGATTGCCGAGTCGCGTACTGCGCACAGGAACCGTGGCTACAGACGTTGAGTATTCGTGACAACATCCTTTTTGGGTCGGCATTTGACTACAAGAAGTACTGGTGTGTGGTCGAAGCGTGCTGTCTGAAGGATGACCTGCGGATGTTACCAGAGGGTGACACTACACAGGTGGGACCGAAGGGTATTAACCTGTCGGGTGGACAAAAGGCTCGTATCGCGTTAGCACGTGCGTGTTACGCCGACGCGGACGTGTATTTACTGGACTGCCCTTTGGCTAGTGTTGATGCTATCGTCCAGAACGACATTTTCACCAAGTGTATTGTGGAGCTACTGCGGTTCAAGACGGTGCTCATGGTGACTCATAACCGCGAGCTGTCGGCATCTAGTTTCGTGGATCATGTGCTTCGTATTGAAGACCTCACGGTCGTCGTTGAGTCTGCTGAAAAAGGGTGGGAATTCGATCGTCATCCGTCCAGAAGAGCTGATCCACGGAACTCACTGCCTCCGTGGAAGAGCGAGGACCGACAAGACGAGAAGAAGAACGCAGCTCATCCACGTGATCTTGTGCTGTGGGAGTCTGCTGCACTACCACTGTCGTCAACAGCGATGCTTGTGAAGCCAAAAGCTACTGAAACACCAGCGAAATCGATCAGTACGCAGGTACCTGTGACGTCGGAGTGTGTTGGGCTAAAAGTAGCAAGGAAGTTCAAGTGGAAGGAGGAGTGGTTCTCGCGCAAGACGTGGAAAATGCTCTTGAAAGGCAACAAGTGCATACGATACCACGTTCCAGCCAAGTTTTTTCTCGTTCTCTACGCTGTCGCAGTCACTTCCAAGGACGTTTTTCTAATGAAATGGAGTGGCCGCGTGGATCAGGGAGATGTCTCGTCGATGCAACACTCAGCGAATGTATACGGTGCGTTAGTGCTCAGCTCAATGATCTCGGGATTCGCCAGCTCTGTGCTGCACGCTCATGCGATGGCTAACTCCGCCAACCTCATGTTCCACGAGATGACAGCAGCTCTTCTGCGTGCTCCGATGACGTTCTTCTACTCAACACCAGTGGGAGAGCTCTTCAATCGCTATTTCAATGACGTTCGTGTGCTGGATACGACGTTCGCGCTGGCGTTTATGGCCATGTTTCGCTCGGCAGTGACGATTCTCGCTGCTGATGCGATTCTTTGGTATTTCACGGGCGCTGCGGGCACCAGCATCCTTCTGATCGTGCTGTATGTGATCAAAGAATTCATGACGTTGGGCAGCTTTCGTTCCGTGCAGAAGCTGCCAACCTGAACTTCATCTCGGAGGCTCTGGACGGCTCGGCGACGATCCGTGCATTCGGTCGACAGCAAATCAATCGCTTCCGAGTGGAACATGGCGTGCTGTCGGATGAAGTGATGAAGGGGCAGTATCACACCGAGGCGTTCAACCGATTCGTGTTGATCCGCTGCGATCGTGTGCTGGGCATTCACATGTTGCTGCTGATGATATTGTTGTCTATGAACAACGTGTCTCCAGCTGAACTAGGTCTGATGCTGTACTATGTCTACACTATCAACTCGGATGTGTACACGCTGAGCTCCAAGTTGCTGGAAGTTGCGCTGTGTTTACTGAATGTTGAGAGAGTCCGCAAGTACGGACTGATCGAGCCGGAGTTGCAGAGTTACGAAGGTAACCCGCTGTCTATCCCGGCGAGCTGGCCAACCCGCGGTGATGTTGTGTTCGAGAATGTATCGTTCAGCTACGCTAGTTCGTCGAGTGACGACAAGCAATCGCTGGCGCTCTGTGATGTGAGCTTCTCTGTACAAGGTGGTGAAAAGATTGGCGTGGTGGGACGTACTGGATCAGGCAAGAGCTCGCTGGCGATGGCACTGTTTCGGGTTCACCCGTTGGTTAAAGGACGCATTCTTGTCGATGGGATTGATGCGTCGTTGCTGACGTTGAATGCATTGCGTACCAACGTGTGCATTATCCCACAGTCGCCATTATTCTACAGATGTTCGGTCCGTAATTATCTGGATCCGTTCAACGAGTTCGGTGACGTCGCGCTGCTAGACGCGCTGCGTAGATGTGGACTTAAGGGCAGCATGGCCAACCTCGAAGCCGAGCTGTCCGACAACGGAGAGAATTGGAGTTTGGGTGAACGGCAGATGTTGTGTCTTGCGCGTGCTGTGCTGCGGCCGTCACGTATCGTGGTGCTGGATGAATCTTTCTCTGCTGTCGACCAGACGAATCAATCGACGTTGCTAAACGTGCTGGACATAGGCTGCAGAGGCCAGGCTTTTTTTCCCTCTAACGCATCGACTTAGCCAGCGACATCAGTTCGCCAAGCTCCCGGGCGTCACAAAAGACCAAAGCAATAGTAGTTTGGCCCACAGAAAGACTCTTGAGCAGACCCCCCACATTTCTTTTCCGAGGATGTTGGAAACAACGCTGTTAACGTACTAGAGTGGACTACATGACATGTAGTCCACTCTAGTACGTTAACAGCGTTGTCTCCAAAAACTCGTATGAACCAATTGGCGGTGACCCGGGTCACCAACTTTTATTTGAGCAAAATCTGAAATATTTATTTCATTTTAGCACCAGGTAATTAAGTACCATTTCTCGTTTGGACTGCGATCCTTTCACTGCTCGCTCAAATGAGCGACCCTCCTACCACAGAACGACGAGCTGGCGGCACAGGTGGCTCGAGTCAGACTGCACCACGGAAGAAACAAAAGCCTCGGAATCGACTTACTGCATTTGAGCGTGCTACTTGGCACTGGGAAAGCTGAGCAGTAAAGCGCAAATCGTTGTCGTTAAAATATTTCTCGATTCCTGCCGAGTATTTAACTTACAATCCGGATGAATCAGCATTCAGCGAGAATAAGGACGAGTCTAGTGACGCTTACAAAGGTGCAAGAAGTACGAAGAGAGAAGTAGCTGTAGGAGTGCAAGCAAAGCGACCAATTGGATGACCTCGGAAGCAACAAGCTCATACAACGAAATTCACATTTATCCTGCGCTTTCTGACACCGCGTCCACAAACACCAAGCAGCCTGCATATCGATGATTCGAATTCGGGCACTTCTAGCAGCACAGTGATGACTAATGACCACGCAGTCGACGCCAATAACAACAATCAGTATCGGCAGCCTCAGATATTGAAGGCGACACCACATATTTAAGGAACGACATCATTTAGCTTAACTCGGACGTTGGATCGAAGCTGCAGTGCAGCAAGGAAAGGATAGTCGGCATTGCCTGATTACAGAAACTTAAATAATGCATATGTTTTATGACAGAATAGTTGAGTACCGGGTCATTGGTGTGACCCGGGTCACCGCCAACTGTTTCATGTCTAAAAACAAAAAAACAAATGTATTATACATATACATACATGCAATAACTCTAATGATGGAGGCGTATGAAGTACATTGTCAGTTTAAGCGTGTTTGTTGGTTATTGTTTTTTTATTAAGCAGGGATGTCATCGTGAATACTCACCCTTTGCATAACTTTTGCTGAGCGATCTTTCTAACATACTGCGCTACGTCGATATCAATCTGCTTGAACCCGTAGTCAGTCTTGCAGAGGTACACCATCAACTGCCAGAAAAGTCTTCAAAAGGGTGGCAGCATCAATTCATTCTTGATCTCGAATGCCGCTTGGATCATCTTAAAATCAGAATGATCCAACTAATGCATAGCATTTGGTATTACTCTGTTCGAGTGGTCTCATACAAAACTTTTCGGTGGCAACACCTTGCAGCAGCACTCTCTCGATATATTGACTTATCAAGCCCGATAATCATCTTGTAACGATTGTAAATCCGAAAATGAGAAGTATGCCACTGGAGAATGCAGGCATAAGCAAATTTCATCAAGCGCGTCAACGTTAAAGCGAGCGCCGATCAGAGCCTCTACCGCCAAAGACGAGTACGCCAGATACGCTCGGCTGGGCGGTCTCTCCGTTTGATAAAATTGAAACAGCAGGTGCCTCATCGGTTTAATGAATACTTCCTCGAAAAAACGAAGCATAGTCTTTAAGTTTCTGGTACCCAGCTTTGGTCCAAGGATTTATGAAAGCAACTGTCCTTGACAAAGTGGGGGTAAGTAAAAGAGTGTGGACTAGCGAGTACACAGGCAGGAAGAAAAAGACCGTAATCGAGAGCTCCACCAGATTCTTCATTGTTTCCGATTGAAGTAATAGGTCCACGTGACCTAAGGGTGATAAGCAGCACCCTTTCTCTCCGTCAGCGCCACTACCGCCGACAGCCGGAATGTTTTGCTCTTGATGCGTTATGGTTTATCTCCTTGCAGCTAACGTCGAAGTCGTTACTAGCGGGGTACCGCAGTAGTGTAGAGCTGAACGCGAGACAAGAGAAGGAAACGCAGGAACACTTGAGCTTGTTGCCCACAGAGAAGGAATGGAATTAGAGGAGGAAACCTCGAAGGTGACAACCCCCTCTCTCTTATACACGCAGTATACACTAACTGTCGCGTAAAAATACGATCGTCCTACGTATACTATACCGTAACAGTAGAAGCAAGTTCCTCAGAACTGTGTGATCAGGCGGAGCTCGACACGCCAATCTCCACACTCCCACTTCGGGATCCGCCATTCTACCATCCTCGTATAACAACAACTTAGTCATCCTTAGTAGCATCACTCTCCATTAATGGTAGCGGTACCACATTCAATAGCTTGCGCAACTTGGAAAATTGAGTTGATCCAAGTGGTTTCGTAAATATATCTGCAAGCATTTCAGCCGTAGGGCAGTAACGTACATCAAAGTCACCCCGTTCATAGAGATCTTTCACCTTGTGATACTTTAAATCCACGCCTTTGACTTTGTAGTTTCCCTTCGTAGATTTAATAACTTTAATCGTCGACTGATTGTCTTGAAACAGCACAGTTGGACGACGACGACAAAGTTTGAGTTCTTCGCAAAGATTATGGGTCCACACAATCATCACAAAACATTCTGCAGCAGCAATGAGCTCAGCACTGCATGTATCATCCTGAGTGATCGACTGCTTGTGGCTCTTATAGGCGTAAGTACATCCATTCATCTGAAGTACAAAACCTGTGATCGATCTGCGATCATCTTTTTCATTTCCAAGATCAGCATCAGCATAAGCTGTAAAATGCAAATCCGAGTTTGCAGGTTTCTTCCACAAAAGCCCATAGTCACGAGTGCCTCGTAAGTAACGCAGTACTCGTTTCGCCATCACAAAGTGTTCCTTAGTATACCTTTTCAAATACTTCCCTAGAGTTCGCACAGCATTTGCTAGCTCAGGGCGAGTGCCTTGCACCAAGTATTGAAGAGATCCTACCAACTCACGATAGGGTATACTCGGATCGTTAACTCCAGGTTCATCATCATCTACAGTATCAGGTAAATTTCCTGTAGCTTGTGGTGTAGCCACTGGCCGACAATCTTCCATACCAAAGCGTTTCAGCACCTTATCAATGTAGCCACTTTGAGACATCCACAAAACATCACCTGGAACATATGAAATCTCCATATGCAACAGATCTTTGACAGGACCCAAGTCCTTAATCTTAAACTTGGCTCGAAGTTCTCGAAGCACCAACTCAATATTCTCCTCAGTGCCAGCGATAATCAAATCATCGATATAAACCGACACAAATATTGGGCTGCCTCCCACTGAGCGAACGTAAATGCCTCCATCCATCTTCGATCGACGAAAGCCTAGCGACCTCAAATACTTGTCCAGTGTCTGGTACCATATCATTGGCGCCTGCTTCAATCCAAATAAACTCCTCAGCAACTTACAAACTCGATCGGATCCATCATCAAAATATTCTGGCATTTCCATGTAAATATCAACGTCACCAATCGGTCCATTCAAGAATGCTGTCACGAAGTCCACATGACGACAAGAGAGCCCCAAATGAAGTGCCAATAGTAGGATAAACTTTACAGCCTCTTGTGCGACAACTGGAGAGTATGTCTCCCAGAAGCTCACCCCATATCGTTGTTGACACCCTTCGATAGTGATTCTGGCACGGTGGCGAACATAGTTTCCGTGAGCATCGCGTTTTCGCACAAACACCCATCGACTTGTCAGCACCTTCTTGCCCTTTGGTCTCTCCACTAGTTCCCAAGTATTATTTCTCATCAGGTCTCCATATTCTTTCTTCAGTGCTTGGATCCACTGATCTGCATCAGGAGCAGACAATGCTTCTTCCAGCGTTTGTGGTTCCATAATTGAGTTAACGGCCTCAATCATCAAACTGAGTGGAAGCTCTACTTCAAAGTCCTTGTAGCGTGAGCTAGGCCAGCGAGTGCGATGTGAGCGCCGAAACGACTCCGTTGTGTCATTCATCATAACATCATCTTCACTCTCGCTGTCTCTGATCGCATCATCAACTTTATCCACTGGACTAGACGGATCACCAATCGCAATTGGTTCCTTGTCCTCCATATCATCATACTCAACGTCTGCATCAGTGACTACCCTCTCTTTCCCCACTGAAGGTGATGTGTGTGAAGCCACAGGAGGCTCAGCCACTGAATCGCTGTTAGGCAAATTCATGTCTGTGTCACCTTCTTGACCTTCACTATCAGTCCACTTTACACGAGAAGGGTTAGCTTCACGCTGTAATAACTGATCTCCTGTCGCAACAGGAAACATCTCAGCCTCAATCAACGGCAGCCTGTCAGGCGCACCTGGACATGCCGGAGAAGACCGCACCTCAGTGTAATGAGAATTAGTATCACCAATACCACCATCGCAATGGCGTCGTTTTGTACGAACTTCATCGTGGATCGACGAATCTTTCGTCGTAGACGACAGCACTGGTAAACGGACAAATGGAATAATCGCTGGTAGCACTTGATGCCCTTTATTGTAGCGATTGTTCAGCAAGCCTTCTACGTAGCTGCGTTCCACCGTCCAGTCTTCATGAAAGTCCACAGAACGAACCTCTTGAATATTACCAGTTACCAAACTCAACACACGATAACTTTCTGAGTGCTTGGCGTACCCCATGAGCAATGCAGGTTTGCCAGGATTCTCCAGTTTCGACATACGAAGCACCTTTGGTGTGAAAACGTAAGTCAAACAACCCCACGTACGCAACGCAGATACATCCGGCCGCTCTTCAAAGCGTCGAAAGTATGGCTTCTCTCCATTCAAAGCACTCAAAGCACAAATGTTACCCACTTCAATCGCAAAGCTGAAGGCTTCGCCCCACAAGAGATACGGCATATCTGCAGTTGTAAGTAGACAACGCACTCTCGCCATAATAACTCCGTTCATTCTCTCCACCAATCCGTTCTCCTCCGGACTGTAAGCATTGGTCCATGTGTACTCGACACCATGACTATGAAGAAACAAACGCAGCTTCTTGTTCAGGAGTTCACGGCCTTGATCTGAATTGAACACTTGTATCTTGTGTCTTTGAGACAAAAGCCAATTCACGTGAGCTATAACTGCTTCAGTTGCATCTTCCTTCCTCTTTAGCAAGAAGCCCCAAAGATATCGCGTGGCCTCATCTTGCACCAGTTGGAAGTGCATGTATCCATCATAGGTCGCAATACCAACGTAGCACATATCAGACATCAGCTTCTGATAAGGCTTGGTAGCACGGCGAGTCAAGGTCTTCTTGTATGACATCCGAGTCATCTTCGCCGACTTGCAACTCCAGCAAGGAATTTCAGCATCATCATTCAAGTTCTCTTCCATTCCGGTTGTAACTTGTTGTTTTGCCATTTGCTGTAGAGCTGGGAGATTTGGATGTGCAAACCGGAGATGCCAACGTATAAGCGACGTTGCAGCTTCTCTACGGTCACGCTGGTTCACTGCTGGAACATGATAAACTGCACTAGCAGTTGTCTTCAAACGGTATCTACCACGAGACTTCGCAAACAGTAGCTGTAGACGACCTTTTGTCAGGTTGTGAATCACGTCGAGCTGTCTTCAACGACCATCCAGCGTTCTCCAGTGCATCAAGACTCAGAAGATTATCCGGAGCTGAAGACTTCAACAGAACGTTCTCCAGTTGCAGTGATACTTCTTGATGCGGCTGGTTGTTGTTCATCACCTTGATGTTCACATTACCTATTCTCTCGTTATCAGTAATATTACCATCATAGCCCTGAAAGACGTGCTTGGAGTCTTGCTGCAATTGAGACAGCAACTCCAGTTGGTTACACACATGTACATCACTCGCAGAATCCAAAGCCCACTCAATGTCATCACTTGCTGCATTCGACACCGAAGCAACCATCAATGACTCGCGAGAAATACATCCAACAGCACTAATCTTCTTCTCCTTCTTCTTACTTTTACAGTCACCACCAGACCGGTTTTGCCAACGTTTGCGCTCCGATCCTTCAGACGAAATTCCAGCTGCTCGATCATCAGATGAATCTTCATCACGATTCGGACAGTTTGGACGTAGGTGACCAACTTCTCCACAGTGAAAACAGTCTTGCTTTCCAGTTTTCTTGCCAACTTGTTTAGCATCCTTCTGCTTTTTACCGCGAAAAGTTCTTTTGCGCTTGCCTTTACCTGAATTTTGCTTCTTCTCTTTGTGTTGTGTAGACTCGCGTCCACATGCAGCTATTCCAGCAGGCAACTGCTCCTCCGAGCCAATCTTCTCATCCAGAGCTGACTCAGCGCGTAAGGCGTTCATCACCTGAGTCGCAGTAGGTACAGGTCGGACTGATGCACCATCACCTCGAACCACATAGTGTTTTGAGAACTGACGAACAACATCACGATGTGTTCGTGCCACATGACCAAGAAGAGTCTCAGCATAGTCTTCATCCGTCACACGTCTACCATAGTGTAGCAATTGGCGTCGCATTGATTCCATCTCGCGTAACCATTGATCCATGCCCTTATCCGCTGTATACACATGCGAATAAAACTCTGCTCTAGCAAAAATGTAGTTGCGTTTAGTTTGTTTATCCACAAATGAATTCCACATCGCTTGAGCAGTCTCCTCTTGACAAATCATCTCTGCATCTTGAGCTGGAACATCAGACAAAGTAGCTTCACGGGCGATGTTATTCCTGGCAGCGAAGTTAATCTGTTCGACTGGAATATTCGGATCGAAACTACCGTCAACCACACTCCAACAATTCAGCCGAGTCAAAAGCGCTCGCAAGTGAGCTGCATACAGATCAAAACTTCCTTTCATTTTAGGTACATTGTCCATTTTCACTGGCAACGCGCCAAAGCCAACACGAGGCAGGCCAAATCCACCTTGCCCTGGTGTAATTCCTCCAAAATTAAAGCCACCAACGTTATATCCTCCACCACTAACTCCAGGAACACTAGCAACACCGCTAGCGACTCCACCCGACATTCCACCGGTAGTCACAGCTCCCGCAGTAGCTGTAGATACAACTCCAGAGACTCCACTCGTCACACATGACACAACTTGTGTAGACGTAGCTGAAGCTACCGGTATCTGTGTCGTCGTGGCTTCAGCAGAGGCCATCAACGACGTAGCAGTAGCGATCGAAGGAACTACAGTTCCAGTTGTAGAACTTGAACTCGGAAGCGACGTACTGGACATTCTCGACTGTGTTGTACTAAACGTTCTCTGGTAACTCCACACAGAAGCTTGGGCTCATAACCTAGCGGGGTACCGCAGTAGTGTAGAGCTGAGCGCGAGACAAGAGAAGGAAACGCAGGAACACTTGAGCTTGTTGCCCACAGAGAAGGAATGGGATTAGAGGAGGAAACCTCGAGGTGACAACCCCCTCTCTCTTATACACGCAGTATACACTAACTGTCGCGTAAAAATACGATCGTCCCACGTATACTATACCGTAACAGTAGAAGCAAGTTCCTCAGAACTGTGTGATCAGGCGGAGCTCGACACGCCAATCTCCACAGTTACCGTCCTGTCGCGGTGCGTCACGGTCTGTTCTCAGGATCTGAGCCTCGGCAGTACTGCATTGCCAAAGCTTGACAAGAATTCCCACGATATTCGCAGGTGGCGTCCAATTCTTGGTTAATCGCGCTATGATATGAAGGTCTCAGACTGGGACTCCCAGTATTCGTGCCGAATGTTTTTGAAAAATGTTGTGTTTTTGGAAAAATCAATAGTTCGCCTGCACTGCAGGTGGCGTGCGGCCAGGTCAGTGCCGCGATCCGGTCGCTGTCCAAACGCGGCAACTGCCATCGATGACTAGAACTGGTAGCTCCCAGTCATTTGAAATTGTTTCTCCAAAGAAGCAATTTCCTGGAGAATCCGCTTCGGAACGTCAGAAGACTTGTACAATAAAGGATTTAACATTTTTCGGGAAATGGACAACGAGAATAAAAAAATATTGACTCAAACTTTTTACTGTTGGAACACGAAAAAATAAAAACTACTTCAAAGTAATAAAAATACAAGACCGCTCCGAGAGGCAAAACCTAGCTTACTCGTCGTCCCAATGCAGGAGATGCTTCGCATGAAGCTTCGTGGACTCGTGGATCTCCTCCACACCCGCAATCGGTAGTCGGCAGTATGGACAGCATTTCTCTCCTTGAAACGCCGCGTAGCACACCGCGCACGTGAAGTGATCGCACGGGAATGCCACTGCACGCACACACAGCAAGTTCGAGTAGCAAATGCTGCACTGTAGTTCTTCTTCGGCCAGACGGTTCGCCAGCGCATCGTGTCGTTCATTCGTGTATTTCCTTTTGGAATCCTTCGCTGCACCACGACGAGGTGTCTCGACCCAGTTCTCCATCTGAGTCATCGCGTCCATCGCTGCTGGAGCACACGATGCCGGTAACCCGTTCCATAATAACTCACGAGTAGCCCTACGCACGTGTTCATCCACCTCTTCTTCATCTTCCTCTCTTAACGAGGCTGTTGCTGATGTACCCATTGACGCACCTGTCCCTGCCGACGTCGTAAGTGCGTCTGCCTTCGCAAACAACGAGATGAGTCCGCCCACCACAAAGCCAGCCATGCCGCCGACTACAGCTCCCACCATGGCCCCTGCCAACACCTGATTCGCATTGGACGTCACCTGAGGCGACGCACCGAGCCCATATCGCGCCCACGTCACGAAATGCTCGCAGTTGTGCGCCAAGCAGCTGTACTGAGTCTCTCCGAGTCTCGACATGGCTCTCTGCACCACCTCATCACCGCTAAGCGGCAGTACATTGTGATCAGCGAGCATTCTCTCGTCCAACTCGTCTGAAAACGTCTCAGGTGCTTCGGAACCGGAACCGGCAGCTCTTTGCACGAAGCGGACGGAATCCACGCGCACCTGAAAATCGCTTTCGCCCCATAGATGAACGACTCGACCGCCACCCACATACAGCGCCAGGTGACTGTACTGCCCACGGTCAAAGCGAACAACGTCTCCAAGCGCGAACGACATTCTGCGACTGTTCGACGCAAATGGTGGAATGGAAAGGTGAAGTTAAAAAAAAAGGATCAGGTTGCGCTAAATCAGAAAAGAGTTGCACACTTAAGTTGCTCTAGCGCCACTTTACAAAATTTGATCCCGACCAAAGTCATGCGCAGCGCTAAGGCCGTGCGGAGCGACCAGCCGTTCCGCGCGGGGAAGCAGCAGTCCCTGCGTCGCTACGTGTCTGCAGGGTCGAGCCCTGTCGCGCTGACGCCCAATTTCTCGAGCCTCTCGCCGTTGTATCCGCTTCCAGGGTCTCCGCATTCAGCGGGATCGTCGCCGTGCTCCACGAGCTTGGACGACGCCATTGGTCATCTCTTTACGCGGTATTTGCCCACGTTTTTCGACCTACTGGAGAAGTTCCAGTATCAAAAGGTTCGTTTGGGCTATTGCCTTTATATTTGGGGTCTGCATAAGGCACTTACATGGTTTGGTAGGCACTGCTGATCGTGGAGGACGAAGAGGAGACACGATGGAAGAGCTGGAATGCTGTCAAAGTCATGCTGAAGCTCGGCGCGTCATGTGAGAGCACGTGCGTCGGTTATGTTGCTTGAAGATTGCTGTGTGACTGCTCGACGCTGACTTTGAGTTGCTATAGGTATCACTTAATGAAGTATTTGGAGGCGGAGCTGGTGCAGTCAGACACAATCGAGCAAATGTATGGCAAGCTGGTCGTGCTCATGAACCACCTGGCAGACGAGCTGAAGCCCATCGTGGCGAGACAAAGCCGACACTTCCCCGTGCACACTCCGACGCCCCGTGGGATTAGCAACGCGAATGGAAGTCGCGATGGACAAAAAGAGTGCGAAGCGGACTCCATGCTTATGATGGAGATCGCAATGTGTGGAGACATGAACTACTACGTTGAGTTGCTAGAGCAAGGAGCAGAGTTCTTCTCGGTGAGTTTTTTGTAAATAATTATTTGATGACGCAAGATTTGACCTTTTTTGGGATCTTTTGGGCAGCTTCGTGTGCCCATGATACAGATCTATCGAGGACTGGCACTTTCCTCGGTGCCTCGTGACTACCACAGTGTAAGACTGCAACGTGTGGAGACTTTTCAGCTGGTTTTTGGAGCTGATAGCACTATTTCCTTCAGATGCTGAAACGATTGGAGAATTTGCTGCTGCGTTTTGACGCATTCGATCACCCGCTGCTGGAGACGATGAAGCAATCAGCTATCGAGGAGCTGAGTACCTTGCACGCGGCTATCCAGTGTGAAGTTCGCGTGGCGGAGTATGATTTCACGCGCTCAATCGTCGCTTTGCACCGACTGAAAGTTCAGCTGCGCTCCTGGAGTGACCATATCGATGGCGTCTCTGACTACCCGCTATTCGAAGGCAATGGCGTTGACTTTGGTGCTGGTGGCGAAGAAGAAGGTCTGCTTCTTGATGAATCGGACGAGAACTACGGCGTCACGTCGGACTCGATGTACTCCAATACAAGCTACCAGTCTTCTTCGTCACTTGCTCGTGGCCACATGCTCAACTCGAGTCTAAGTGGAGAGTCCCATCATGCCAGTGGGATTCCAGGCATTCCTTCCTCGCTAGCTGAGTCGCTGGTGTCATATCGCGGTGGCCGATATGCGAATATGGGGGATACTTCGTATGATATTGCGGACGAAATGGCCTTGCTTGAAGGTCATCACTCGGGCGTGTCGCTAAACAGTGCCAGTCCAGCGTCTTCGGAGACTCACAGCACCTTTAGACGTCTATTATCACACAGCAGTCTACTGCGACGAGGTGGGTTGGCGTCTGCGTTGCCTATTCGACGTGGCCTCGTTCAGAAGCCAGGAGATCCGTACGTCAGCTCGATAGGTGCGAGCTCGTCCACGCCGACGATCACTCTGGAGCAAGCCATTTTGGGTGGAGGGACTGGAACAGGAGGAAGTGGCGGTAATGCTGGCACATCTCTTGGAACGCAGAGTATTTTGAACGGTGGAGGTGTTGCTGGTGGCAGTACCAACCCAGTGGCGGCTGAAATGATGGCATCGTCCATGAAAAGACAGGAACGAGACGATGGCTTCGCTCTGCCAGTGTTCCAGTGGTCCAAGAGGTTTTATCGCTCTCTTGTGGCCAAGTTCTCGCTGTACTTCCACCGCTGGCTGGAACCATTCGAGAAGAAGACCGATTTCCTGACGCTGGAGCTGCCTCGCTTTATCAGAACGCCACTAGGGATCTCGTATCTCGGATTGATGGACGTCCTGCTATCTCGAGGTTGTAGAAGGCAATTGAGTGTCTGGTATTTGAGGTGTATCGCTCTAACGTTGTTGTGTCTATTACGCTTCAGCCCAACGAGGAGATGGGAGTGATATTCGAGTCATGTTCATTCTGGAGACACAAGCGCTTGAGAACAAGGGCGCGCATTACTACGAGAACGGCTATCGCTGTCCGAGTTCGAGTAAGGCGCTTTATACCCGTACAGACCAAGAGAAACAGGATGAGCAGGTGGAACACCAAAAAGTGATTGCTTTAGCTGGTTCTGCTAACGCTTCAGGAGTCAGTAGTCGCACACATTCGCCTGCATCTTCCAGAGGAGGAGGCGCGTCACCGGCAAATGGGCATCGCAGGTCTATTGACCAACAGAATCACGCGCTGTTCATGCGTGTGGACCGTGAGGAGAACGAGGAGCAGAACGACTTTTCTGAGCTCTGGGGTCTTCGTAGTTGGCCGGCGGTGTTCTGCTATCCGGAAGGCTCGTCACCTCCTCTGGATCACTGGCCGAACATTGTCAGCCTCATCATGGACAATCGATCCGCACTTGACTCGGTTCGCCCTGTGTAAGTTCTGCAAGTATTGAAAACAGTGTTGAGACGTTTACTTACCCTCGTATGCGATGGGTAGCTTCCTGCACTCAGAACGAAGACAGAAGACAACGTATCACATCTCGAGAGTGGACGAGGCCATGTACCTTGTGCTTCTGGCCGAAGGAGTGAAGAAGTCGAACGAGAAAATTGCTCAGGTAGGCTACGAAGCGTCTATGAAGTTTTATTTTTCATCGTACTGACATTAACATGACGAGCAGGACTTTATGCAAACTGTAACAGAGAATTTGCAGCACTCGGGGGCATTTGCACCTCGTGTATTAGCTACAGTCGAGGCGTCTTCGGCGTAGATGTTTCAACGCATCTGATGGCATTTTGTAGGTAGCGAGCGATCAATGCGATGGGTTTTGTTTATTAAGTGACACGAAGATGGACTTGTGGTTTGGGGGGCATCTTAGAGAATGTAGACGGGCTTGACGTCGGTAGATGAGAAAACATCTTGAGTGTCGACGCACTTGATCGTGCCGTCGGAGCTGCGCTGTGTAAGGAGTTCAATGCCCTGCTTGCTGTATACTCGGCCATTGGGAAGCACAAGCGGCGGATTGTGCTCGTCCATGACGCTTTGCGTTACTCGGCACACCAGTCGAGAGTGTGGATGATACGCAAATGGGAGTCCCGCGCATAATTGGCTGCCCGCTTCGCTGCAAGCTGGACAGATCGGCACTGCGACCTCAGCACGTGTGTACTTGCGCTTCTTGCTACTAGCCGAGTTAGCTGACTCCCCCTCGGATGCAGTAATTGCCTTGAACCACTCCTTGTTCTCGTCTTCGCTGTCTCCATCGTCGACATCGTCACCTTCTCGACGTTGTCGCTTGCCTTGAGCTTCACTGTGTGCAAGTCTCGCCTTCAAATTAGCATCTCGAGTGAGATGACACGCTCGAGTATTCAGCGTAGACAGTCCGGCATGCAACGCAATACACAGCGACGGCGGATCGTGCATCCCATACACGTCATTGAATGCCTTACGGAACATTTTCTCCAGTGTCAGCCATCTGTCCACAGCGAAAATCTTCTCGTACGTCTCGATGCCGCACTCTTCAGGCGACTTGAACGCCAGCGTCGCCATAGCGATCTGCACTTCACCGATCGCCGCATCACGAAGACTTTGCTTGTCTGGCTGCATCGCTAGAGGGGTCAGAAATGTGCGTGCGTGTTGGACAGCCTCTAGCGGCTTGTGAGCGCGTACAAACTCGATAAAATCCTGCAGTCGCAAGTGGAATTCCAGCGGCGACTGCAGGCGTCGCAACCGTGATCCATTCTGCGAGCACCACGTGAGTGCCTTGTCTGTGTGGTGAGCTTGTAGATCCTTCAGCACCGCTTGACACTCGCCATGAAGCTCGTGATCCACCAAGTGGCCGACATCTACAAAATAAAGTCAATTATCCGTATAAAGTCATAAAATATTGCATGAATCCTATTAAAACTGTCACCTTTTGTGTCTTCGATGATCTTGGCACTCTCGAGGTATCCTTGACCCAGCAAAAAGTCGGCGATGAGTCTGTCGTTGATGGATCCGGTCTGGTGGCTTGATAACGAGGGGTCACCCTCGATCTTTGCCTTTTTTAAGCTCTCAGCGTACTGTGCACGTGTGATACAGCTCTGTAGGTCGGTCTGTTGCTCGAGTACATGATTCTTGGCACTTTTCTTCAAGTCCCGGAGCTTTTCTGTCAGCTCCGCGAGCTTCTTGATGGCCATCTCGACGTCCATGCGATGTCCAGGCTGTTGCCCGTCGCCGTCGTCCAGCGCCTCAATCTGCGCCGCAGCCTGCGCCAACTCGCGCGTAAGTTGCTTATGGTACAGGCGGAAGCTCTTGCTGGCGCCCTCGAAGGGCACGCGCACAAGCGGATAGCTGAGCTCCATGTTTGCGTGGGTTTCCTGTGGCTCCAGAGCGTCTAGAAGATGTCGCGACGACTCGGCAAACGCTTGAGACTTCCAATGAAGAGAATATGGCAAAAGAGAGACAGAAACAGTAGAGAAAAGCCGTCAGGAGCGACTTTTCTCTCCTGGTTGAAGCTGTTCTGCTATTTTACATGAAGTGAGACCTACAGATAAGAAGAGAGGGACAGACAGCGAGACGCAAACGACCGCTAGAGTGTGCAGACTGTGAGGAGGGCTAGAGGTCACGCCGTGAGCAAGTCAGCGGCGATAGGATGCTAGCGGAGACTGTGCAGCGCCGAAGGTTCTTGAGGAGTGACCATAATTCTTTGGAACTATCCACTCAAATTCAGAAATACCTCGTTTGTAGAGATTTTTTCAAATAGAAAGGTTTCCAAATTGTCAAAAAGCGCAGTATTTCTGAAATGAAGCAGGGGATGAGATGCAACTGCCTTGCAACTTTGAACTTCAGCAAAATGTTGTCTATAGACAGTCAGCCTACTCGAGCCACAACAGCGAAGAACGGAATGTAACGTGACGGTACGTGCGACTTCCCTCTCCAAGCATACGCTTATTTCTAAACACAATGAACGTCGTCAGTACAGTTTGCCAGCAGATAGTTGCTCATCGCACCCACACGCAGATCAAATACGTGCCTTGCGGTTGAAGCGCTTGCGAGTAGCTCTCTTCTCGTTCTTTGCGTCGACCTTCTGCTGTTCCTCATACGAGAGCGACTCGTATTCCTTCTGCTTCTTCTCGTTCAACTCTGCCAGGCGGCGGGAGGTTTTCTGATAATAGAAAGAAATGAGAAGCATTAGACACTAAACGCATTGGTGACAAACTACACGCAGCACGTGCATCTTCCTGGGCAGACGCTAGAGCCTCAGCTGCCTGCTTGATCTTCACGCGTCTCTTGATGGCGCTGTGCTTTGCCTGCACACGACAAGACCAAAACAATATTGTTAATGGAACTTTATGTAGCACAGAGTGAGCAGCACAACGACGTACGTTCGGTGACAGTTTGATAGTGGTTCCTACGCCGTCAACCAGGTCAAACACGAGCTGAAGCGCCTTCGGGACGTCCAGTTTCTTGGAGCCAGCCTGGAGCTTGAAGCGGACTCGCAGAACGTGATTCTGCGTCCTCGGCATGCCACTATGACATGACACAGGTCGTGTCAGTCCTTGATTACTTACAATGATCACACTCAAACACTCACATGATCAGCTGCTTGTTCATGTCAGTGATGACAATGTACTCGAGAAAATCTTCCAACTCATTAAGTGACTGCAGCAAACACATCAGTCAGTTAACACTGTGATGAAATGCATCCATCAAACCACAATAGCAATGAAGTACCGCTTGGATAGAGTGCGTCAGCGCTGCCTTGGGGATCTCGGTGCAGTCCGTAGAAACCCACATCGACTCGGGCACCTCCTTAACCGGGACTTGTTTCGCCGTTTCAATCTACAGTGCAGCATTGTATAAAGATTAGAAGGAAATGACCACTTTAAGCCAGAATGAAGTCATAACACACGTACGAGTTCAGGGAAAACCTTGGACAGCGCGGTGAAGCCCAACTTCTTGCAGATACCGAAAATAAACGGGTCCACTTCCTCGCCATGGAGACCAACGTCAATCGTCTGCATATCATATCACGTGTCAGTATTGCAACACACATTCGATAGTTTGCTTCTTGTTGCTTACCAAAAAGTCGGACGTCGGCACGACGATGCGATAAATTCGCGAGATGAGGTCGTGACGAGATTTCAGCTGCAAAACACACACACGTTAGCACTCATTATCATAGCTGAGAGCTATACAGACGGCAAATACCTCCAGGTCAGCAACGAAACGCGTTAAGAAGCGGCGGCCCGTGCAGAAATACTTGAAGTTGCTACGACTCTCCTCGATGAGTCCCATACCGTTCTCTACCGACGACCCTGTATACGAGAACTGGGTGCGTAACACAGGCTCCGCTTCCTCCACCCTACGTCAAGTCATTCTCAATAAGTGGACACGGCTCATTGCCACATCGACACCAACTATCTCCGTACCATTTGTACGCAATCTTGCGGTTCTGCGACTTGCCGACGAAGAAGAGCAGCACGAAGACGATGCCGAAGCCCCAGCTGCACGCCTCTGTCACGAAGTAGTCCGCTGTCCAATTGACAACATGCGTAGTCATCAATAAGTACCTGTAGACTGACCTTTGTGAGTTGGTTAAAAGGCGACGAACGGTTCTGGAAGGGAATAAACTGCTTGGCCAGCATCGTAAAGTCCCGCGCGGGCACCGTACGTGAAGGCGTCGGGGGTGCGGCCTCTTGGGTCTGTAAGTGGTATCAACACGTCAGCGCCTTGTCCTCAATAGAGCTGTTGAGATGTTTAGTATGACCTTGAAAACTTACCTCCGCGACGTCGAACTCGTCCGCTTCATGGGCTAGTTAACGGCACAGAGGGGATTAGGACATTGTAGACGTCTAAAGGGAGAGAGTATTATTCTTCTCACCGTGCACGAACGCCATTGCCATTGCCAGCAGCGCCAGCACTCCAACTTTGCGCCAGCACATCGTCCCACAGTACGTGTCAACCTTGACTACTGGTACCGGGAGGTAGAGGTATCACTTAAAATCGCACCTAAAGGGATATGACGAATTTGCGACGTTGAAGTACCATGGTACTAAGCTAAGCTTATCATTCGAGTGGCTTTTAAGACGTCATGTTAGTGATCTCCCGCTCTAGATTCTGCGTGGCTGTGGTTTCCTGTTGCAGTCGTTGTTGTAGTTCGCGATTGCGACTCATAAGTTTCCGTAGTCGTTCGTGGTCGGGGGAGGACGCTGCACTGGTAGCCGACGAAGAGACGGACGACACCGACGACGTCGACGTCTTTCGCTGCAATCTGCCGTGCGGTGAGCGTGGAAGCGGCTTGACTCGCTCCACACTGCGGTGACGGGTTGCCTGTACCCCACGGGGACTTGAACGGGTCGTCGACTGCCACTTTCGCGACGACACTTTCCTGGATGCCGAAGGGGATTCCGGCGAGCTTGCTGGACGAGTCGTTGTGCTTGTTTTGGAGACCCTATAGTGAGGTTCGTCATCGTGGTCACTGCGACTGCTGTGCGGGGAAGCAGGTCGGCGTTCGTGAGCACATGAACGTTTATGGGGTGATACTTCGTGCTCGACATGACGGAATGCACCGTTGTCATTGGCATCATACTCTTGCTCCATATGCCACACACTCTTGCAATTAGTCGAAGATGAAGCGGTTCGATGTTTCGTTTGCTCTCGCTGCTGTGAATACTCTTGATCAAGATGTGTATCTTGCTGTGCAGCAATTGCGTTGTCATTGCGAACAAGCATCCATTCGGAAAAGAGCGAATTCTGAGCCTGGAGCGACGCCAGGTCTTCCTGAAGCTCGAGGACATGCTGCTCCACTTGAGCTTTCTCTTCTATTGCCCTTTCCAGTCGCACCTTCCCGTCCTTTTCACGTGTGAATTGTTCATCCTTCATGTTTCGGATCTATTATGACAGCCAGAAACACATAAGTAGCCACTCGACTGTAGAGGTAATGGACAGTGACTTACCGTTTGAAGCAGAGTCTCGTTGTCCACTTCGGCATCACGGAGTTGCACTTTCAAGTCTTGGCACTCCTGCGTTACAGCTGATGCGAGCTCCAGTCGACGGACAAGTGCACGACTCCGCTGCTCCAGAGCGGCGTTCACTTCACCCAATGTGACTAACTGCTGCTCGAGAGTCTCACGCATCGCTCGGTCGTCTCGTGCTTGGTCGTGGATGCGCTGCATGTTTTCAAGTTCATTTGTGATCTCAGTCTGAGCTTGTTGCAACTCCGCTTCAAGTTGTCGTCGATCTTCTTGAGCAGCACGTTGCGTTTCCTCCTTCTCGCGGATGTCATCCTCGAGCGCTTTGATACGAGCTCTGTCACGCTGAGATCGCTCTCGATACGATTGAATCTCGTCTTCTTTTCGCGACAACTCCTCTTCAAGCTCTTCTATCGTGAGCTTGAGCGTTGATTGGATCTTGTTCACCTGCTCTTTATCCCACGCCGACTGATGCTTCAAGCCGATACTGGAAGTGTCTTCTTGAGCACAGGTGGTGCGTTTGGGGGTCTTTTGGGTGTGTAGAGACTGCGTTGTTAGCAGGGCACTCTTCTCACGTTCGAGCTCTAATGCTTTCGCTACAACTCGTTCGTTCTTCTCTTTTTCAAGTCTCAGTTCACGTTTTATCTTGTCTAGAGTTTCTTTGAGCTCACGAACGTAAGCTTGCGTCTCAGCTCGACAGGATGCAACAACGGGTGATGCCTCTTTGTCCAAGAGAACTTTCAGTCGCCGAACTTCTCGTTCCGCAGCTTCACGAACTTTCGTTTCCTCCTGATTATTCAGCATAAGTCCGTCATGGTTTGAATTGGACAACCTACGATAAGAACTCCTACCTTCACTTTCTCCGTGAGTGCAGCAAACTTGCGGCAAAGCACACGCAACTGTGCTGTGGCCTCCGACGGAGACAGATTCGTCTTCAATCCTGCTTTCAGTAGAGCTGCGTTCGACGGTGACTTGCTCTTCACGACAGCTCCGTGGTTCTCCAAAAACGCAACCTACAGCAATAGCAATTAATGTCTACCTGAGTCGATGAGACTGCAACACAACACCGTACTGATGCATCTACACAACCGACGTCAGAACGAAAACACGATCCCCAACTTATGAAATTGAGCCTCACCTCGTTTCGATAGCTCACTCTCCATACACAGATCCGGCGTTGCATCCTGCTCTTGCTGTTTGCTGTCCATAGTGCTGCTCAGAGTGTACGGGTTGTCGAAATAAAGTAACTCCTGCAGCGAAGTAAGCCTCCAAGGTGGCAAAATAGGTTGGTCCGTAACACCCAAGTGATAATCCAGGAGGACGTTGGCCGACACTTAAGAAGAATAGAATCATCACATGCTCATCTAACGAATGGTTTAATTAATGCACAGTCTAGTTGGGCGTGTCCATGCCGGCACGGACGCCACCGCGAGCAATGAGGTCAGCGATGTCGTCTTTATTAGCCAGCGAGGACTCGCGCACGTCCTGCACGAGACGCTGCACCTTCTTCTCCTGCTTGAGGTACTGCAGAGCTATGTTGCCCAGGTTGCTCTCCGGGAGCGCCTCCGTGAACTGGAGTCCCTCACGGTAGACGATCTTACTGGCCAGGCTGGAGGCCACGATGGAGCGGATGTAGGCCAGAGGCACGTTCTGGTGCACACGGTGCAGGGCCAGCTCGCGGAGCTTTGCCGGCAGGTGCTCCTCAATCAGCGTGAACAGGATCTGCTGGTCCTCCTCGCACACGTTGTCGAAGTGGGCCAAGACAGCGTCGTGCACGCGGGTGATGGCGTGACTAATGCGCTCACTGGCGGGCGGCAGAGCTGACGACGGGTCCTTCTTGTACTCGCGGAACAGCAGCTGAGCCTCGACACGGGCCAGAGCACGCAGCTTGTCAACCACCTCGACGACCAGCTCGTCCTTGACAGCAAGGAACTCGTCGGTCTCAAGCAGCATGCTGGCAACGATCTCGTACGACGAGCACACCACGCCGCACTTGTTGGCCGAACTGTCCTTGACGATGACGACGCCGGCGTTGTCGAACAGCATTTGACGGGCCTCAGGCGTCACGAACAGGTTGGCACCTTCCACGATGAGACCCGACGACGGCTTGCCATCGGCGTCAAGGTAGTCAGCCCAGTTGTTCTCGTTGATGGTGTTGGGACGGCCACCAGCGGGGATGAACAGGTCGCTCTTGACACGGTTGTGCATCGTGTTACGGGCACGGATGCCCTCAGCCGTGCTGATGTCGTGCTTGATACCGGTAGCCGACGCGATCTTGGAGTCGTCGAAGCTCGACAGGGGAAGCGACTCGTCCACAAGACGCAGCAGCTCACCCATGTCCAGACCCTGAGGGTCCTCGATCACACCCGTGCCGTCGCAAATGCCGACCACGCGCAGGTTTGTGCCGTACTCGCGGTGCAGGATCTTGATGACGTTGCCGGCAACGTCACCGTCCGTTCCGCCGGTGATCTTGACCGTGAACGGCTGCTTGGTGGGGTCGATGTTCTGCGAACGCAGAGCCACGTCGGCGAAGACGGCGACACCCTCACTGGTCACACCGTACACCTTGTGGTTGAAACCAGCGTCCGGCTTGGAACTGATGAAGGCGCGCGGCACCGGGTAGCCACGGTACGCAGCACGGTTGGTCATCCAGGTAATGTCCTCGGGGATGATGTTCTCATCGGGTCCCAGGTAAATGAGCTCGTCCTGGCCGTAGTAGTCGACGATCTTCTCCTTCACAGCCTCGTCCGTGGTGTTCAGGTCAAGCAGAGCGTCCGAGAAGGCCTTGACACTCTTGCGAATGATGAAGTCGCGCGGAGCCATGTCGCCAACGGGTCCGACGATAGGGTCGCAAAGCACCACAGCCTTGGAGCCACCTTCCGGGATGTCCTTGTTCTTAAGCTGCTGAGCGAAAGCCAGGTTGTACGCCTCATTGTACTGACGAGCGCTCTCGAGCGCGTGGGCGTCAGTGGAGCTGGGGTACACCATACGGAGACCACCACGAGCAATGTCACGGAAACGCACGTGGAAGCCCTTGAAGCGACGGCCGTAGATGAAGAACACGCCGAAAGGCGTGTCATTGCCCACGGTGCCGTAGCCCAAGACCTTAGGGTCCATACGCAGCGACAGAGCGTAACGCTCACGCACGAACTTGTTGGTACGGAGCGTGCCACGGACGGCGTCGGCCATGGTGTTGAGCAGCTCAATGGCGTCCTCTTGCTCCACGTTGCGGCGGATGTCGGCCTTGATCTCATCGACAATGGCGTCCTGCTCGGTGTCCGTCAGCTGCTTCTGCTGAGGGTCAAACTTGTTGAGGAAGTAGTCTGAGATGCGCGAAGCGAACGGCAGGTGCTGCTCGTGCTCGAGCGTCTCCATGATGCGCGTCAGCGAGTACGCAAACGGGTCCTTCTTGGCCAGAACACCGTGCATCATGTTGCCGTACGCGTAGATAAGCTCGGCACGCGAGATACCCAGGTCCGGGTGCTGCAGCGTGAGGTTCACCGGTCGGTCGTCCACCCACTTAATGTATTTGAGGTTGCCCGAGATCTTGGACCACTCGAACTCGAAGTTGTCCTTCAGAGCCTGCTCGCTAGGCTGCACCAGGATACGGACCATGGCCACGTGGTCACTGTCACCCCTGTTGACGACGTCCAGGTGGGCACGGACAACGTTGAGGTTGCACAGACCCAGGTAGGTGGCAGCCTTCTGCATGAAGCCCTTAGGAAGGACGTTGGACGCAGCCATGGTCAGCATCGTCTGCGCGGCGGCGGTGGCGTACTTGTTCTCCTCGCTACGAGACTCCCAGTTGTGCTCCACGTCCACGACGACACCCTCAGTGCCCTTGACGCGGGCGAACAGCTCCATCTGCTTGGCGAGACGACGCGGGTGACTGAACTGCACGTACATGGTGTTGCTGCTGTTCAGGAAGGCGTCCACGGTCTCGGGCTCGAAGTGCGGTCCGGCGACCGGGTAAGCCTCGTCACCGGTATACTTGCCGGATTGGATGTCGGCGCAGAACTGCTGGATGGTGGCGCGAGCGGCTTTCTCCTCCTCCGTCTTGTTGAGGAACGGCTGCTGCTGTCCGAAACGGAAGATGTCGAGGCCCAGCGAGTCATCCAGCGCTGTGAAGATCTTGACACGGGCCAGTGGGGCGCCGTCAACCGTCTGGGGGAGCTGGTCCAGCACGTTGGCCAGACGTCCGGGGAAGTTAGCACCCGAACGGAAGTGCGAAAAGACCTTCTGGTCGGTCGAGCGTAGAAGAACCTCCGGTTGCTCGGCGCCCACCAGCGCCGTGATGGCGTTCAGGTGCTGCATGCGGTCCTCCTCGTGGATGGAGCGGAAGTACGACGGCGGCATGTTCTCGAGGAACCAGGGCACCGTGTTGCCAGCGGCCTCCTTCTGGAATTTGTCCAGGGACTGCAGCAGTTCCTTCTCGCAGACCTCCACGTCCGCGTCGCTCTGCGCCGAGAAAGCCCGGGCCAGCGACGTCTGGAGCGGACGGCTGTGCATGGTCGACTGCGCGCGGCGCAGCGCTCGGAACTGGGAGACTTGCATCATCTGAGCGAGGCTTCCTTCTGCTTGGACTGGGGGCAGGCGCTTGTCACGGACGGAGCGGAATGAGGAATGAAAACTGGTCCTGAGTTTTGGCGCCGCTGCGAGTGGAGTGGATCGAGAGCGTACGTGTACACTGTACAGGGTATCCGACACAAGTGCAAGTTCGGCGGTCGCCGGCTGCACCTGTGACGTGGCGAAGCAAGGCAGCGGCTAGGTGTGCACTTTTGAGCAAAATGTGTCCAAAACCTTGGCATTGCCATAGACAGACCCAAATTTGCACCGGAAATTATGGGGGGCTCACTTGAACACGAAAAGCTGTGCAGCACATCGTCAAAGTCACTGGATTCAACTTCCACCAGCCAAGTCCGCCCGTTGTGCCACGACTCGGGTGCTTGACGAGCACTGCTTGTTGCATTACCGACTCACTGACCTGGGTTCTCCATGGCAGCGCATTGAGAATCTCGACGTCGTCACCGCCAGCGCAGCCATTTTGGGCCTCGCTAATCGCAACATGAGGAAGCCTTCAGTCCCCACCTCACAATCACTCGAGTTGCTTAACGGCAGGTTGAACTTCGCTTGAATTTGCTCGCGCTTCAACCACGTGTTAAGCTTTGCGCAATGGCTCTGCTTGGTATCAGCGCCAGCAAAAACATGCGAAGAGGCAGTTAAAAACAAAGAACAAACCGTTGCACCCGCTTGGACGGGGCGTTTGGACATCAGTCAGTCCGGATGGCAGATGGCCATGACGCTGCAAACGCTGGGACCCACGGCGAATCTACGTCAGGGTTGAGCAGCGAGGACCAGTCCTTGCACCATGCGATGCTCGCAACTGCAACAAGTGGCGAGTTGAAGCTGGCGGACCGGCATTCCAGCGCAGGTGCTGCGGAGCCAATTCAACTGGAGTCTACATGCGATCAGGGCGCAATCTCGCCTAGTCCGCTTTCTGCAGATGAGGTGGAAGTTCCAGCGGCTAGTTCCAGGCTAGAACTAACCGATCTCCGCCTAGAGCTCGCACAACTTCGGCAAACACTTGAGGAAGAACAAGACGATGTCGAAGAGGGAGACCCAGCTAGAACCACCGCGGCGACGGCAACAGTAGACGAAGAAGATAACGCGATCGTCGAGTACCGAGTAATTGACTTCGCCGGGGGACTCTACCGCGGCCAAGTTCAAGCGTTTGGCCCTTCGGATCAAAAGGAATGGCGACCTCACGGTCTCGGCGTGCTCACCACTGCGACAATCCACACGCGCTGCGGGCAATGGGTCAACGGTACACAAGTGCACTATGGCACGCGCTACAGTCCCACACTGCGTTATGAAGGCGACGTCGGTGTTGGGAGCACATCCACAAGATGCCATGGAGTGGGGCTTTACACCTTTGGTGTACTATTCGTTGGGTGTTGGGTATCTGCTAGTCGACGTTATCCTCATGGTCTTGGTAGTCTCCAGAGCGCAACAGATGCATGTACTATAACTATGATATCTGTAGACGGATGGTTCCACGGTCTGCAGTGCGTCCATCCCCCGGTACACAAGTGCATCTTCAAGTTGTCCTCCGATGCTCGATCGCAGCCTCAGCCGCAACGCGGCTTGATGGTAGCGGACGAAAAGCTCCAGTTTTGGCGCCGACATGCTCTTACCCGCGCGCTGAGTGCGTGGATTCGAGTTTGTTGCGACTTCAACATTACTCAAGCGAGGCAGAGCCGACTGCTTGCCTTGCAGACTCAAGCACACGCTCGTGAAGCGGAACAACGAGCGATCAGCGCGAATCTGGAGCGGCACAAGGCTGATAAAAATGAAGACGCCACAGAGTTGCTGACACTGCTCGCCAGATCTCGCGAGGCGCAGGAGCAGCGATTTCAGCGACGACAACTGTATGCCCAGCGACTTGCCAGTGCTATCCAGCAACGCGATCTTGCTCGAGCATGTGTGGCTAAGCAGGACAGTGCTGTCAAGGTATTGGAGACTGAGCTGCAAGATGTCTCAAATCAATTGAAGAGGGCTCGGCAGGCTGAAGACGACTGCGCACAGTACGCGCGCGACCTGCATGTACTCAAGCGACAGATCGAGAACGCCTCTGTCAAGGTCAATGCTGCTCGGTTTGACCAGCGCCAGCAAGCCTCTCAAGTGGAGACTCAAGAGCAGGAGCCACAGTCGAGCTTGTCACAGCGCAGCATTCTACCGACACCTATTATGAAGACGCCCCGAGCGCGAGATTACGCTGATGAAAACAACTCTGTGCAACAAAGCCGACTTGGCAGCACACGACGTAGCGTCACGCTTGGACAGCAGTTTGTCTGTGGCGTGCCTGGCTGCATGTGCGGCATCCCACGCGACGTCTTCCTGCGTGTGGCCGGAGCACTGAACGACGAGTGAAGATCAAGCCTGTCTTGGCTCAGGCAATATACAGTAGTGACTTTTTGTCTGGATGGCTGTAAGGGGCGTTCACGGACTCTTTGGCTCGACCGAAGTGTTTGCAGGAGTACGCTGCTACAGTAAAGCCTGTTCGCTCGCCAGCCAGCATCAATGTACCTGGGCGCCAGGATCACAACCGACGCATAGAGTCCGCCGCGCAGTGCGGAAACACGAGGACCTTTCCGGAAGTTCTGGCAATTCGAAATACAGAACAATGAAATGTCAGTTGTTTTTAAAACTGGCTGCCCTACTGCTTCTTGGAGCCGATCGTCCCATTGCTCTTTAACTCTTTAGCCAGGTGACTGCTGCTGTCCTCGTACAGTTTGCTGACATAGTCGATCATACGCTGCGACTCGTGTTTGATCCTCTCTTCAACACCAGCCAGGGCGTCACGTAAGGATGAATCCGTCAATATGCGGCGCATACTATCCAGCAGTTCTTCATCTCGCTTGTGCAGCGCAGTCAGACAATTCCGGTCCTCTTCGACATGCGCTTCGATCTCGACAGCCTTCTCTTCGAGCTCCTCGGCGACAGCTGAGACGCCTAACGCTCGATACGAGGCGATCTCGCCACGCATCGGAGCCAGCTTCGCTTCGTTTTCCTCCACCCGCGACATCATAAACTTGACACAAGGCAATTCGCTTTCAAAATAGTTGAGTGAGGCCTCCAGTTGCTGGGAAATACAAGCTGTTTGCTTGGCACGAAGCGTGTGCACTTGGCTGTGGGCGAGTCGTGCCTGACGCACTTCACTCTCCACTCGGCTCACCTCGGTCGATATGACGCGACGACGTTGCGCGCGGGAGAATCGCCGCGTGACGTGTTGGTGCTCGGCGCGGAAGCGCGCAGTGTCAGCGATGAAGCGCTCTTCAACTGCACGCATATCCTCGTCCGCTTGGTGCTGCTCTCCAACTGCGCGTTGCAATTCACTCTTCACGGCACGCAACTGCGTCTCAAGCTCCTCTTGTTTCTGACGTAACGTCTGCACCTCAGCACTCGCTGCGGTCTTCTTTGTGCGTAGAGGCGCCAGCTCTGCGTCCTTGCGGTCCTGCATATCCTGCAGAGACTTGGTCACCTCTTGCATCAGAGTCTCGTCTTCTGCGGTGTGTGTATTATCCTCGGGGCTATCATCGTCTTCCTCTGCTTCCTCCTCTGCTTGATGCTGCTGTTCAGAGCTGCGGACTCGCTCCTCGACCAGCTTGGTGAGCTGCTGTAGACGTCTTTCATGTAGTGACAACGCGTCGCTACGTAGATCACGTCGCTGGAACGATTCCCGGATTGTTTGACCACGCACAGCTTCGTCTGCATTGGTCACTTGTGCGATCTTAGCCTCCAGATCCTGGACATCCTTCGTCAGCGGCGAGTCCAGGTCCACGCCATGCAGTGACAGCGCGTGCGCCCGCACCAATCGACTCAAGCTCTTTGCAGCGCGTTCGGCCTCTGCATTAACATCATCTGCGTCCTCCACGTCCCCCTGTGATTGGTCTGCAATGGCTCTTACAGCTGCCACGACCTCTCCAGCCATTTGTCGATGAGGTGCTGCGTCCGTCGGCTCAGAACTGCTCTCGACGGAGAGGCAGTTGGCTAGCAAAGCCTCGAGGTTGTCCAGAACAGTAGCAGCAGGACGGGAGCAGAGCAAGTTGCCCAGCAGCAGACACAGCGCGTCGCTCTGAAAGAAAGTGAGGATGGTATCTGTGTGCACGTAGAGTCTGCTCCAGCCTAGCAGTCCCACGAGCGCCGCGTGGGTGTCGGGGATGGCCGCTGCCACTTCTAGCCGTCGTGCGAGCGGCAATTGCGACGGATTCTCTTCCTGTTCGGCTGGGCTCTTGTTGTCTGCAGTAGACGCGTCGTCCGTCTTGGTCTTGGTTTTCTTCTTTTTACTCTTGGATTTTTTCTTGGAGCTGGCAGTCGAGGACGTGGGCGTGCCGCTGCTGGCACTAGCGGTGCTGCTTCCACCCATGCTGTTGGTCTTGGTCAGTGAACTAAACATGTTCGCGGTTTTGACGGCCTCGTGCGCCAGCATCTTGTTGTAATCTGGTCCCGTGCGATTTCTAGATTTGCAAGATCGCGAAGAGCTGTTTACCGGTATTAAAACAAATCATATTTAAAAGTATTCTCTGAAATTTATCAGAGTTTGGTACGGTAATATATTTGCGCAATGATGTTACGTGAGTGAAATAAAAAAAAGAGTTTTATTCGGAGTTTAAAAACCTTTTTGCCAATGTGAATAACAATTTAAATAAAACATGTCTTCTCAAATTTCAGTAATGGCTACCAATATCATATGATATTTTTGAAGGTAGCAGTACTAACGGATGCGCCCGAATAAAAGCCCCCTTTCGCATAGTGTCCTGTGGGGTGCAACGTGTCTGCACTATTAAATATAAGCCTCTCCCGAATAGAGTCCTTATTGAAACTACCAAACCAGCTATTACAAAATTACTGACCATTCATTACACTATGTGGAACAATTTTCGGCAACAGGTCGAAAGTTGCCCCCACATTAGGTCTGGAAAGGAAAATATTCACCGTCTTTTAAAAACAAAGTCAGGGCCACTTGTCGTGACACACCTACCCCGAGCTTGGGCTGATAGCGAGCTGCTCAAGAAGTGGATGATGTGGCTATTCCATTTGTGATGCACAATGAACGTAAATACTTGGTTTGGGACAGCATAAGAGTCCACATCTCGAAGGCTGTGAAAGCTAAGTGCTTTTCGAAAAGTGTCCGATGTGTGTTGTGCCCGGGTGGTCTCACGCCTTACTTGAAAGCTGGGGATATTAGTATCGATAAGGGTTTCAAGGACCTACTGTACATAGAAATTAACGCTTAGAAGGAGTCAGACCAATAAAGCCCTCACCCGTATAAAGTGGCACTATTAAATATAGTCCGGACTCTAATAGGGCGCATCCGTTATTTTCGATATTAAATAGCAATATTAACTCTGTTCTTCAAAGTTAGCCTAGCTATTTTAAAATAAACTCAGAGATTTGAAAATGTTTTAGATACTAGGTGATATTTTTTGATATTGTCTTAATCAAGTACGTTTATTGCCTGCTGAGTGAACCGAGGGCTACTAAAGAACTCTTTGGGTCAGGTCAGTAGTGATGGCAGGCTTTAAAACTGACCAGTATTTGCTCTAGTATTTCACTGTGACACAGACAAAGCCAATCGGGAGTGAAAACTACAAACGGTTGCAGTTGTTTGACGTCGATAGAGCGAAATCAATGTATTTGCTCTTGTTCTCTGCCGATAGCTTTGTCCAAATCGTGCGTCTCATAAACCTGCAACCTGTGACGCTAGATAAATGCGCTCCGCAGTGCCAACACACCACACCAACCTTGCCACTTGGTTAGAACTGAGGATGGTGGCAAGAGGGGTCCGGTACTGAAAGAGTTCACTCTTTTAACTCTTTCATCCTTTCACTTTACTCTTAGCATTTCTCTTCTTAACTCTTTTTAACTCTTTTTTTAAATTAAGCATTAGTTTGCATTGGTTAGAGATAAAGAGTTAAGAAAGAGAGTTTCTGTGTGGTTTTACATGCGAGTCGCTTCATCATAGCTCCCCCTCAGCAACTGTATTTGGCGCTTCACTTCAGCAGTTTTTGATGCCAGGACATCTTGCGCTGGATGGAACACGAATGATTGGTTACATCTAGACGGATTCGTCCCTTTTATATCCATGATAAGGGATGAAGGACACGAGTTACGGGATCCCAGATCTGGTTTTAAAAACCACCGCCATGCGCGAAGAGTAGTGGAGGTCCTGACATGTTTATAATAGCAATGCCGGTGTACACGTAGCACTTTAATTAGTAGTCCATTCTCTTGGTGGGGAGAAACCAGCGCTCATTGGTATCAGCCACTCGATGGGAGCTGGGGGCCTTTGGAACGCGGAGGTGCAGGACCCTGGTACCTTTGACGGTCTCATTCTATTTGAGCCTGTGTATGGTGAGGATGATCCAGTAGTGACTGACCAGGTCACAAGCTTTTTGGTCGGTGTCACCCTGAAGCGTGGTCTTCGTGAGAGGAAGCGATCCAATGCTTTGAAACCCTCAAAAACTTCAAGCCCTGGGACCGCGAGTCGCTGGCGGCGTATCTGCAAGGGGTCTGGTAGAGGATAATGCTACGGGGAAGATGGTGTTGGTGTGCCATTCACGCATTGTAGCTCCTTTGTATTGTCATGAATATCTTCGATTCACAGATCACGAAATTCAGCAGCCGAAGTGTACTGTTCGCTTCCACAGAGCAGAGCGCTCGAACATGTTCTTCACGCCGCATTTTGAGCACACGGTGAAGCTGCGCAGCGACATCTACTCGATTGGAGAGCCTATGAAAAACTGCACGCACTTAATGGTGCCCGAGGACCCCGAATCAACAGCAAACAGGATTGTCAAGGACCTAGCAAAGATTGCTCCGTTCCGCAAGAACACGCCGAAGTAAGACAATGCATTAGCCCGTAATCCACCTCTAAAGAGGTCAGCTTTTGAATGTGTGCTTATCCGCGCACCATACGTGCACCACTGTTCAAGCTTTTATTTGTGCGTGAATGCCGCAGCGTTTAGTCAGTTCGAAAAATCTGTGTTTGTACATTCGACAAGTAAAACAGCAACTCACAGGCAGTAATTATTCGAGTGCCAGGTCGTACACGAAGCGCAGCTCCCAGTCGTTTGTGACAGGTACTTGCGGTTTACGCAGTACCAGGCGGTCACCAGCGACATCGTACTGAAGGTCCAGCGCGCGCTCACCGCCCACCAGTACATTCTTGGGTAAGTTGACTTTGGACAGAAAGCCGTACATTACGATGCGTTCGACCCACATGACCGACGTATAACGTCTACCCTGTGTGGTAGCAGCAGTAGCCGTCGAACGTAACCCCTCCTTCGTCTGGTGAAATGACACCAGAGTGCCTTCGCCCTCGAGTTCAGCAGCAAGCGACCGCTCGTCGTCAACGTACAGCTCACCGCAAGCCTCCAAGTGCTGGTCCAGTGTCACCACCAGCGTCAGTGGGTCGTTGTGCATTAACTCTGAGCTGCGACGCACACGCTGTTTGCGCGGCAGGATCGTACCACCTCGTTGAAATACGGGGATGGCATCCAGAGGCGCCGGGATGTTTTCGTACGTCTTGCCACCGAAGAAAGGCTTGTATCCGTCGGTCACGTGATACCACACCGTCTTGTCTTCGGGGTTATCGGTCGGGAGGAATACATGGGTGGACTCAACGCCCTTCTCGGTAATTGGCTTTACGAGCAGAGCGTCACCCAACAGATACTGATCTTCCTCGCTGAAGCTCTGGGGTTCCTGTGTAAAGTGCGCCCAAAGCGGACGCATGACGGGCATACCACGCGCATAACATGCGTGGAATACCGTGTAGAGATACGGAAGCAATGCGTAACGCTCACGAATGGCAGCGCGGATGTGCGATGTGGTTGGCTCGCCGAACATCCAAGGCTCACGGCGTGCCGTGTCCTGATGAGAGTGGCCGCGGACGAACGGCTGGTACGTAGCAGCTTGGTTCCATCGTGTTAGCAGCTCTGTGGACGCACTGCCAAAGAAGCCGCCCACATCAGCGCCTACGAATGTAAGTCCTACAACCGACATGGACAGAAGCATCTTGGTGGCGTAGCGCAGATGCCCTCACTCCGCTGTGTTGTCGCCCGTCCAAATCGCACCGTAGCGCTGTGATCCAGCAGAAAATGCGCGAGAGAGCACAAACGGTCGTTGCATATCCGCCGTAAGCTGCAGGTCCTCTGCAAAGGGGGAGAGCGGCTTCTGCTGGCGAATGAGCTGGCCCTTCATGGTCGTGCGCTGGAAGAGGATGTCGTACAGGTTGTGCCACTCGCGATGTTCAACGCCGGCGAGACTTTGCATCCCTTCTGCATCGTGACCTCGGGGCCGTTGAAGACAGATGGCTCGTTCATGTCGTTCCAAGTGTACAAATGCTTTGTGCTTCCTTGGTAGTTCTCATAGCGGAATTGGTGACGCCACCATGCGCGGGCTTTGGGCGATGTGAAGTCAATGTACGAGGACTCGCCTGGCCAGCATCAGCCCTTGAAATCATCCCCCTCTTCATCTTTGATAAACAGCCCAAGCTCCTCCGCTTCCTTGTGAATGTAGTACGGATGTTTGTCCTTTGGCTGACTCACCTTAATGTGCGGGTCGACAATGGTCACCGTCTTGCGACTGGTACGTGCTAGAGACTCCTGCATGTCTTTGGGCGTAGGTAAATTGTGCCCGTCCCACGTGAAGTAGCGCCTTCCGTCCAAGTGATCAATTTCCAGCCACAACACGTCATACGGGATCAAATGCTCGTCAAAACCAACATTCACACGAGCCACGTCGGCCTCATTCTTGTAGTTCCAGCGGCTCTGGTGATATCCCAAAGCGAATAGAGGCGGCAGCTGTGCGCGACCCGTTAGAAGCGTATACTGCGAGAACAGGTCATCGCGACTAGGACCAGCTAGCAAAAACAAATCGAAGACACCCGACTCACTGAGCCAGTGACTGGACTTGCTGGTCGCCTCTTCGTTGGTCCAAATGTCGATGTACGTCTCAGTGGGGTTGTTCCAGAACATGCCGACAGTGTTTACCTTGTTCGGGGCCACGAGTACGGGGATAGAGCCATACAGAGCCATCGGGTTGTCCAACTCGTACTCGAACACATCCAGGTTGTACAACGGGGGGAGCTTACTCGCGAGTACAAAAAGGATGATCTCCGAGTACACACACAAAAAGGATGACTTGCGAGTACAATTTGGGAAAAAGGTGGATTGGCGAGTATGGCATCATAAAAGGTGGATCACCGAGTACATTCGCAAGAACCGACAAGTTTGGTCAGTGTCACCGGAGACTATGGGATGACTCGCATACCTAGTGCGTGACTGTAGGCGACAGCAGCTGCGAGCTGTTCCACGTCCATGAGCTCCACTTTTCCGGCTGAGAACTTGACCTTCCACTGATAGCGACCGCCATTTTCGAGCCAACGGTCGACATGTCCAGGCACATGCTCACGTAGCACTTGCCCCCTGTTCTTCACACTAAACTCCTTGGTCACGTGCCAGTGTGTTGGCGCGGCGGGGCTTTCCATGAAAAGCTGCTCCAGGTGCGAGACACCGAAGAACCGCGCGTCGCTTTTGTTGAACCGCGTGCGGGCAAGCGCGCCGCGGGATTAGAACTGACCTCCCGGGCGTCGTCGAACTGGCAGCACACTCAACAACGCGTCGATGCTGATCTTCTCGAGGAGCTCCATCGTCGCGACAATGTGCTCGCACATCCATCCTGACTGGCGTGACTCAGAGCAATCGCACACATAGCACTGACGCACCATTCGGATCTAAAGTAAGAACAGTCAGAACCGTCGCTGCCATGTGGGATTGAGATGAGATCAAGTACGTACATCGTCTGCACTCCATTTTGGAGACACCTCGAACGGGTCATGCTCGCTGTTGAGTACTTGAACGCGGTAGAGTGACTGGTAGAGCAGTTGGGCCTCCGTCATGGGTTTGTTTTTGACCAGCTTTCCATCGAGAGAATCAATGTACCTGACAGATTCAAAAGTAACAATGACGTGAGACGGAGACATACCGCAAACAGAGCGACACCAACAGAGCGACGGACTCACTTTCGCATGCGCGCCTCCGTCACTTTCACCCCTTTGCTCGAATTCTCCACACACGTCGCATACTCCAGCGCGTTGAAGACGACTGTCGCTAGCCACAGCCAGCCACCAGCAGTCACAGGCAGCCATTGGTTGCGACAGGCATCAACTGGGGTGCACCACTTATCCGTAAATAGCGTTTCCTAGTGAGCCATAAATAGTGTTTTCCGTGTAATCGGGAACTCGCAACTCATCCTTTTCGAGCCATGGACTCGCCAATCCACCCTTTTCCCATTTGTACTCGCAAACACTCCTTTTTGAGCATGTGCTCGAAGATCATCCTTTTTGTACTCCGATATAATCCGCACCCTTGTACAACCGGTATGGGTCGGTCACCACCTTCCTTTCCCCATCATTTAGCGCAATAGTATCCTTAAGCAAAAAGTTCGTCGCGTGCTCCGGGATGCCGTACAGCGAGCGCGGGGCTCCTGTCTATCCGTGGAATGACACATCAAGACCAATCGAGCTCGGACCGAATTTCTCCTTGTCCGTGTGGCCACCAAAAGACTCCTTCCACCCTTCCACGTTCCCATCAACTCCAACAGTAGCTGTCATGGTCGCCTGGTGTTCCTTCTTCTTCTGCACGGAGCCATCTGCATAGATCGCAAGCCCATCTTCTCCATAGTCGACAATCGTCTTGCCCTCATGAGCATCCACCACCGCTTGATCCGCCGCCGCTCTTGTCTGCGCCGCGGCATCAGCACGGTTATGTCGGACCTCGTAGTGGAACAGTCCGTCGTCGTTGGTGGACACCACCAGCTCTCCATTCAGGAACAAATCGACACCGAAAGATCCCAACTTCAAGGCGGCCACGACCTGTGACGATCCCTGCGTCTCGGGGCTGAAGAGCAGCACTTCCTTTTCATTGATTGGCCTCTTGAGTCCTGCCTCTTGTGCTGTCAGTTGACGCAGCGGGCGAGTCTCTTCAGCGTCGGGAACGAGAACGTCGTCGCTGGTCCAGCGGGTTTAAGGGTCGTTTGGATCTTCGAACTTCTCCTGCAGTCGAACACGGAGCGCAGGCACCGCCGCTTTGTCCTCATTGAGCACAAAGGCGAGGGAGCCTGCGAGTGGAATGCCATCTCTCTTGGCTGCGTCCTCCACCAGGAAACGCACCAAGTCGGCGTCCAAGTCAGGCCAGATACTGTTGCGCGCCACGCGGAACTTGCTGGGCAGCTCCTCGCGCTGCGCATTGCGGTACTTGTTGCAAAATTGGCTCTGTTGGCATGTGCGGAGCTTGCTGCGGTCCACGGCGTCCACACACAATACCAGGGTTATCGCGGTGAGCAGCAGGAACAACAGCCGACAATGCATCTTGGTCCCGTTCGAGGTCGTCGTGGTGCAAATACGAATGAAACGAAAACTCAACAATGCACATGTGATAAATAATGAGTGTACAAAGGAATCCGATAACTGGCGAATACCACTGATTAGTAGGAATCGGTACACTTATTTCTTTCCACGCAAGCGAATTGATACAGATGTACACGTGAGCCGTTGGAGTCCAACTTGAACGTCATCGTTGCTTTCGATGGAGCCGCCTAAAAGGCGGCATAGGCGGTGCCTATGCGTGGCGCGTACAGTAGCAAAATGTCGTGCGTGTATGTGTTACACTAAATTCGCTTTGCTCTAAAAACTAAAATTAAAAATGTATTTGTGAAATTTTGATGTTACTTCGGCCGTTCACTGCTGCCAACTAGGATTGGCAAAGGTGTAGTGTCCACTGAGTTGCATGTCAGCACTGCTGACTCAGCGTGCTTACATGTATTAATACAGTTAGCCTGCTCAGTACGGGGCCACGAAGAAAAACAACTCTAGGCTGAAGATACAGCAGTAAAGTGAAAATCAGTTTTGCGCAGGACCATAAGAATTTGTGATTGGAGCACCTGCTATACTGCTTTAAAACTCATTCCTTACCGGTATCCGGGATCCCATTTTCGTTCAGTGGCCAAGCCGAAGTACAGGAACCAATGGAGAACGTGACGGTCAAGATGGACGACGTGCAGCTGGAGGACAGCTCCGCGCCCGCGAAGAAGATGGCACGTCGCGACCATCTGATCGACATCGAGCACGAGGTCATCGCCAAGTGGGATGATGCGAAGCTGTTTGAATCGGACTCGGACCCGAGCAAGCCCAAGTACATGGTCACGTTCCCGTACCCGTACATGAATGGCTACATGCACGTGGGTCACCTGTTTACGCTCATGAAGGTCGAATTCGCGTCTCGCTATCACCGTCTCAAGGGCGAGAACGTCATCTTCCCCTTCGGTTTCCACTGCACGGGTATGCCCATCCAGGCCGCAGCGAATAAGCTCAAGCGCGAGCTCGCGGAGTACGGCAACCCGCCTAACTTTTCTCGTGGGATCGACGAGGAAAGCAAGCCCAAGTCCGCCGCAGACTCGCTCAACAAGGCTCACGGAAAGAAGTCCAAGGCTGTAGCCAAGTCCGGTGGCGTTGTGCACCAGTACGACATTCTCAAGATCTCGAACATCCCGGAGGACGAGATCCCCAAGTTCCACGATCCACTTTATTGGCTACAGTACTTCCCACCGCACGCTATCGCTGACCTTAAGCGCTTCGGCATGAACATTGACTGGCGTCGCTCTTTCATCACTACGGATGTCAACCCTTTCTACGACGCCTTCGTCAGGTGGCAGCTCAACAAGCTTAACGAGCAGAAACGCGTTGTGCGTGGTAAGCGCCCTAATGTCTACTCGATCCTGGATGGACAGAGCTGTGCCGACCACGACCGTGCGTCTGGTGAAGGTGTGGGCCCTCAGGAATACACACTCGTCAAGCTGCGAGTGCAGGAGCCGCTACCGGAGAAGCTGGCTGCTCTTGCTGGCAAGAAGGTTTACTTTGCTGCTGCTACGCTGCGTCCCGAGACGCTGTACGGCCAGACGAGCTGCTTCGTGCTGCCTGAGGGCGACTACGGCGCGTTCCTCATCAACGACGACAACGACGTGTTCGTGATGAGCCGCCGCGCTGCACGCAACTTGGCGCATCAGGAGTATTCGCGTGTGTGGGGCAAGGAAGAGTGCTTGCTGGAGATGAAGGGACACGACCTGCTTGGTCTGCCGCTGTCGTCGCCCAATGCGCCGTACGCCACGATCTACACGCTGCCGCTGCTCACGATCTCCATGGGAAAGGGTACGGGTGTGGTTATGTGCGTGCCGTCGGACTCGCCCGATGACTTTGCGGCGTTCCGTGACCTGAAGCAGAAGGCTGCTCTGCGTGAGAAGTACGGCATTGAGGACCACATGGTGCTGCCCTTCGACCCAGTGCCTATTATCGAGATCCCAGGCTTCGGTGACATGGCTGCCGAGAAGGTCTGTAACGATCTCAAGATCGTGTCGCAGAACGACAAGGACAAACTGGCCAAGGCCAAGGAACTCGTGTACCTTAAGGGTTTTTACGAAGGTGTGCTACTTGTGGGCTCGCAGAAGGGTCAGAAGGTGTGTGATGCCAAGACTGCCATGCGTCAGGAGCTGCTGGATGCTGGCTACGCCATCCCGTACTGGGAGCCGGAGTCGCTTGTGATGTCCCGCAGTGGCGATGAGTGTGTGGTTGCTCACTTGGACCAATGGTACCTGACTTATGGCGCGGAGGACTGGAAGAAGCGTGTGATGGACCACATCAGCGACCCCAAGACCTTCGACGCGTACAACCCCGTCGCTCTTGGCGAATACAAGTCTACGCTCGGATGGCTGAAGGAGTGGGCGCCGTGCCGCCAGTCTGGTTTGGGCACGCGTCTTCCGTGGGACCCGGAGTTTGTGGTTGAGTCTCTTACGGACTCGACCATCTACATGGCTTACTACACCATCGCACACCACCTGCAGGCCAACCTGGACGGCTCGAAGCTGGGCCCGCACGGCATTAAACCCGAGCAGATGACCAAGGAGGTGTTTGACTACATCTTCCTGAAGGCGTCGCCCCCCACGGAGTCCACGATCCCGCTGGCTGTGCTCAAGCAGATCCGCGACGAGTTCGAGTACTGGTACCCCGTTGACGTCCGCGCATCTGGCAAGGACTTGATCCGCAACCACTTGACCATGTGTCTGTACAACCACGCCGAGATCTGGCGTGATGACCCGTCCAAGTGGCCGCGTGGCTTCTTCACGAATGGCCACGTGCAGGTGGACGGCAAGAAGATGTCCAAGTCTCTGGGTAATTTCCTGACGCTTAAGGACTGCGCCACCGAGTTCGGTGCCGACGCCACCCGTTTCGCTTGCGCTGACGCCGGTGATGGCATGGACGACGCCAACTACGCTCTGGACACGTGCCGTATGGCCATTCTGCGTCTCACGACCGAGGAGGACTGGATCAAGCGTATTGTGGAGGACAAGGCGCCGCTACGCACGGGCGAGCTCAACTTCAACGACAAGGTCTTCCTGAACCAGATGAACAACCTCATCAGCACCACGGCCTCGTTTTACGAGCGTCTCCAGTGGCGTGAGGGTCTCCACACGGGCTTCTTCGAGTACCAGATTGCTCGTGACTCGTACCGTGACATCTGCGCGCGTAGCGAGGTGCCGATGCACCACGACGTCATCATGCGCTTCATTGAATCGCATCTTATTATGCTCGCGCCCATCTGCCCGCACTTCTGCGAGTACATGTGGACCGCTATTGGCAAGGAGGGCTTCGTGTCGGTGGCTTCCTGGCCGGTGGCCGAGGAGGTCGACCACGGTCTTCTGCGTGCTGGTGACTTCCTGAACAAGGTGACCCGTAGCTTCCGTGAGGCGCTCACCAAGAGCGGTAGCAAGAAGAAGGGCAAGAAGGGCGCTGCACCGGCCGAGCCGGCCAAGAAGCCTACGCACGCTCAGGTGTACCTGACTACGGAGTTCCCGGCGTGGCAGCAAAAGGTGCTCGTGTTCATGGATGGTCTGTTCGATGACGCGACCAAGCAGTTCCCTGCTGACTTTATGAAGCAGCTGAAGGGCGAGATCAAGGACGACTCGCTGAAGAAGCTGACGAAGAACGTGATGCAGTTCGCGGCCTTCATCAAGGCGGAAGCTGAGCTGCGTGGCCGTGAGGCTCTGGAGCTGAGGTACGATGAACTTCAACTCTTTCAACCGCTGAATGTTTGACTGATGGTATTGTTTCGTGTGATACAGGATGCCGTACGACCAGAAAAGCGTGCTTGCCTCTAACAAGCTGTACTTCTGCAGGTCGCTGGACCTCCAGGACATTGAGGTAAGATGGCTGCAGCGATGCAGGATTTGCGCGCGTACCTAACGGGTGTGTTGCTTTGTTCCAGTTCTTCTACGTGGGCGAGGAGATCCCGAACGCAGACGCCAAGAAGATGGAGTCGGCGTCGCCAGGCAAGCCTGCTATCTACGTTTACGCCCAGTAAGGTCGTTCGCGATAGTATTGAGCTTCTTTGCATTAGATAGGCGGTGCTAAGAGAGTAATTATCATGCTCTTCATCATCTTGTGCTAGATATAACAGCAAAGTCTGCAAGTCATGTTTCACGTACCTTACATTAAGTGGTGCTTCCCTTTTGCGTCTGCCACCCTTACTCTTGCTGCGAACGGAAGGAGGAATAATGCTTGAGAGCTGGATTTACCATTACTACACGAGCTGCAGACTCCGCTATTCGCTCTTCCATCTCCATCTGATCTTTTCCTTGCTTCCTTTCCTTCCTCTTCACTGCAGCAACTCAAGATAAAACTTGACGGGGATATGTATCTATTCGGAGTCGGCAATCTCGATTCGGCTCCCACGGCGAATCTGGCCCCAGCCGATGAGACGCCAATGCTTGTCAATTCGGCGACTGATAGCGATCTTCTCTCCCTCCTGCGTGCACACGGGGACTGTGAGCAGAATCTTGGCAAGATCCTGCTTCACAGCCAGCACCTTGCCACCGGTGGCTGTGGAGCCAATGTTCACCATGAGCACCTCGGCCTTCGACAGCTTCTGCACCTTGGAGGCCTTGCTACCTTCCTGAGTCTTGACACCGAGCAGACGCTTAAGCAGGTAGAAGTTGATTTCCAGCTCCGTAAACACGTGCGGCAGACTGCCCTTGAGACCCAGCACCTGACCCACCAGACGATCCGAACGCGTCAATGTGGGGTCAATGTGCGTTCCTACACCGATCAGTCCACCAGGGACAGCGAACTGCAGGTCGTTCTTCTCAGCATACAGCGACACAATACGCGAGAAAATGGGCACACACGTCATCTTGCCTTCCTCGTCCTTGCTCACGATACCCGGGCGTACCTCGATCTCGTCGCCCACACGCAGTACACCTTCCAAGATGGAGCCACCAGCGACACCTCCCTTGAGGTTCTCGACGTCCTCACCGGGCTTGTTGACATCGAACGAACGGATGACAATGAGCTTGGGCTTGGACGTGAAGTCGCGCTTGGGGACCGGGATGTTGCGGCAGATGTACTCGCACACCACGTCCACGTTGTACTTTAGCACGGCCGAGATAGGAATAATAGGGGCGTCATGGGCCACCGTTCCGGCCACGAACTTCTTAATCTGCTCGTGCTGGGCCACAGCCGCGTCCTCCTTGATGAGATCCACCTTGTTCTGCAGGATAATGATGTTCTGAAGTCGCATGATCTCAATAGCAGCCAAGTGCTCGGACGTCTGGGGCTGCGGACACACCTCGTTACCTGCAACCAGCAGCAGCGCAGCGTCCATGACGGCAGCACCGTTAAGCATCGTAGCCATAAGAATGTCGTGACCAGGACAGTCGACGAACGACACGTGACGCTGCAGCACCCACGTCGTCTTCTCGTCGTTCTCGTCCACAAAGCGGTCAGGCTTGGAGCTGCCAAACGCGCGGTAGCAGCCGATGCCCGTGCCGTTCTCGGCGCGGTAGATCTTGGCGTTGGCATAGCCGAGCTTGATGGTAATGTTACGCTCCAGTTCGTTCTTGAACCGCACCGTCTGCACGCCCGAAATGGCCTTCACCACCGTCGATTTACCGTGGGCGACGTGGCCAATGGTACCGATATTAATGGTAGCCTAAATTGCAGCAAAACAAGCGAGTCAGAAACGTCTCCTGTTGCTACATTCTCGCGTTAATGAACGACGGTACCTGACGACTGATGACCTCCGGAGTGAGCGGAGTGAGCTCCTCGATCTTGAGCTTGGTCAGATCCTGCACCGCCAGGTGCTTCTGTACGAGTTCCGGCATGGTCGATAGATCAATGGGGTGGGGGGTCTCCTAGTCTGCTTCATTTCAGTACATACACATCGCAGCGCTTAGCTCTCCATTCTTATTTGCCAGGTGCGTGCTGGACCTTCACACGACTTGTGAGTGAACCGCCACACTTTCTACATGCTGTGGGCGTCGTGGCGCCGGCCTCACCTGTCGGTTGAATCTGCCTCTAGCAAAGCCACTGGACGCCAAAGGGGAAGCGGAACCGAGGTGGCTGTCAGGAAAAATCTGCTGGCGGGCACGACGTGAGCAGTCATTTCAGTACATATTATGTGGTATACATGATTCTGTTTGGAGCACGAAACGACGTGTATGGTCACTTCAACAACTTTAGATTGGCAGCCATGGCGGGCGGCGCTAGCAACACCAGCAGCGCTCCAGGGCTCATCCATCGGTAAGAAGGTGTATCAAACTTGTGATCTATTGTGAGTACTCTTTTGAAAGCTAAACATCAAATATGTAGCCACTTCTTTGGGCTCAAAGGCAGTGTGCACAACAACGTTGCGTTCGCAGAGGAGAGTGTGCTCGTTTATCCGTGCGGCCACAATGTCATCATCTACAATCTTGAGTCCAAGGAGCAGCAGTTTATACATGGCGTCGAGACTACGGGGCGCGGTATCACGGCACTCGCCGTGTCGCCCAATAAGCGCTACGTGGCCGTGGCGGAGCAGGCGGAGCGCGCGGTTGTGCACATCCACGACCTCAATACGCTGCGACGCCGCAAGACGCTAACACCTAGTGACGGTCTGGCGGAAACTTTTGTCTGGGTGGCGTTTTCAGGCGATAGCAAGTACTGCATCACGCAGGGAGGCGCACCAGACTGGGTGCTTTCGCTCTGGTTGTGGGAGAAGACCAAGCTGCTCGCGAGCGTCAAAGCCTCAACGCCTCAAGGCAACGTCATTCATCAGGCAGATTTCAGTCCAAATGAACCTCTAACGATATGTGCGAGTGGCAACGGACTGCTAAAGTTCTTCCGATTCACAGACGGCCAGCTGAGATTACAGGCGACGCCGCTGAAGCGTGAGCCCGCGCACTTCCTACGACATGCTTGGGTCTCGGACGACCGCGTTGTAGCAGCAGCAGACTCAGGTGAACTGTGGCTGTTCGAACAGTTTGAGTTTAGACAGATCTTGACGCCAGCGACTACTGGCGCAACGGGAGACGGCAGCTACGTGAGCTCCTTGTTGGGCTACTCCAAGGGCTTCGTTTGTGGCGGGTCGGGAGGTTGTGTGCGCATTTACGACCGAAGCGATGACGGAGGATCGCGCGAGTACTACAAAAAGGCAAAAACGTTTCGAATCGAGGGTGATACTAGCACTATCAAGGACTTGGCTATCAGTCCTAGTGAAGATCTGCTCGTTTGCTCCCTTGAGAACAACCATATGTACGCACTTACACTCTCAAGCACCGATATCCTCAAGGAAGACGCCATGAACTTCGAGGTCGTCTCGACGGCTTTCCATGCACCGAGTAGCAGTGGGAGCTGTCATATCACTGGACTTGACACGTGCATTCGTAAGCCGCTAGTGGTGACTTGTGCGCTCGATCGATCTGTGCGCGTGTGGAATTACTTGGACAAGTCAACTGATATCCTTAAATTCTTCCGCGAAGACGCTTTGTGTGTGGCCTTCCATCCATCCGGCTTGCACGTCGCTGTGGGCTTTACAGATAAGCTACGATTGCTCAACGTCCTTATGGACGACATTCGCTCTTGTCGTGAGTTTACTATCAAAGGCTGTCGAGAGGTGCGTTTCTCGAATGGAGGTCAGTTCTTCGCCGCAGCAAACAACAACGTCGTCCATGTGTATGCCACATACACAGGGGAGTTGGTGTCCGTGCTACGTGGCCATTCGAATCGCGTGACGGCGATTTCATGGAAATCTGGCGACCGAAAGCTACTAACATGTGGAGCTGATGGTACAGTCCTCCTCTGGAGTCTCCGTTCAGCATCAAAAGCTGGCGATGGCCACTCACAGGCACGTTGTTCATACATTGATGCCGCGCTATCTCCAGAAGGGGACGTGGCGTACGTAACAGGCTCTGATAATATGCTCAAGGAGATTGATACGGCTACGGGTTTGGCACGAAACGAGCTTTGGGTCGGCGGTAGTGGGGCTGCATTAGGCCCATTAGCTCTCGCAAACTCACAGCAAGTGCTTTTTGTCGGATCGGCAGAGCCAGGTCGTCCCGGTACGGTGAGGCTATACCGTTTGCCATTCGAGAAAGACCACCCGCTACCAACAACGACGTTGTTGAGTGGTGGTGTAACTACTTCTCCGGGATCTGTATCACCCACAGCCCAGACTGGATCTACGTTAGCTGCTGCTTCTGCAGGTACAGGCTCAGCGTCCCAGGCCTACACTGAGTACCATTGCCATGACCTCCCGGTGTCACGACTTCGACTATCGTTCGACAACCAGTTCCTCTTTTCTACAGGCGAAGATGGATCGTTGTGTATCTTCGAGACGCAAAACGTCATCGGAAAAGGAGGAAGCGTTGGTGCTAGTAGCGGTCCAGGAGGTGGCACTGTTGGGTCTCGAGAAGCTCGAAGTGATAGCATGACACTTGGTGGCGGTGGTGCTAACGGCTCGGGTTTACCCTTTGCAGAGGAAATTCTGGTTACCAAATCGGATCTAGAAGAGAAGAATCGTCTTATGAACGAGCTGAAGTCCAAGGTGGACGAGTTGACGCTGCACAACGAGTATCAGCTTCGATTAAAGGATCTCAACTATAAGGAGAAGATCAAAGAGGTATCCGACAAGTTCACCGCTGAGCTAACGCAAGATCGACAACGCTGTGGCGACTTGCAGAGTGACAAGACGGAAATGGAGAATGAGTACCAGAAGAAAATGCGCGAGATGGCTGCAACGCACCGAAGTGAGATACAAGAGCTGAAAACCACGTACGAAGCCAAAGTCGAGGCTGAAAAAGCACGCTACGCAGCACTAGAACAGGCACGTGGTGAGCAGAACACTCGGTTCGAGGAGGAAAGTCATCTACTCGTTGAGAGCCACACACAATTCCTAGCGGAAATGACAACCGAGTACGAGCAAAAGTTCGCTCATGAGCAGGAATTGCAGGCAGTCTGTGAGCAGGCTAAGAATGAGCTCATTGCCACAAATGAAGCGCTGAAGCGTTCTCTTGAAGAGGATGCAGAGCTCGAGGTAGACGAGCTGAAGAGTAAGTACGAGCTGAAGCTGTCAGACGAGCGTGAGGCGACACTACGCCTTAAAGGCGAAAATGGCATTATGAAGAAGAAATTCTCGGCCTTGCAAAAGGACATTGAAGACCAACGCGAGGAGATCCGATCTCTTGAAGAGAAAGGGAAGGAGCTGACAGAGAATATTCGCGGTCTTGAAAAAGATATCCAAGGTCACAAGAAGGAGATTCGAGAGCGTGAGGAGACGATCCAAGACAAGGAGAAGCGTATCTACGACCTGAAGAAGAAGAACCAGGAGTTGGAGAAGTTCAAATTCGTGCTGGACTACAAGATCAAGGAGCTGAAGCGCCAGATTGAGCCGCGCGAGCAGGAAATTGCAGATATGAAGACGCAAATCGAAGAGATGGACGCAGAGCTAGAGCAATACCACAAGAGTAACGCGGCGTTAGATCTCATGATCGGAGAGCTGCGACTTAAGATGGACGGCATGCAAAAAGAGCTCAGCTTGCAAGCTACACAGGTGGCGCTGGGTAAGGCGCTAGTACGACAAGTACAGACAGATTTGCTAGGGTGTGCACAGCTTCTGGATAACAAGAAGGCGCTCAAGGTCGCCGTCATGGCACTGAACAAGAAGTACGAGGACGGTGTCACACCCGACGCGAAGGAGCCCAACTCGCAGGCCGAGTACAACCGCCAGCGTGAATATCTCGAGAAAGAAGTTGAATCGCTTAAGCGAAAGATCATGAAAGGCATGGCCATCAGCGAAAGCGAGCTGCATCGGCTACAGCGCGAAAACGCAATACTAACCACACAGGTCAATGAGCTGCGGCGCGAGTTCCACAACGTGCGCATGCAGACCCAAGAAGTACGTGACGCCAAGTACAAATCTACCCTTTCGATCGCCAATAGTGCTGTGAACAAGAAGCTCTCAGTGAGCACTGAGGTGATGCGTGAGCGCAAAGAGAAGATGCGTGAGGCAGAGTTCCAGAAAGAGCACATCCTGCAACTCAAAGCCCGCATCACCGAGCTGCAGAAGACGCTTGGAGGCGGCCTCAAGTTTGCATTATCTGGATCTAGCAATTCTTCCCAGCACAGACAGCAGCAGCATAGAAGACCGGCTCCACCAGCAGCGCAGCGCCTTCCACCTGTATAATACGTACTTTTATAGTAGTATGTATTTCGTTAAGATCATGATTGTCTCGTATCTACTGTCCTGGTCGTGAACTGGCCGTGCGTTTCGCACGAGTGTACATCGTAGCACTCTGCCGAATCATGCGCGTCTACATGACAGCAACAACAATTATCAATAACCCTTTTGCATAACTAGAAAGCCATCAGTACGCACGTATTGCTGCAGGTGCTGAGTGATGTTGATTCGGTCGGGGATGTGCACATATAGCACTGTCTTGCCCATGACGAACACCTCATCCAGCATCAGTGTAGTGCCCTATCAGCACCAGAGTACTACTATCAGTACTTACTACCACCACGTGCTCTACAGTTGCAGGAAGACCCACATTTGGTTTGGTTTCGCAGGCATCAAGTAATGTGAAGTCCATATCCTGCACAACCTCCTGCACTACGCCTTCCAACACCGAGTCATTCTTCAAATCGATGCGCACACGCAAACCGACGAAGCTCTTGAGCAATAGCAGCAACGAGCGCGGCTTGCGTCGCTTCCTCTTGGGCTTGGCCAGCTCTGCCGCCGCTGGTGGAGCTGCCTGCTTCATTCAGACCAGGAGAATGGCAACATGTACACAATATGCACACTATTAGGTGTGTCACCTGTGTAGAGGAGGCTTCGTTCTGAGCCAATGATTTCGTACTTAGGAAGAGGGCCAGTCCCAAAAAGCAGAAAAGAATAGGTCCCAGAGCGACAAAGTGTGACAGGTTACGATGGGACCTCGCGGCGCTGGACGCCGTCTGAACGACCAGGAGCGCATGGAAATCCTGGAGATCATCCAGCGCGAGGCCAAGGTTAAGAATGTAGATCTGGCCAAGCGCTATGGTGTGTCGGAGGGTGCTATCCGCAAGCTCAAACAGATGAAGGACACTATCCGCAATCGCTACTACATGGGCAATGAACACAACCGCGACAAGCGCAAGCGCGGCGGCTTCAAGCGCAATGCACCATTCGAGGAGGAGTTGTATCAGTGGATTGTACGCATGCGCGAGTCGCAGCCCTACCAGCTCATGCCGCTCACCCAGACAGCCGTGCGCCAACAGGCCATTATCCTGTCTAAGAATTACGAAAAGATGGCCAACTTCAAGGCTTCACCCGGTTGGTTTGCACGATTTTGCTCGCGGCACCGTCTGGACCCGATCGTCGCCAATGTTGTAGCAGGAGGAGATACCGCCAGTACGACCATGGGATCAGCTCCCGGTGATGTCTCGCTATCGGCAGATGGAGTGCCGCAAGCGGTGACAATGCCACCTGCAGTGTCAATGCCTATGACTACAGGTGCTACGGACGAGACAGCGTTTTTAATGGACTCACTGACTGCTGCACCGTCGCAGGAGATGGAGATGGTGAATGCTACGGATACGATAGCAACTGACGCGGAAGAGTCTAAGACCGGCACGGCGTCAATCAATGAGCAAGTCCAGCAGGCTGCTCGCGAGCATAATGAAGCCGCGCTGCGAGCTGCTGCAGCAAAAATCGGTGAGGCACAGGCCACGTCAGAGGACAAGATGGCGGATGCCGAACCGGAAGCGTCTGACACCGAGTCTGTGAAGAAAGAGGATGTTGGCGGAGAAGAAGAAGAACAGACAAAGAAGGAAGGTGATGCCACTGCTGACGTTGCGGAGGACGAGATCTTCAGCCTCGGACTGTAGTCAATCCGTTTTAATCAAAACATACTTAAGTTGCATTTTTTCATTTTAGAATTCGCCACCCTCGAGCGGAGATACAACTAGAAACCTTGACGTGACAGGTGTACTGGTAGCAGAAATTGGTATCCTGGATGGGTCAACGCTTATTGTACTACTAGTAGTATGACTTTGCTCTTTTGGCTTACAGGCACCTAAACACCATGATCGAATACTACCTCCGTTCTGAAAAAGATAAATTATATTACAGCCTACCCAAAACAATACCCCCTCTATGCCGATCACTTTTTGGATTTCGAATCTCCCGCGCTTCCCCGACCAGACTGGCTCCCGCGCCCAGCTTTCATTTTGAAAGCTGGCACCTGGGGGAGATCACAGACAGTGAGCGCCAGGCCGTTCGGGAGACCTTACTGCTTCGCAGCGTAGGAGGAGTGCTCAAGCATGGAGAGATCGTTCGGGCTGCAGCGTACTTCGGTGTGGGCCGCCAAGTTGACGAACGACTTTGGAGGCGTGGAATCAATTCGATGGGAGATCGAGTAGCAGCCGTGGTCAAGTCAAGGAAGAACGCATGTGGTAGGAAGAAGGTGGATCGAGCTGCGCTGGGCGAGAGATTCGCTGCAGTTCCTGTCAATGAGCGCGAAAACCAGCGTCTGCTTCAGCGCGCGTCCAACATGAGCTGCTACCTGGTTCAGCAGGAAGGCTACATACGGCGTGCGCTGACCCGTCCACTACACAAGTTGGCGCGCCTCCGGCACAAGGACAAGCAAGTACGAGCTGGCACTCTTCCTACGTCACTGCCTTGTGACGCTATCTCACTTGCCAATGCTAACGCGTACATGCTGCTTCTTGCAGCACCCCACCGCCTACCGCTGAAGTTCCAGAAGCCCCACTGAGCGCCCCTTCAGAATGTGGCGATGTAGTTGCCGTCTTAGATCCGTTTTTGTATCTGTAGTTGCACGGCGGAGCATGAACGCCTGTGCCTTGCTTAGTTTCTCACTGTCAGCTCTCGGTCATAAAGCTAGCTAGCCAGCCTCTCACAAATTAATAAACGCTCAAATGAACGAGGCGGAGCGCTGCGCAAAAAAAAAACAAATGGTTATCTTTTTCCGAGCGGAGGTAGTATTAAGCACAACCAATAACATTGTAAGAAAAAACTAAATAGTGCCCTGCGATTTAGCAGAACGAAATTAGAAGAGAGCCTTACAAGTTCTTGGCAAACTTGCAGCTATGAAATGCTCATTGCAAACCGTTCTCGAAGGGGGGGGGGGTAATACCACCTTTCCACGTGCGAACCTCACTGTTATCAGCAAAGACACTCACGATATAATCCACGTTACCTCAGATTTGTAGCAAGACGGCGTGATTTTGCTGTGAAATGCTCCAATGAGTTGTCCAAAGACACTAATTTTCTGCTTGTAATTAGATAGTAATAAGCTAATACAAGCGTAGTAGCTATTGTACATTAGCTCCTGAGCTAGATGGTCATTGCCATAATTTTTGGTGGTCGACAATATTAATAGCCCAGTAATATAGTACTACAATAGTAGTGCTTCTCCTCGTCTTGCTAATATTACTCGAGTATTAGTTTTGTAAACGGTCATGCTAAACTGATATAGTAGTTTGTCGAAAAATCATTCTACTATCAATCCCTGCCTATTATACCGTGTTTTACTGTACTGTAGCCAATAACACGATAGGTTTTCAATGAATTAAATCGAACTATTACTGAAATTTCTCCTTCTTCAATTCAAATTTACATTCGTTTTGTCTTTTTTAAGCTGCTTTAGTTAAAATACAATTTCGATTCTCAAAGATGAACTCGGAGAGGCAAGCTGCCCGCTTGAAGCGCCGAGCAGAACGACTAGCCCCGCCGTCACGTACGCATAGCAGCTCTGTGGGTACTAGGCAAAGCTACACTATCTCTAGCGATGCATCATTACTGCGAACACGCGGGTCCAGTGTCCCGACGGACAGCACCGACAGTCTCCGCCGACCTCCCGTAGCATCCGCATCATCCGCTACGGCTGTCGCCATGAGCACGCGTCGCAGCTCCAGTGCGCGCAGTCCGCGAGACATCAATGTTTTGGTGGATAAGCTATTAGGCAAGGTGCATGGCGCGCCGTCCGCCATCACTACGCGCCGCACGGTCGTCCGTCTCCATGACGCCGTATCTACAGCTCCACAGACAGATGCAGTACGTACCCTCGCAGATGTAATCTTTTGGATAAATAACTAATGAGAGGAATGATAATGTAGTTTTCAGTTCTGGAGAAGATCAAGCGCAAGATCGCGACAGACGCGCCGCAGTTCTATGCCGATTCTCACGAGACAGTAACACGACTCAATGAGGTTTACTCGCGCTTCGTCAAGTTTAAGAACCTGGATAAGAAAACGTAAGTGGCGGTCGATATTGCGTCTATCAATCATTTTACTAACGGCAATTGATGTTAGTGAGGCGTTGTTGCTGCTGTACGGCCTGATGGACACCGCTCCGCCTCCACTGCACACCGAGGAGGTTCACCACCGTCCAGAATTTGCAGCTACAAGCATGGACAATTACTCGACAGCACCTACACCTATTGATGTCGACAGCTCGATGTCTGAGGGCTATGGAGACCACCACCGGTCTCAGTCGATGCCAGCTGTGTCATTACATTTAGGTGCACAAAACTCAGCACCTGTTCCGTCGATGGAGGAGTCCAAAACGGACTTGGATTCATTGGAAGATTCGTTTAAATTTGCAGTGGGAATTGCTCCCGCGCACAAACCAAGGCAAGGAAGAAGCACCAGCCCTCGTTCACATTCAGAAGCGCTCAATGGAGCCAGAGGACGCTCGTCTTTCGACGTACCAGAGGAGGTTCTTCTGCGCGACGTTCTGTACGCGTTGCAAGCTATCGAGTCGCGCTATTTGTACTTTGACGACGCAGCCGACCGCTTTCAGATTACGAGAAGTGTCGGCGTCCCAACGCGTAAATACGGACTTATACTACGTGACACGATGACTTGAAACACTCACTTTTGTGTGTGCTGCGTTTTGCTTAACAGCCATGCGTGAGCTGATCCACATGTTGTGCGATCTTGGCTGGATCTTCCGCAAGATTTCAGAGTATATCAAAAAGCATCGTGAGGAGCTGGCGTTTGGCTTGGTTCGTACCAGTCCTTAGTTGCTTTACTATGTAAAATGTATCACTGACGTTTCCGCTACCTGTAGGTGGGACAAAGCTTCTGTCATGTGCTCAACACCGAGCTAGTAGATTACTTCCGGTTGATCGCTGTACTGGCAGCGCAGATTGATGAAGATGCTGAAACGAGGCAGCCACATGAACGTCGAGTTAGCAGCCTGACGCTGCGGACGTTAATCGTCTGGCTTCAGGATCCACTTGACAGAATGCGGCTGATGGCTCGTCTTATCGACAGGTAAGGCCGCGTACGTGTGGCGGATGTTGGGGTTTACTTAACGATGGGTGTGTCGCTACAGTGTTGACGGACTTCGTGGCGGAGCGCTTGCGTCTGGCATTCACTCGCACGTACTGCATGGCGATCCAGACGTGTCACAGTCCGTTCAACGAGTACTGAAGCAGATTGCTGCCCCAATCGTTCGGATGATTAAACGGTGGGTCTTCGAAGGCGAGCTGGAAGATGTGCATGTAAGTGACGCGTTAACTCTCTCAGTATGGCATTTTGTACCGACGCGTGGTTTGGTAGGGTGAGTTTTTCGTGGTGGCAGATTCCACCGTGAGTGATGATCAGTTCTGGGCCAAGAAGTACACGTTGAACTTGAAGATGCTCCCCACATTCATTCCCATGTAGGAGCACCTGCTCATCTTGCCGTTTCTGGTCACGCACACTGACTTGTGCCTCTTTGATGTGCGTAGAGAGCTTGCGAAGAAGATCTTGGTCATTGGGAAGAGTATCAACTTCATTCGCCAGTGCTGTGGGAATGCCGATGTACGTGGAAGTAATTTTTGATTATGTGTCGTGCCATAGCCTCATCAATTGGTCGATTCTTAATACAGTGGGTTATGGACGCTGCACAAGAGACCGCCGTGATCGGAATGGACACAGCGCATGAAGGAGCCTATTTCGCAGAGTTGAAGCGACTTGAAACAGTGATTGAAAGTGTGTCAAACTCTACCAACGAGTATCTGATTCGCACGTTGACGGAGAAATATCGGCTTTTGGATCACTGCCAAGCATTAAAGCGTTATTTGCTACTGGGACAGGTACAGACTGGCATATAATTGCTCGTGGTATCATAAGGCTAACGTCGTATCAACCGTGCACTTGTCTGTAGGGTGACTTTATTCAATATTTAATGGATCTTCTAGGACCGGAGCTGTCAAAGCGTGGAGCACAAGTCTACCGCCATACGCTGACAAACGTTCTGGAAACAGCGCTAAATGCTTCGAACGCAAAGTTTGAGGTTTGTACTCTTGTAAAAACGCTTAGATTTTCCACCGGTGCTTATGACTTTACGCTGTGTTTCAGTCTCCAGATATTTTAGGGCGTCTAGACGTTGAACTACTGCAGGGATCATCAGGTACGTGAATTGCCAATCTATTGCAGCAGGCGACACGACTTCTAAGTGTGTGCTTGTAACTGCGTTTGACAGCGGACACTGGTTGGGATATCTTCTGCTTGCACTACAACCTGCAAGCGCCAGTGAATAGTGTCATTCCTGCGTCTTCGATGCTGCAATACCAGCAAATCTTCGACTTTTTGTGGCGAATGAAGCGCGTTGAGCATTCACTGTCTGCATCTTGGTCAAAGGATATGAATCTTGGGCATGAGGTCCAGGTACGCTCTGCTCTTGTCGTATCTCCAAAGCGTCAGACGTCCTCTAACTTGTACCCGTTGCAGGGCTGTGTGCCTGGTATTAGACCTGTGCTTCACAGGAGCCAACTCGTGCGATCGGAGATGATCCACTTTATAACGAACCTTTTGAACTACATTATGTTCGAGGTAAAACATTTGATAGTCATCTTGGCTCTCTCCCTTTCGCTGGGTTTAACGTGCTTTACTTTGCTTATTAGGTTCTGGAGACGGCGTGGCATAAGTTGGTGAAAGATCTGAACGCTGCCAAAGACTTAGATGGCCTCATCGAAAGCCACGCGGCGTACATAACCTCCATCAAGAAGAACGTAAGGATCGATCAGTTTACCAGCGACCAATGGCGGCAAATAACGAGCGTGTTTCGTGATCGCAGGGCTTTATGATGAAGGACTCACGAGACCTTCTGAAACAGCTGAAGCTCATCTTTGCAACGATCATCCGATTCTGCAAGGCACAGGAGAATTTATACACGACTGCGATGCACGAAAAGCACGTGGAGGAGAGGCATCAGCAACTGATGCAGCACCAGGAGCTTGGCGTACGCTTCACATAGCGCTCCCTAAGAAGCCTGTTTGTACTGACCGATGTGGTTTGTTGTTATGCAGAGCTCGTGGGGAATACCAGAGGAAGATGAGTACAGTGTGCGAGCAGAACGAGACACGTTTGGGTCCAACTCGAAGATCTTGCGGCAGATCGAAGAAATCGCGGAAGACTTCAGCGGCCAGTTCCTAGAACTCCTCGAAATCGTCAAGAAGAACTCAGTTCGGTACGGCTCAACTTTGTCCCAACGGCTAAAAAATGTTCTGACGCACTTAATGTTGCTTACAGAGGATCACAAAGTCTTTCGTTCCTCATGTCCCGCTTCGATTTCAACGAATTCTACTTAAAAAAGACTACGCCTGTTATGGATGCAGACGAATAGACGATGTGAATGCAATTCTGTTTCGATTTGCTCAACTTTGTATCGAGAAGTGTGCTTTGTTCCTGGTCGTAGGGAACAATTTATTTGTTCTTGAAGTAGTAAATGTTGCAAGAATGTTGCGGATCCCGAGGTAGCGGATCACCTGGTTGCAATCCAAGAAGCTCATGTGCGTCATGCTTTAGCAGCGTCGGAGCGACGATGGATATAGGATTCGGAATCGGGAGTACATCGTAAGCATTTTAATAAGGGAAACCCAGAAGCGACGTCCCAAAAGTGCGCTGGATTGTATTAATCCTCTATTTTGATCCAGCAGCGAGCACGTTTTGCCTGATAAATACTTATTATACAATTTGACCCAAAAATGGACGACGCACTGGGGCCGATTTTTTAAGTAAAAACCTTATTAGCTATTTTTTTAGTTTTTTCTAAAAGGGTAAACTGGTACAAAAGGTAATGTTTTTACAGCACGGCGTTGCTATCTGGTTAGGGACGATACATTGCACTATACATTAGCACGATGTATGTTAGCACGACAACTAAGGATGCTTGCACCCGCAGCGCGTGGACGCAGCCAGGTAAGAAACAGCAAAGGTCAATGCGAATGCAGTTTTATATCGTTACAAACGACTTGCTCAACTTTGTTCTGAGGTTTGTCCTTCAGGTGCTTCGAGCTGCAGTCTCATCGCTTTATGGGCTGCCGGCTTCGAGTTGTGTCGTGTTTAAGTGCAAACCTGTTGCTTACACACGTAGTTGGTAGTTGCCGTCAGTTTTGGATATGAGGTGGCATCACATGGCCACCTCTCCACCACATCCCTCGGCTTATCTTAAGTTGGGTGGACGCTGGCCTCTTTCCTTCAGCCATTGCCCTTATTGACATTTATTCAATCAAATAGACTATTTGATTGCCTTTTAACCTATCATATTGCACAAACCGAGTATACAAACTCAAAGGTATTGCGTCGCAACACTCCCACTAAAGAAGCCAGCGTTGCCATAAACTTTCTTCTTATTGTCCGTCAACTTTCTTCATATTGTCACCAAAGATCCTTCTCGAAGTCGACTTCAACCTTTCTCAGATTTACATGCCCAAAATAGCAAAATCAAACTACCGAACTGGGATTTAGTATAACTTTGAATGCTGGGCACATACCCAAGCTTAAATTCGCAACCCAAAATCAGAAGCAATACTTTATTTCATATTAAAAGTAACTTAGCTTATGTATTTGAAGTTTCCGACTTTTGCGAGAGCTGCTCACTCTCTATTTTGCTGCTGTCAAGCGCAGGTCCCGACGTTACCCTTCGGGGGGGGGTTCACAAGCGTCTCCGTATCCCATCAGGCGACAGTGATCCGGCATAGGCCACAGCGGCCCTCGTGTCCTGGCTTTTTTTGCACCTAAACGGATCGCCAATGGCTCATTGGAGGCACTGCGGAGCGAAAGTCCGGTTATCCGGTACCCGTGAATTTCCAGTCTTTGACCATTCGTGCTTTACTTGGTGGTATTTAGAGAGTCAGGATAGAATTAAACTTAAAAAGAGTAAAATATACTCTGGGGCAAGGGGCTGATAGCCCGGACATGTCAGAATTACTTTTAGAGGGCTAGGTGACGTGTAAATCTAAGTTTTTAAGGCTAAAGCCGTACTTTTACCAAACCCTTACACTAAAATGTGCCCTTTATTGTTAACTTTATTTCTGACTTTGCTGCCAATAATTGAAATTCCACTTTGATCTTGTAAACATATCTTTGAAGCCAAATCTTACTTACGTATGGCAATCTTTATTTATGGAACTCTTATTTAAGGTCTTTAACGCCATCATAAATCGGAGTTTTTCAAACTGATTTTGACTCAAGGGTTTAGTTAAGGCATCCGCTATCATATCATTGGTGCTACAATAAGTAACCCTGATTTGCTTATCTTCATGTTTATCTCGTGCAAAAAGATGTCTAATATCAATGTGCTTAGTAGAAGAGTGACTGCACGGGTCCTTAATAATACTGATAGCGGCCGTATTATCACACCAACAATGAGTCGGTAGTAATTGCTCGTAGCCTAATTCTTGCAGTAGTAATCGTAACCACATTGCTTCTCTTACTCCTTCACTAGCGGCGACTAGTTCTGATTTCGCTGTATTAAGACTAATACAATCTTGCTTAATACTCTTCCAGGTAATGCATGCACCAGCGAGAATTGATACATATCCTGTAATTGATTTCCTTTCTTCAGATGCATTCGCGAAGCTCGCGTCTGTGTATAGCTCTAACTTAATAGTACTATTACCATTGTACTCAATGCCATACCTCGACGCTCCTTTCAAGTACTTTAGTACTCGCTGAGCCGCTCTCCAATGAGTCTTATTATAGCAAGATAGATATTTACTAAGCTCTCTGACAGCATTAGCGATATCAGGTCTAGTTCCCCTAACTAGGTACATTAAGGACCCAACTAACCCTCTGTAGTCGAATGACTGTGCCGCTATTTGTTCGGGTGACAATGTATTTTCCTTCTCTAAGACCACAGCTTTTGCTTGTGGTGTAGGTGCAGTATTGCAGTCTCTCATCTCAAACTTATCTAAAAGGTCGTTAATATACTTTTGTTGAGATAGGCGTAGAGTCTTATTTGTAAGGTCTCTTTTAATCTCCATTTTAAGCAGGTAGTGCAACTCACCCAAGTCTTTCATAGTAAACTTGTCAGACAGCTTAGCTTTAAGATCATTTATAGAACTTAGATGTGATCCTGCAATTGTCAGGTCGTCCACATACACACACACTATAAGGACGTGCTGAACCCCATTTATCTCCCACCGTTTTAGATACAAGCAATGCTCTTTCTTGCATCTAAAAAAGCCTAAGGTTTTTAAGAAGGTATTCAAAACTTCATACCAAATTCTAGGTGCCTGTTTTAGTCCATACAGGCTCTTCTTTATTTGCAAACTAGATTTTCAGTTCCTTTGCGAAACCCCATTGGTTGCCTCATGTAGATGTTTCTACTTAAAACTCCGTTTAAAAACGCTGTAGATACATCCATTTGGTGTAGATGCAGCCCTAATATTGTGGCTAATGCCAGTAATAAGCGCAACGATTCATATCTTGCTACAGGTGCAAACACCTCTTTATAGTCAATTCCATACAATTGTGTATTTCCTTGCACAACTAAACGTGCCTTAAAACGGTCCACTGAGCCGTCGGCTCTGTATTTAACATCAAACAGCCAATGACAACCCAATGGCCGTCTTCCAGTAGGAAGGGGTACTAATTCCCACGTTTTATTACTTAAAAGGGCGTTATACTCTGTCTTTATTGCACACTCCCACTGCTTCGCATGTGGGCTTTTCCTGGCCTCCTTAATTGACCTAGGAATAGGTATTCTGGCTGTCTTATTAATAGCTACAGTATTTAACTCTGTCACGTAGTCGTTGAGCCGCACATTTGGCAGTCGTCGTCTTTTAGACCTACGAACAGCACCGTTTTGCACTCCCACTTGTCTGGGTGTCGGTGGTCGAGAGACACAATCTGGGCCAGTGGTGTCAATATCCTGCACTTCAACTTCTAGATTAGGTCTAGTTCTTTTACCTAGGCCTTGAATTACCTTTTCTTCTTCAACGTTGACGCTACAGTCCTCGATAGGGAACGATCGACTGATCATTGCTTAAGTACCAGCTGAGCTAAACTTTACATCACGGGCAATAAGGTATTTATTAGCCTTAATGTCCAGGAGTCGGTACCCTTTATGTTTAGGCGAAAATCCCAACAACTTACATTCTATAGCCCGATCGCCTAGTTTAGGATCCTTTCGTTTTGACTTTGGTATATGCGCATAGCAAGTGGAGCCCCAAATTCTTAACCCTAACCCCTTTGGTTTATGGCGGTGCAGTGACTCATAAGGGGTTTTCATTCCCAGTCTAGCCATTGGTAGTCGATTAGTGACATCCACCATATAAAGTAGGGCCTCAGGCCACCATTTAGCAGCCATATTAGCACCCCTAATAGCACACCTAACACCAGCCATCATGGTCTGGTGGGCTCGCTCAGCACTGCCATTTTCTTCTGGAGATTCAACATTAGAGCTTTCAAACTGTAAGCCCAATTTATCGCATATTTTGGACACTTCAGTGTTTATAAATTCTGTTCCACCATCAGTCCTTATTCTTCTGACCTTATAAAGAGGAAGTTGACACGACAGCTTCCTCAATAAAGACTTAATTTTCCCAGGTACCTCTTTTAAAGATTTTACAATAATGTACCACTTATAAGCAGTGGCGTCATCTACAACAGCCAATGCGTATCGGTACCCAAAAGATCCGTATAAACCGTTAACTCCTAATCGTCCGGTTGAATCCATATGAAGTGTATGTAGCCCCTATGCGTCCAAAACGCGTCGTTGCGGCGCTCCTTATCCTCCGAGGACGGAGCCACTGCCTCTGTAGCCGTAACTGTAGACGTAGGTGTAACCGATTAAGGCGACCCGAGGTAAGCGGCAATCTGCCAATACGCAAATATGAGGAAGACCATCAATCTTCAGCGTTAAGCTGATAGTCCTAATTAGACGTTCCTTACCGACATGACCCAGTCTTAGGTGCCACTCCTTTAAAAGGTTAGCTAAGTTACCACTCTGAGTGCTAAAAACACGACTTTTAGTCGGTTTAATACTCGGTAAGTAATAGACTTCTCCTATTGCCACTGCTGCAAAGAGCAATTTTTGGTCTAAATCCCTGTCGAGCTAAATAGTAGGCACTCAACAAGTTACTATCACACTTACGGTCAAATGAGATATCACTTAGTGTTAATACACTCAACCTCTTTTTAGGGTTTAAAACGGTAAGTTTTATTGATCCCTTTAGTGAGCTATGAGAAAAGCTCCCGTTTCCGTAGGTAAAAGTGTGGCCCTGACTCGGTTTTAGGCTCCCACTAAACCAGCTTCGATCTGATGTTATAGCTCGGCCTGCACCAGTATCAACCACCCACATATCATCGGTCAGTTTTAACTTCTTCAAGGCTCTCAAATAGGAGTGATGCTGCTTACGTACCTCCTCTTCGATGTCGTCCATTTGTAGTGGGGACCTGACAGGGGTATTCGGCACGTTGCCACCATCCTCAAAACCTTTATGGTAGGCGGGGTCCAGATCCTCAATGTCGTCCATCTCCTCGTCCTCAATGCACTCTTCCAGAAGAGTCTTCCCACACTCATTTAGGCGTTTTTCCCCTTCTAGCACCACCGATTTGAGGGGATTAATCGGGGTTGTCTTCGCCTTCTTGGCCTTCTTAGCACCCGGTGCAGTGTTGATATCGGTCCTAAAAAGGGGTCCACCTTCGCGGTTAGGATCCCTATCAGCGATCATCACCGAACAGTCCGATTTGAAGTGTCCACTCTTGAGGCAATAAAAACACCTTTTTCCACCCTCACCTGCACCGCTTTTTCTCTTGACCCCGACATTGTTGACAGGAATCGCTTGGGTTTTATCCATTAAACCCACTTCTTTCTTGGATCGGTCACCAAAGGTCTTGCGTAAGTCCACTTCGACCCTATTCACCGTGAAGTCCTCTTTCTTCATGGAGATCGCTGAAGCCCAAAATTCACTTGGGAGTTGTGACAGGACTTCAATGCACAGCCAAGACTCGGTCACCATGTCCTGGCCGAGCAGCTTCCGAGACTTTCTGTTAATCTCGTTCTTTGCCTTCTTAAGTTGCGCGGAAAGTGTCCTTAAGTCACGCCAAGGGCTACGCAACACCTTCGACCAGGCCCGGGTCAGCTCAATCAGGCCCGCAGCGTCACCTTGGCCGAAGTCCTTCTCGAGAAGTCGAATGACTTCACATGGGTCCATGGAGGACACCACATCGGGAAGGGTAGAGAGAAAGAAGTTTGGAAGGACCTGATTGAGCAGGTTTTGTAAGTCGCCCCTTCCTCTCATCCAGTGCATCACGTCCCACCGCGCCGAGAGCGCCTCTTGCTCGTCCATTTTGGTGGTCGGTGGTGCTGGCTTCTTAGGATTGTCCCGCAGGAAGTCGGCCATGAGCACCTTCGCTTCAGGCTGTTCCTTCTCTAACAGCTTCGTTTGGTACTGATGGTCCAACTGATTGACGTAAGTCAACAGCTTGTCCTGTAGGACTTACCATTAAATTTCTCGAGGCCACCACCAGTCTTAGCAATAGCAGCCATTGAGAAGTACTTGAAATGTTGCTTACACACGTAGTTGGTAGTTGCCGTCAGTTTTGGATATGAGGTGGCATTACATGGCCACCTCTTATCTTAAGTTGGGTGGACGCTGGCCTCTTTCCTTCAGCCATTGCCCTTATTGACATTTATCCAATCAAATAGAATTTTTGATTGCCTTTTAACCTATCATATTGCACAAACCGAGTTTACAACCTCAAAGGTATTGCGTCGCAACAAAGCCTTTCGAGAGCAAGACTCCTTTCAGCAGCAGAAGCCGAGTTTTGGTCGCAGACATTCGCTTCGTGGTGTGATCAAGAGCACGGATAGCGATTTCGACGGACCGCAGCGCTCTCTTTTGACGACTATCCACGTCCTCAATCTCAGAACTTAAAGGACATTCCAGCAGCAGTTCTGCCAAGTCAGTGTGGACTTGCACGAACTCGGGGATGGCGGGGCGATACAAGTTAAGCCTCTCCTCAAGCACCTTGGGATCTGAGCTAACGCCGAACCAGCCATCATGCTCCAGCAATACATCCAGTACTTGCTCTGCTTCGCTTAAGTGTCCAGCGACTGCGTTCAATGAGTTTGAGTGCGGCAAGAGAAGCGCTTTCGAAAGGAGTAGCGAGCTTAAAGCTTGCAGAGTGTGGACATAAGTGAGCGAAGTTGACGTGTGAGTTGCAAGCATCTCCTCTCGCAAGGCACAGAGCTCCACTTCCACTTTCTCGCGTTCGCCTAGGAACACTGCAGCCTGTAGTCGCTGTATCTCTAGCTGTTGTCGGAGGTGCTCTTCTCCCGTGACTCTTGTCGCTTCAATTGCAGCTTCAGCAGTCTCGAGTGCGGTGCGAAAGTGAGTCTGGGCAAGACAGCATGCAACTATTTGTGACCGACACTTGGCCAAAAATGTGCCTCGACCAAGCAGCAGCGAGAACTCAAACTTCTGATCCAGTTCCAAGCGTAGCGGTTGTTTTGCTCCCAGTGGGATGGCATTGTACTCCCCAATGGCGTCCAAGCTGCTCGCCTTCGATGCGTTCCAGTCTCCTTCAAAGAACGCGAGATAACTCAACTGCAAGTGAACATCAGCTCGAGCTCGACGAAGCTGGAGATCTTCCCACGACATTTCCTGCAAAGAGGCGACATCCTCCTTATCCACAGTACTTCTGGAGGTTGAAGCGGATGTGTCACTCGGTTTAATCATCGACAGCAGTGTTTGAGCCATTTTCTTGGCTGCAGGACGGAGAATTGCTGTATCGCGGTCATGTTTGCTCTCATGGCGCGCCATGGCAACAGCAAGACGCAAAACTCCTGCCAAGATAAACACCACAAGCGTCTCGGGGTAGTACTTCGTCAGAGCTGCTTGGGTTTGCTCTACATTGAGCGAGATCAACCAGTTCACGGCGGCTCGATTACTCTCGTCGAGAAGTGGCTTATCGTCGCGGAACACTACAGCATCTGATTCTGGTGCACCGCTACTATTGCGAGGCGTTGTTCCACCTCGTAACAAGTGCATCAGCACTTGGAATGCCTCCTGGAAGCGTCCACATTGAACAAGTGCTTCGACGCGGAGTCTTCGAGCATTCGCGACGTGGTTGGCATCTTTGAGACAGCTCTCTGCGACGTATTCGTAACCTGCGATGACAGGCATTGCCGTGGCAGCATACTGGTGTTCGTACTGAAGTAAAACCTCAGGAACTAGCACGAGCATAATGCAAAGAGAGAGCGGAGAGACACGATCCGGGTCTGTCAGCAGCTCGCGTCCTGGCCACAACTGGCCAAGTATCCGATACGAGCCGTACAAGAAACATTTGGTCGGGTGTGGCACCGAACAACCGAAGAATTGAGTGAAGACCGCTGCTGCCATCAACGCGTAGTCGATCGCCTTTTGTAGCTCAACACCAGACGAGTGCAGGACCAGCTTTGATAACACACTGCAGCACTGCATACCCACCCACAACTCGTCGCCAGCAATGGTGTCTTTGGAGCTGCTCTCGAGAAAATGGTCTGCAGGTGGGGTGAGAACGTCTCGCCAGGATGAACACACGTTGAGTGTGTTAAATGCATTATCCAGTGACTCAAGCCAGCTCTTAGTAGCAGTCTTCAAGTCTCCAGACGCGAGGTGGAAGTCCCCAGCTTCATTAAGAGCTTGACACACGATACGCTTTTGACGCTTCTGTCGTGCCAGAACCACACAGCGATTGAAGGCAGCGATGGTCTGACGTCGAAGAGCAGTAAGCTCTTCATTGGAATGTTTGCGCTGATCGAGTCGACGGTATTTTTCTACCAGTTCGTGGCAAGTGTTGAGCGCTTGGTGACTCTTGTTGATCGCTTTCGAGAGTCTTTTATGGATTTCCAAGAGACTGACCAGCTTCTTTCGTTCGAGGTTTCTTTCAGAGATGAGCACTTGGATTCGCTGCTCCATTTCCTGCTTGGTGGAGCGGAACGTCATCTCCTCGGGCGTAAGAAGCTCTTCTACCACCAGTCTTGACTTTTTCTTCTTCTTCTTGGCTTCCTGTTCCTGGAACGCAGTGATAAACGCGTTCAGTTCTTCCTCTGCCGTTGCTACGAGTACGTCCTGGTGATTCACGATTTGTTGCTGAGCGTATATCAAGACGGGGAAGTTCTGCTCGGAGAATCGACTGCCTTCAGTGCTGCCACATAAAGAATGGTATCTGCTTCCTATTCGGACAATGCACTTCCAGTCTTGGATCGAACAAAATGCTTTCAAGGCGTACGCCATCAGTCTTCCGAGCCAAGTGTGGTCGATCTTCAGTGCATTGGCGGCGGAGTTCAGCACAGTTGATAGAGCCGTCGATGAAGGTAGCGATGTCGTAGAGTCCATCATGTCTAGTAGTGCGTCGACGCAAGTGGACAGCTGTGCTAGTCTAGTAGGTGACGCGCTGATTCGAGTTGGAGGCACCCAGGCGAGCCAAAGCACGTTCCACAGCTGCTGAGCCACGGCTTGCAGCCCTTGCCAACAGTGTGTCAGTCGAAAGAGCTTGCAGCATCCCGCTGATTTCTTCAGAAGTTCACCGAACATTTGATCCAGTTGAGTCTCTTGTGATGCCTCTGCACTGGTAGTCTCAACCTCTGTGGGAGCATCATCGGATACATCTGTAGCTTCAGCTTGCGTCGCTTCTTCTTCGATGTTGCCGATACCGCCATGAAGTAAATTATACGTGCAGTCTTCGGTATCTGGTCCTTTAGCAGTGTCCACTACGTTGATGTTACAGCTGAGCTTTGTGACCTCCCGGTACTGTTGGCACAAAACAAGAGAAATTAGTGAATGAAAAGCACATGAATACGACACAGACGACCGTACCAACACGACGGATTGAATGAAGAAGAGCTCTCCACACCAGCGATACAGATACTCATCGTCCGTCGCAGCCTCTGGGATAATACTTTCACGTGGAGTAGCGTCGCTGGTTGTGGTCTCCAGATCCTCTCGACCACTTAATGGGTTCACCTCATCAGCAGGATGAACGTCTCTTAGCTCAGGAAGAAGTGAATCGCCACCCAGTGAGCTGAGCGTATCTCGAAACTGGCTGCTTATCACTCCACTGACTTTCAAGGAGGACAAGAACTTGTCCATGTGGGCGGTTCCATGTCCCCCAGCTCCAAGAACAGCTCCACAGATCTTGCTGGCGAACTCAACTACTCGATGGTCGGAAGGACTCAGTTGCTCAAGCGTACTGAAGGTCTTCACCAGGTCGTACCCAGCCGAGTGGAGGATCTCGCTCAAACCCGGATTCTCCGCTTCCGCCTTGTCCTTCTCGCTGGTTCGTGGAGTGGCTTGAGGCGTATTGCTTTGGCTCTTATCTTTTGAGACAACTGGTGCTGCTCCCTTTGTACCAGCACCTCGAGGAGAAGCCACAGCTGCCGCTGGCATCTCTGGAGGCTGCATATTAGCTGAGCTTGTGGCTAGTTTGAAGAGCGCCACAACTTCCCGTAAGCTGTCGTCTTCTTCATTCGGTGCGTCGCTATCGGACGGAGATCGCTCTGGGTCATGGTGACAATGCCCTGCTAGTACCAAGGGGAGCGTGGCTCGAGCGATATCGCCGTGTGCTTCTTGTGCGACTCGGAACAGTTCAAAGCCGATACGTGCACAGATCTGGCGCGTATCAACGTCCCAGTTTGCTTTAGGAATCACATGAAGCGCTTGGTAGTTTGTCACTAGAGCAGCGAACGTGAGGGCGTCGCAGCTACCTTTCAAGTGTAGCAAGGGCAGTAGCAACCGATACCCTTTGAAGCACAGAGCTCGAATCGCTTCTTGGTTGTCCGTCGCACAGGCGATCTCGATGGCCATAGAAATCTTTCGGCTATCCTCAAGAGCTTTTGTCTGTGTTGCAGTGAGCGACTGCGCTTCTAAGTCGGAGGACGTGACAAGTGCTCTATCTTGATCAAGCTCTCCAGGTTCGTTGTGACACAAGATGATCAGCGCTTGGATGCAGAGGTTGAGAACTGGTATGGGGAACTGCGCCACTACGTCACGCTTCAGAGCTTGTCTGTAGAATGGGTTCGCCATCCACGACGGACGTCCAGAACACACGGAAGCGACGGTCTTGTACAAGTAACTTGCCGCTTGGTTCGCTCGACCAATGAGTTGGGCGTCATAGCAGGCTTGGGCGAGATATCCATAGCACATCGCCAAAGGCAGAGGGTTGAGCGCCACAACGGGTTCACAGGACTCGCCGATGGACTGAATAACCTCGTGCTTGCTGTCGAACGCAGCAACAGCGAAGACGTAGCTCTCGTTGGGAAGTAGTCCAGAGATGGTGGCGTTCAAGTGTGGAGGGTAAAGCGGAGTGGCGGTTCCTACGAGTTGGTTGCTATTGAGAGAGACGGCAGTCCCCGCCCCGACGGATTTCGCGAACACCATGTAGTACTGCACGCGCTTCTTTCGCAGTGATGGCAGTAAAGGATGGTACTCCACGACTCGGACGGTGATAGCTGAGCTCGAACGAGCGATCACAATTGGTGCAGCTGGAACTGCAGACTCGGGTGCAGATGATCTTGAGGTCAAGTGGCTTCGCAGTTTCTCCTCTTGCGTCTCCATTTGTTGCAGTAGTTGAATGCTCTCGTCTGCGAGTGCGCGTCTCTCTTTCATTGTTTTCTGTGGGTGAGTAAGGCGTTGGATGTTGAAAAGCGCTTTGGCGTAGCCATTCCGATAGCACTCCTCGACGAGTTTCGCTTCAGTTGTTAGCAGTACGGTACTCGCTTGAAAAGAAGTTCCTGGAGTGATGTTCGAAGCTTTAGTGCTGGTCAGTGGAAGCGCGTCGATCATTGTGGCAGCTTGGAGTTCCAAACGATAAAGCGAAAGCAGCAGATCGACCTGGACGCAGCACAAGTCTTGATGAATACCACCGAGCTGAGACCCGGTACCGGGTACACCAACGCGATCTCGTGCGGTAGTTTCTCCGACAGTGTCAACTAAGCTCGGATCACTGATGGCGCAGGAGAACGAGGCGTTGGAAAGTGGCGCATTTGATGCCGTCTCGACAACAGCGTGGAAGTGAGAAGAGAAATCTACTACCTCGCTTCGTCGCGAGTTGATTCGACCCAGACATTGCCGTACAACTTGGCAGCCTCTGCGTGCCTCTCCTCGTATTGACAGCAACGTAGCCAAGCGTAAGCAAACATGCGCATGAAGTAGAAGGTCTTCAAATCTGACAGCAGCGAACGTGCAATGAATCGTCAGGAGCAAGTCACTCGTCAGGTGTAGCAGTGCCTTTGAGAGCTGAGAAGGTTCGGTGGAGTCCAACTCCCTTAGCATCGGTTCGCTAAACTCACGCCACATTTGTAGCGCTACGGACGTCAGTAAGTCTTGATTGGTGCGAGCTAAAGCGCCATCGCCTTGGAAAACGCAGCTTTGCGTCGCCTTCGACAGCCGTGTCAGAAGTGTAGAGCTCGGGACCGAGCCGCCGGACACTGGCAAATGTATTCGCGACTGCAAGCGTTCATCTTCTGATTGAGTTTCCCACGATAACCAAGATTGCTGGACCTCGTGTAGTGCCGCGTACAGCTCCAATAAACTCTTAATCATAGCTGAGTCCGTCGCAGATAAGCCGTCCACCACGACCAGCAGTCGAGTGTGGGCGCTCGTAGTGAGCAATTTCATTAGTTCGTCGGGTTTTGTGAGTTGGAAGCAGTGTCGGATAGTGACCAAGTGGAAGGACATTGGGAACATGGCAGGATCAAGCGTCGAGAAGGTTCCATCTTGCTTTAACATCGGTGTCACAAGCGCCATAACGAAGTCAAACAGCTCCAACAACGCCTCGTTCGTCTCTGGTTCTGTCGGTAATAACGCAAAGATAGCTTGTCCACCTGGCTTCTGATTCTTTTGACGTGACAGCGTCTCCATGGCATCGATAGCAGCACGTATTTGGTCTCGTACGGCTGGGAACGCTGTCTCAATCGTATCTTTTGTAAGTCGTTGATGCACTTCAGCGGCTTTCACTCTCGACATTAACATCGCAGCTGTGGTCTCCGCTTGAAGCAGAATCTGCTGGACCTCAATGGGCAAGGGCATGTCCAGTTCTTCCTCTTTACGCAACCGCTGGACTACTTTTTGAAGATACGCAGCACACGCCACAGCAGATTTAACGTGTAGACCAGCATTCGCTTCTTCTTTTAGTGCCAAATCCTCGTAGCAGTCACAAATCGCGGATCCAAGCTGCAGACGCCACATGACGTACTTGGTCGTACACAACGCCACTGCCGACTCCATGGCAAGTAAACTCCACTTCAAATAAGCGACGACTTCTCTCGAGAGCCCCAAGGACTGTAGAGGCTTCGTAATGGAGCAAATGAGTACCGAGCCATTCAACGTTAACCACGAAAACTGGCCAGAGAATTGACGCTCCATAGCCACAGAGATCTCCATCCCAAGTCGCAACAGCGTCAAAGACTCGATCATTCTCTCGAGCGTTCCTGGATTCCTTACCGAGCCGTCTGATCGCTTTTGGACGTGGAAACAGCACATGGCTACACCAAAGAGTGCTCGAACGTAGGCTAGGCCCTCTAAACGACTCCGCTGGCGTGGCGGTGAGTCTATAGAGGCAACGACCCGTTCAATAACGCCCTGAGGAGTTTCTTGGCTACTCTCCTCGTCCAGAACGAGCACTTTTTGGTAGAAATACGTGGACGCAGCGCTGAATTCTTGAGCTTGGTAGAACTTGTCTCCAAAGACAAGAAACAAGTCAGCCTTCTTCTGCGCGTTGATCTGATCCGGTGTAGCTCGCATCACTCGATCTACTAACGGAACTAACTTTTGAGCTATATCACCGAAGAAAGCCACTTCTTGGCGAGCATTTGCGACGTCCTCTCCGACGCTCTCGGTAGTGAGTTCCTTGCATTGTTTCTCGCGCGTTAGCTGCAAAAGTGCGGTAAACTCACGCGTGAACTGATCCGCAACCACATCTGCTCCGTCTTCCGACTCCAAGGCTCTAGGCCGATCGGAGTCAATTCGAATCCGTGCACCAGCCTTTTTCACCATTGACGAAGTGTCCGAGATTAGTTCGAGAGCGTCGTGTGGGGGACCTTCGCAAAGGTCGGTGGATTGGAGATTTTTAAGCGACTGATGAATTTGTCGAAGCCCACTGCGCTGGCAGCTTTCGCAGCAAAACAACAGCTTCTCGATGATCTCGATATTCCAGAAAAAGGAGGTAAAACACTGGCACAGTTGAAGATCCCGCCATTGAAGACACTTGATGATTCGGGTGATGTCGGTCCAAACCCGAAACAACTCAAGGAATTAACTCCTCTTGGAGGCGGCGTGTCCGTAAAACCACTTAAAGCTGCGAATGTAAGCAGCGGTAATAGGGAGTCGTCATCACGCAAGTTGACAACGAAGATTGAAGTGACTGAACACGCTGACATTCATAGCGTGGCGGCTAGTGCGTTATCCCCTCGAGTACGGCGACAGTCGAGTTTAAAGTCTCTTGCTGCAACGGATAAAGATAACCGGAGTACACGTACTCAGGAATCCGATCCGAAGGAACTCGAGAAGACGAACAGGACAGCTACAGCGAGTGATGCCAACACGGCTCCAACACAAGACGAAACGAGCCAAAAGGAAGGCCAAGTGACAGACACTAAACCTTCTGCCAATGGTGACAGTGAAGAAGAAGACTTTACTTTTGACGACAGTGGGGATGAGACGAAGACTACAGAGCAAGAAAAGTCAAACTTACCGCCGATGACTGAGCTGCGGCATACTTCGATCGACCTAGAGGATCTGTATGACTGTCCGCCAGACGCCACACAAACTCAGCAGCAGAGGTTGAACCCAAGATCCTCTCATTGGTCTGAAGGTCGATGTCAGTTGCTAACACTTCGTGTCACTGTGTTTGTAGAGAACCAAAGATGTTTCTGCCTCGGGCTAGCGACATTGAACTGTTTCATTTGGTCCTTACGGAGGACACTGACCAATTAGAGCGGTATCTACAGGACACAGCGCCTTGCGAAACACTGGAAGTCGTAGACACGACGCAGCGCACCCTGTATCACTACGCTGCTCTCTCCAAGAACAAGAAGGTGCAGGAGATGATACTCCAACACGTGGACTCCTACCATGACGCGAAATTTGAGCTTGAGCTGCAGACTCTGATGAGGAAGAAAGCGCAGATGAACATGTACGCCTGTACATTGCACGTCGTATAATCCTGATCATTGTTTCCGATATATTCGTCAGCTGGATGCAAGACACTGAAGAGCATGGGAAAGAATGGGTGCCACCTCGAGTGAAAGAGTTGCAGCGGCAAACGACGCAGCAAAAGTGCGCCGACTGGGCAAGAATCTGCAGCAAAGTGGACGAGAATGGCCGCACGTTGTTCCATTACGTACATGCCTGTGCTCAATAACTCTTGGTAGACTCGACCTAACGGTCTTTGTATTGCTCAGATTTCTACAACGACGTATTTTATTCCTAATCACGACGACTACGAGCTCTGTAGTGTCCTTCGCAGTCAGCCTAACATACTTTCGACTAAAGGTATCACTGAACCGCTCAAACTTAAGAAACTATTGCTGAATATTCTTTTGGTATTGCTTAGATAAATTCAAGAAGTTGCCACTTCACTATGCCGTCGAAAGTGGAAATCTGAAGCTAGTCAAGTGGGTTTTCCGGATGGGTATTAAACTGAACCAAGCGGACGTCGACTTGTTACTCTCGTTCAACGTGTCCCGCGTCATGGAAAATGTCCTATTGCGCCAGCTTGAAGCTGTCGACTTCCGAAATTACTATCTTTCCAATCGTAGTGTGGATACGAGCGATGTTACGTGCGATCCGGGGGTTAGCACCTTTGTCCTCGCTAAACTGCATCGGAAAACAGACGACAGTACAGGGCATCGACACCAGCTACCGATCCATCGAGCTGCGATGTTCGGGAACATCCGCGCTGTGGAGCTTCTTCTCGAAGAAGGGGCAGACCCCAATACTCGAGATGCCAACAAATGGACCCCGTTGCATGTAAGTGTCCAAGCGGAAGTGGATATGACAACAGAACTAACTGACTATTTGTAGTATTGTGCGGATGAGGCTACACCCCGACACCTGATCATTGCTCAACTTCTCGTGGAATCATCAAAACGTGTCGATGTTAATGCCAAGTCGCTGAAAGGAAGATCTCCGCTTCACATCGCCATTCGCTCTATAAATCACAACACTCGAAACAACAATGGGGCAGAGGCGTGCGAGTCTCAAGATCGACTTTCATTTGTGACTTATCTTCATGAATGTAGGGCGAACTTGGATCTTAAGGACAACCACGAAGCCACACCGTTACTTCTGGCTTGTCGTGGCGGTGACGTCGGTGTGGCTACATTCCTGTTACGTGCAGGATGTGACCCAACTGCGGTGGGGGATAACAAGTGGAACCCGTTGCATTTTGCAGGTACCTGAATCGACTACCAGCTTATTCGAAAATACTCACCGCGTGGTGTGTTCGTACAGCAATTCGAGGTAACCCCAGTATGGTGCAGTTCCTGCTGTCGTGGGATGCTGACTCGCGACTCTGGATCGACTCACCCGGTATTCAAGGGAGGAGGCCAGTTGATGTCTCAAAGAACAATAGTATCCGGCAAATGCTAGTTGTAAGGCCTCGCTTTTTGTCAAGTTTTCAGAAGGTCTTGGACCCATTTTTTTCTTTTGTTTTAGAACCTGTGGATGGAATGCTACAATGGAAACGTAGATCATGTGAGGCGACTGCTATTAACTCGCTCGAAGGAACACTCGCAAGCATCTCAAGGAGTTCAATTAATGTCTGTGAAAGATACAACAACCCAAACAGAGAGAACCTCGCTTCATTTAGCAGTACGAATGTTAAATTTCTCCATTATTGACGACGTTCTGCTAATATTTTTGCCATTGTCGTTTAGATTTCGGGATACATGAAGGCGTTGGAGTTACCCGAACCTAAAATCTCTCTCACTCCGTCGCTTGAAGAGCGTCTGAAACAAGCTAAAGCATCCGAAGTGAGGAAATCTGCCCCTAGACGATATTTGCAGGTCGCGATTCTCTTGCTTCAAGCTGGAGCAGATTTAAGCACTGCAGACAGATGGGGAATCACGCCACTCATGCTTGCAGCTAGTATCAAGGACCCTGTCTTCATGGAAACGCTCCTTGAACGTTTACCAGACGACAATGACCTGCTAGTCGTCGATACGGATGGAAACACAGCTCTACATTACAGCTATGCGTTCTGCCAGGTCTGAGAGTTATGCTTTCCTTTAAAAAAAAAGGCAAAAGACACTAACAGTTCTAATGCACAGGCTCATATCTCAACAATGCTGGAAGATCGGATGGACGACTCAGTACGTAAAATTACTATGAATGAGAACAGCGTTGACGTTTACTAACTTAAACCGGTTTTTGAGTAGGAAATTGAGAACAAACAAGGCAAAACACCTTTCGAGATGACGGGATATCGCGACAAAATCTATCCAAAAGAATATCGCGGTTTTCTTCAACAGCAACGAGATTTACGGAACCAGTTCTACGAGAAATAATCATTAATGGTTCATAGATTATTACTGTCTAGCTTTCTGCGAGATTCTCGATATTTTAAAATGCAGTTAAAAGCCTTCAAAGGTGTCGCTGCCTGTGAATGTTCGAATCTTCGTGTCCTCCGGGTAGGCATCGAAGTTGCCAGCATCGAACGCGTCCTTGATCGCGGGTGTGTACGGATCTTTCAAAGTTTTCTTGACCATGGCAGCCCAGTCGAACTTGGCGTTCGTGAAGAACGGGTGGTTCACCACGTCCTGCATACCTCCAGCCAGTGAGCCGATACGCAGTGCTGGGTTCGTCTCCAGCAGCTTCATGACCAAGTCTTTGGCATCGGGATCAAACTTGGACGGGAACTTGACCATAGCGCGACCCTGGAGGATCTTCTCGAAGATCTTGTTCTGGTCATTGTGCTGGAATGGAGTGCGACCGGCAATGAGCTCGTACAGCAGACAGCCAAGCGCCCAGTGGTCCACTGCCTTGCCGTGGCCTTTGTTTAACACAAGCTCGGGGGCGAGATACTCCGGGGTACCACAAAGAGTGAAGGAGCGTTCGTACAACGCACCATTGCGGTAGTACGGCACGTGCTTGGCAAAGCCAAAGTCGACCATCTTGAGGTATCCGGCGCTGTCGATAACCAGGTTCTCAGGTTTCAAGTCACGGTAGGCGACCGTCATCTTCTGGAGATAGCGGAGAGCCTCAACCACGTTCGCAGCGTAGAACCTTGCGGCTGAGACGTCGAACGCGCCACAGACACCCTTAGCGACCTTGTAAGCCTTCTCATAGAGTAGACTCCAAAGTTCACCGCCCTGTACGAGCTCAAACAGCATGTAGAGTTGGTTGGCGTCTTGGTACGTTTCGTGCAGCTTGAGGATGAGCGGGTGGTCGCATTCGGCGAGGATTCCTTTCTCGTACATGACGTTCTTCTGTTGGTGCGTCTCGACGATCTGAGCTTTCGACATGCATTTTAGAGCAAAAGCCTGGTTCGTAGGACGGTGACGCACAATTATCACACGTCCGAAAGTTCCTGTACCAATGGTGCGGATCTTGTCCAGGTCCTTGTACAAGATCTTTTTGGCCGGCGGTACTATCGGGGTTGCAGTGTCCGCGCGAACGTCAGTGCGTCCACCCATAACGGACTGCTGGACGAGCTGTTGGCGTTGCATCTCACGCTGCATGATGTGGTCAAGCTTGCCAAGAAGCTGCTCAAAAGCTGCACGCTGAAGGGTGAGGCATTCCACACGACCGACAGCAACGCAGTCGGCGGCACGTGGTTCGTTAGCGAGAAGAGCACGCTCACCGAAGAACTCGCCTGAACGGAGCTGCATGATCTCGAATCCGGACTTGCGGACGCTCACCTTACCGTCCGATATCATGTAGAAGGTATCGGCATCATCACCTTCCTTGATAATAGTACTCTTGTCCTCGAATGCCACGACGTTGAGAGCATGCGCGAGGATGTCGAGTTCATCGTCGGTCAGAGAAGACAACAGCGGCACGCTACGCAGGACACGGATGCGCATCTGACGATCGATTAAAGATCGAAGCGGGCCAAGCAGCTTGGTGAATTCCGCACGGTCCATGACATAGCAGTCCACAGCGCCCACGGCAATGCAGTTCGCTTGACGTGGCTCATTCAGCACGAGAGCCATCTCACCGAAGTAGTTGCCGCGTTGAAGTGTCATAAGCTCCTTCTCGGCTTCATCATTTCCACTCATTCGAGATGTACAGCGTACGGTACCCTCGACGATGATGTAAAAGGTGTTGCCGTCGTCACCCTGACGAATAATGTAATCGCCGTCGTTAAACCGCTGCAGCTTGAGTGCCGCCGCCACTTTTTGCAGTTGGTTGTTGCTTAGACGTTGCAGTAGCTCCACGTTCTTGAGGAAGTTGACGCGAGCGAGTTGCGTGGCCGAAGCCGTGGTAGCCATGATCTTGCGGAACGTAGTGCGCTCCACCGTCCAAAGAATACACCCCGTAGTGGCACGGATCGTAGCAGCTCGAGGACAATTGTAGAGCAACGCAAGCTCACCGAACGCATCGCCGTTCGTGTAGGTACCCACCAGTTTGCCGTCGACCACGATGTCACAGTTGCCGCTCTCCAGCACATAGAAGCACTTGCCCGACGTGCCCTGTGCGATGACCGGTTCCCCAGCTTGAATGGTGACCATGGCCATGACGTCAATCATCTCGTCAATCTCACCTTGGTCCAGTGAGCTGAAGAGGTAGTGGGCTTTCAGGGCTTTGGTGATCATGGCACGGGTTTGGTTGTTTTTGGGAACGCGGACATGCTGAGCGCTGTCAAGGTCACCCGGCTCTACAGCGTCTTCCTTGATGGGAGCGCGTCGAACACCTTTGTGTTCATTCAGGTCCAGCACATTCAAAGCCGGAGGAGCCAACTGCACCGTCGTAGTGGTGGCAGCAGCGCTGGAGTTGGCACTCGGTTTAATGCTCGGAGGTGCCGGCGGAAGAATCAAATCCTTCATACGCTTCGAGAAGTCCATGGTGAGGGACAAGGAGGAAACGATAGGTTGACTTGCTTGAAGGCGAAAGCTGAAGTGAATGCCCCCCCCCTGCAAAAAAGAGGGTGCTACCAAGGTGAAGGTGTCCGATATGCTCGGACAAGAAATCTGCTAAGAATATCGCGTGCCGGTCATGGTTCATCGACTCGTTTGAACAGGAATAGCAAAGCTAAAGAGGGTTGTTGGGGGTTTGAAGATAAACTTTCGTTCGTTTCAAGATCGGCATGAGGATCGGGGGCTTCAAGCGAACGGATTTAGGGCGTGAATTATGGCTCCAGAGCGAGTGGGGAAGCGTGTTAGAGTATACTGGTCTGAAGAGGAGGAGTGGTTTGAAGGTACTATTCAGGAGCTCGATGAATCTCAAGGATACTACGTCGTCTATGACGACGGTGACGAACGGTGGGAATCGGAAGGTCAACCGATGCTAGTTGAAGGCGAAGAAGAGGCACAGACTGCTGCGAACTATGAAGAGCTGAGGGACACAGATCGAACGCCTCAAATGATGGAGCCTCCAGCATCACCTGGAAGTGACGACGATGACGACTACGAAGGAGTGGAGCAAAGTGAGAACCACCAAAAGCCTCAAGCTGTCGACGATACCGATGCTGATGAACCTCCAGGTGCGCATGAAGTCCAACCTCAAAACGAAGAAATCGACTATAGCGAGGATGAAAGCGACCAGGATACCTACCAGCAAGAAAAAGAGGAGGATCAACAAAGTAATTCTCAGTCAGGCAATAACGTAGAGAATGATATGGAGGATCATCGAGGCGAAGACATGGATGACACGAGGGATACGCAATCCATCGCTGAGTCAGAGATGCCTCAAACCTTCGGGACAACGAGAGAGAAAACAAGTAAGCGTACGAGCACACCGCCTTCAGCCGTACTGGTCCCAATAAAAGGAATGTTGGAAGGTAGAGTTTTACGAGCCACGGGTTTGCAAACAAGTCGAGCGCTTGCCCCCAATGCTTTTGTCCGAGTTTCATTTGTAGAATCTGGCGATGCCACGCATGCGAGCGCCATGCTTCGATGTAAAGAGACATTGTCAACCACTGGTATCGTTCGAGGCTCTGTCAACCCTGCATGGAGCGAAGATCTAATGAGCGATGACGATCATCAAAGCAAAGATAGCAGCAACGACGGAAGCTTTCAACTGGAGCTGCTTCCACGAGTCATACCACCTGCAACAAAACCTGCATGGCACCAACTTCCAGGCGACGTACTTTTCACCGTGTTTTCAGCCTCGAGATCCGACGGTAGTCGCAGTGGAGCGAATGAACATATCGGCCAGGCCACGATATCATTGCGAAGTCTAATGCACGATTTATTAACCATATCTCCCTTCACAACTCGCGTTCTCGAGCTTCGATCGCGCAGTGGAAAACGTCTCGGGTACGGCAACACATCGGCACGAAGTCTATATGACGATGGCAGGGCAGAACCCCCAACGTTGGTCGCTTCTTTCAAGTTCGTGCCGACTTATGAGAGTAAAAAAACCAAACCAAAAGCTCTCCGTTTAGAACCCAGTGCGTCACGAGTAGCCCCCTCTAAGACATCTTCCAGATTAGGCTCTCGACAAGAGAAAGCTCGAAGTGCAAAGCGAACAGCGCCCGCTCAAACGAGTAGCAGCAGTATCAATCGTCGACGCTTTGAGCAACAAGTAGCGAAGGATAATCGATCGTTTGCTAAGCGATTGGAGTGGAAAGAAGCTCGTCGAACGCGTCAATCGGCTCAAGCAAAAGCTCAGGAGAAGAGGAAGGTGACTCCACCTCAACATGGCGCCAGAAAGCACGGACATAAATCTCATTCAGGCATCAATCGGACCAAGTTTGTGCAACAGATTGCTGCCGAGAACAAAGCAATGGGTCGACGACTGCAGAATATCCTCGGCACTGACGACGGTGCTCGCAATCCCGAGAAATTCAGCAGTTGGGCTGCAGCAGAACCCAAAGACAGTTTAAGCTATGACTACATGGATCGAGATAAACTGCATGCACAGGATAAGCGCTGGCAACGACAAGTGGAGCTCGATTTTCTAATGGAAAAGGCTCAGACTACGTACCAGCAACAACATCAAATGGTGGAGGAAGTCGTGGAGCTTCAGGAAGCGGTCGCGACACTAAAAACTCAAGTGGATACACTGAACAAGAGTGTACTGCGTCTCAATATCCTCAACAAGAAGGACCAACACGTACGCGACTGCCTCCTGCGTGCTGCTGTAACTTCAGGAAGCTCGGCTGTCAAGGGGTCACCACGACAACCGCATACGCTGAACGGAAGCTCGTCCAAGACACGCACCCAGAACAATCCAGAAGACAGCGATAGCTCCGGTAAGAACCGTAAAGAACAAGAGCTGGAGCTTCTGACGCAGCATCGAGATCGTCTGCAAGCTGATAAGCGCAAGTCAAGCCAAGAGTTGATGGCTCTTAACCAACAGGAGCTCGAACTCGACAGCGAGATGGAAGATCAACAGTCGAAGTGGGAATACGCGCTAGCCACGCAGCTTTTCCATCGACAAATGGGCAAGAAGAACGCGGCTCAAACCCAACAAGCAATGCAAGAGATGAAGAGGAGACAGAAGGCGTTGGAACTCTCACGTGAAGAAGAAGAACAATGGGCTTGTTACCAGGCGCATCAAGAACTTACGCAGCTTCAAATTGCCATCCAGATTCTCAAAGACCAGCACGGCGGAGGTTTAGCTGGCAGTCGAGCCTCCAAGTCTTCGTCAACTGCAGTTTGCGAGTATCTGACGAAAAAGATTGCCAAGCAAGAAAGAAAGTTACAGCAGCTTCAAGAGGAAGTGGAGCGACGACGCAATGACTACGAGGTAATGCTAGTCAGTGGCGGGAACGAGAGTCTTCGGAGACGTGTGCAGGAGCTGCAAAAACTGGTTTTCCTGTGCAAATCTCAAGCTAGCCATGTCAAGAAAGCAGAGAGAAGCGCACGACGGAAGGGCGAGCAAGTGGACTTGGAGTTCCAACGACGATTGTTTAGTGAACAAACGGAAACAGACATTTTGCTCAAGAACATTCCCAAGCAGGAGGAACTCAAATAATGCAGCTTAAGTAAGCTTACCTGCCTTTTACCAGCCCATGTTACGCTCGAGAAGCGTGTAGAGTCTCTCGTTGTACGGCGCGTAGAAGGCAGTCAACTTGGCACGAACAGCGTCGTCGATGGGGTCGTACTTGCGCGTGTTCTTGGCCGACGTGTCCTTGATGCGGTGGTACGGCAGGTCCAAGAAGTTGAACACCTTGTCCATAGTAGTCTGTCAAATACAGGATAAGCAAGTTAGCAACAGAACAGTACGACAGAGCAATAAAAAGTGTGAAACATACGTAGAGGTTCTCCGTGGTCTTGAACTCATCCAGCGTCAGCAACAGCACGTTCTCCTTGCTATATGCTTCAATCCATCCCGAGAGCTGCAACGCGTATAGCCCACGCGCTACGAACGAGTGAGCGCCGTGGTCGAAGTCAAGACGCTTGTGCATGACCTTGTCATCAAACTCCTCGAAGCTCATGTCCGGATGCACTCCAAGCTTCGAGAGCTCTTGAATCTCGTCGTCCACGATCTGTTCGAAGCTGCGGCCCTGAAGATGGTGATGGCCACGATTGCGCTTCTGCTTCTCGGAGCCTTCCGTGTCCGCAGTCATCGAGTAGTGCGAATATGCGCGCTCTACTGGGTTACGCATGATAGCGAGGATCTTGCGACAATGTGGGATCACCTGCCTCATGCGAGTGAGTACAGTCTTTCCACCGAGCATGTAGCTGGGCGTGGCTTCGCCCGACATAAGCGACGGGAAGCGGTACAAGATGTTCCTCTCCAAAAACGTGTCCTCGAAGTATCGAAGGTGCTTCTCAGCGCCCTCAGGTGTCGACGGATCGGGCAGCTCTTTGTTCCAACGCCAGTCAAAGTAGTGAGTCTCCTTACGCTTGGCAGGCCACACGAGGTCGTGTTGCAGGATGTAGTCGTACAGAGAAGTGGTACCGGCCTTCTGAGCACCGATAATGACGAATGAGGGCGGCACGCGCTTGCCGTAGTCCGTGGATAAATCCACAGAGCGGCGGGTCTGCCAGACAGTTGTGCCCTGCTTGAGATCCATGCGGTTGATGGGGAAACTCTCGTCGACGTAGTCGAAGATCAAGTGGACACGGTGCTGATCCCAGTTGTTCTTGACACGATGACGGCTGATGTTGTTGAGCTCGTAGAGGTTTCCCTGCTTCAACTCGTAGCGCTGCATGTTCTGGTCGTTGGGACCCACCATGAAGTCGATGTCGGGGCTTGTAAACACGGGGATATGCATACGATGCGTGAAGTGTACCCATGACCCAGTATCGTGATGCACGGGGATGTCCGCTCCAGCAGGCATGGAAGCCAGGATACAGCGTACGATACGGTTTACGGGGATATTGATCTGCTCAAAGATTGGATCGAGCTCCTTTTGCCACGAGTGGAACCATGGGAACGTGAATACTTTCTGGAGATAGTCGTCGCAGAAGATGAAGACGACTTTTCCAATGCCCCAAGTGTCGTGGCCTGCGCGACGCACTGGAACGTTGTCCTTCTGGTTTGCGGGATCCCAAAGCTCCCTTCCGCCAGCCCGAATACGCTCCTGTAAGAGTGAGATGTCGATGTTCTCTTGGACCGGCACTACCATAGCCAGGGTTTTGGCTACTTCCTCAGGAAGCTCCTGCATCGGAACCTTCTTGTGTCTATTTAGCAGTAAATTGGTCAGCAAGAAGTTTGCTAATCAAATACATTTCTTAGCGAATTAACTGACGCACTCGAGTGGAACGTGGGTAAAAGCGGTCATGGCTTATCGGTAGACGATTGGAACGTCTTGATATTGTGTGTCAGGGCTGTGGCGTGGCGTAGTCGTAGCAGGAAGGTCGGGCGATGCGGTCCAGCAGATCAACATCTCCATGCAGCGGACTACGTCAGTCCATTGCCACACCACAGGTACATCAATATAGTGTTTTTCACACATCCACTAAAAAAGCTAAGCGCCACATTAAGCGCGCTTAGGTTATGAATTGAATGTTGCAAGAAGGTCGTACGTGTTCATCGGGCCCAGCCAGCCAACCAGTGGTCTCCCCTGCGTGGTTGGTTCCGAGCGCGGCCCAAGTCGCTGACAGTCTTTTTGCGGCGCCGTCTTCATCAAGTTTCAATTTTAAGACTAGCAATATGGTACGTTGTCTTTTTGGCGATTGATATGAGGCCAACGCCAATGCGCGCGAGCCCGGGTTGTAGTGGAGGTGGTCGTACTTCTTCTCGGCATTCTGGTCGCGGTGCTTGCAGCTTCGCAGCTGCAATAGTCTGCTAGTTATCAGGCAACAGAAATATGGATCTGTCTCCCGCGTTCCGCCCTCATTTTCGGCTACCAAGCGACGAGAATACTACGGACTGAATTAAGTACGAACGTTGGACGGATGTGATGCAGGTTAAAGCAGGTCAATAGCCGGGCAGGAGAGCGGGAGACAGATACTTGGGCAGGCACGCGACTTAGATCAGACATTCGCCCACCTTCTCTACGACCAGATACAGGCTCTACGAGTTTTTTTTTTTCTAACAGGTTGCCTTGTGTGCTGTGTGCTCTCGTACAGGGTATTGATCTTGTCGCTGGTGGCAAGGTCGTCGGCAAGAAGAACCGCACGAACCCCAAGTCGGACAATGTGTACCTGAAACTTCTGGTGCGCCTGTACCGCTTCCTGGCTCGTCGTACGGACGCCAAGTTCAACGACATTGTGCTCCGTCGTCTCTACCAGAGCAACACCAACCAGGCTCCTCTGTCCCTGGGCAAGGTTGCTCGCTTCATGAAGAAGCACGAGGGCAAGATCGCCGTCGTTGTGGCCACCGTCACGGACGACATCCGTCTTCTGACCGTCCCCAAGCTGACGATTGTGGCCCTGAACTTTACTGAGACCGCGCGTGCTCGTATCGTTAAGGCTGGCGGTGAGTGCCTCAGCTTCGACCAACTGGCCCTGCGTGCCCCCAAGGGCACCAACACGGTGCTGCTCCGTGGTGCCCGCAAGGCCCGTGGCGTGTACGCCCACTTCGGCCACAAGTCGACGCTCGAGTCGGTGCACACGCACGACCACGTCAAGCCGTACGTGCGCAGCAAGGGCCGCAAGTTCGAGCGCGCCCGTGGCCGCAGGAAATCGCGTGGCTTCAAGGTGTAAGCGGCCTAGCCACAAGCACACTGAAACCAGGCTTTCTCTGTCTTGTACCTTCGGACGTTGGTTGTATTGGAGGTCGTCTTCGAGTGGGGATTGCGGCAGCTGGAGCAGCAGTTCGGCTAGGAATTGCTGCGTGCTGGCAGCGAGTTTATCTCGTTGTGTGGCGCCTCTGCTGCAGTCGTGGAGACGGCTACGTGCTAATCAGCGGCTGGAATAAACAAAACCCAGGGAATAAAATTGAGACGCGCACCATTATTGTCTTCATCTCTTCTCTTGACTTGCAATTAATGCAAAACATACAGACAGTTACAGGCGTTTTTTTTACTAAGATCATCAACGTTTGAGGCGTGGTGCTTGTTTTGACTCATTTCCGACGCGAAAGAATGTACTTGAGCTTGGCGACGATCTCGGCTGTGGCAACGCATGCAACAAGATGTGTAGTTAGTCCTAGTAGCAAATGCCGACTGTGTTTGACGTACCGCATTCGTAGGGCGAGTCTGCAGTGTAGTCTGTGATGATCTCCTCGATGCTGTCTTTAAAGTAGATCTGGAATTCGGATGGATCTTGGTTGAAGCGAACCCACACCACACCAGACATCGGTCTCTCCGCCTACACAACAATGAATAGAGTAAGATGCCAGCACACACGCACAGCAACCGCAATAATTCAGCACGTACAATCTTTGTGGACTTGCTCGATGTGATGACGCGCTCTCCCACTTTGCGGTTGTAGATCTTGTTGAGATCGATACCCAGCATACGCTGCTGCTTCTTGCCGTATTTGTTCTTCTTGATAACGTGCCATTCCTTGAACATGGCTGCTGTAACATCGTTGAACATAAACGTCTCGGGAGGAGGACGGGAACGACTGTCGACATTTGCGGTTTCCTCCACGGCGGACGGAGCTGGAGCGGAGATCTGGGGAGCATCGGCGAAGATTTCTGATCACATACACGCGTCTCTTTTTAGTCTTCACCACATAAACAAACAGCAAGTAACTTACTCGTGGCGAGTGTAACTTCGTGGAGATTAAGTGGGCGCAGCTTGGTGTGCATATCGATCTCATCGCTGGCAAGGTCCAATCGTTCGCGGTCTGCTTCGCTGATCTTAAGCACATAAAGCTCTTGGAAGAGCTGGAGTCGATGCTTTTTGTTGAGTGTAGGAAGCAAGTCTTGGCCCACGGTCGTGCCGTCAATTGCCACCACCGTGTAGTCGTCGCTCTTCGGCCTAGACACATATCATGATGTAAGTGAGATGAAAAATTTATCAGTACTAAGAATAATGATAGTTCGCACATAAATATCTTGAGGAAAGCCTTGTCGTTTGGCAGAGGGGCCTTGGTAGCCGCAGCGCTGGGCTTTGCAGCTGCGGCAGGTGCAGCAACATCTACACAGCACAGTGGTGGTGAACAATCGACAAGGAGACATTTGGACACAAGGTTGACTGTACCGGCAGGAGCGTCGCCCGAAGGCGGACACGCGTCAGGACGCTCGCACAAGCAGTACTCGTGGCCTCCAGCATCACCGAAGTTCTTAATCTTCCTCGATCGATCCAGCGCTGTCATCAAATGTATCATATTAGCACGAAACGACACAAACAATCGCAGTTATGTACACAAACCGGGAAAATCTTCATCTGGAATACCGTCGGAGTCATGCAGTCGAAGTTCATAGCACTCGGGGTGACCATAATACAGTGTTGGTTGACGAGCATCCACTTGATGCACACGCAATAGCTCTTGAATAGCCTCATCCACTGTTGATACGTCGTACAGCTACAAAATATGACAGAAGTCAACACCATCTCTCCACATTTTGCCCCAATCAGAACGTACATCGATCTTCATCTCGTCTCTTGTTGGCAAGTAGATCGTCAGGTGCAGCACAGCGCCTCCATCCGCCCCCATCATAGGCGGCCTTGCACCACCCCCAGCTGCTGGACCCTTGAGGGCTTTATCCAGCATTGAGGACTCGTGGAAAGAGATCGGTGGGACCTCCTCCTTCTCAAAGGTAAAACCATCGTCCAACTTCTTCTTGTCTGCTCCGGACTCCTTGTTCTCCTTGTCTTCATTCTTCACACTGGCAGCCGCGCTGCCCTTCTTTTCAGTACGTCCAGCCTGGGTAGAAGTGCGTCGTCTTGACACGTTGCTGGAAGTCACGCTCTTCTCTCTGCCCTCTCGTGTTTTGACTGTTGCGTCATCTCCCGCCATCCCATTGTTGGCTGTCGAAATACTGGAGCTGTTTCCCTTACGTAGACCCTTGGGTGACTTTTTGCCTCCCGTGGGGGACGACGAGGTGGATGCCAGAGGCTTGAAGGCAGTCATCTTATCAATCCACGAATTGCGCAGCTGCGACTCCATTTTGGGCGACGAATTGTAGATCCGATCCACCTCCGAGTCTTGTCGATCATGGAATGTCGGGCTGTTGCAGGCCGCTAGCCGCATGAGCCCCACCATGTGGTTGAGTTCGCTTAGCTCCGTGAACTGCATGGCGTCCGCAATGTTGGGAATGCAATAGCACAACCTCCTTTGAAGAAAATAAAACACCACTCTAATTACCAGGTGAGCAGATACTCAAACGTTCTATAAATTACATATCTATGTGATTTAATTTGCGCTAAATACACATGTGTGTAGCCACTGCAATCTGCTCGTCAAAGCGTCGAAGAGAACCAGGCAATCGTCTCACTTCAGCATGTCGTCGACGGGCGCTGCGGCGTCTGGTGGGGCGGACGACGCGCTCTTCCCTCCGTCCAAGGCTGTGATCCTCATTGGCGGACCCAACCAGCAAGGTAACCATTTCCGCCCGCTCTCTTTGGACTTGCCCAAGCCGCTGTTCCAATTGGCGGGCCGTGAGATGCTCTACTTCCATGTCGAGGCCTGTGCGCGTGTGCCCAACCTTAAGGAGATTCTAATGATCGGATCGTACGACGAGGGCCTCTTCTCTCGCTTCTTCGACTCAGTTTGGCGCCGCTTTAACGTGCAGATCCGCTACCTACGTGAGGAGAAGGCGCTGGGCACGGCTGGCGGCATCCGCTTCTTCCGCGACGAGATTATGGATGGAGATCCTTCCCATCTCTTTGTGCTACACTGCGACGTGTGCTGTTCCTTCCCACTTAACGAGATGATGCACTTCCACTTAAAGCACAAGGGATCTTGCACGGTGCTGGGCAAGCGTGTATTCCACGATGAGGCCAAGAAATACGGCTGTCTGGTGGCAGACCCCATAAGTAAAGAGATTCTCCACTGGGCAGAGAAACCCGAGACCTTTGTGAGCGACATCATTAACTGTGGCGTTTACCTATTCGATGTGTCGCTCATGGACACGATCGTCAGTGTAGGAGACAAGCTCAGTCGACAGAGATTGCGCAGCGAGTCCAACTCAGAAGCCAACACACAGCACGACCTCAAGAAGCTCTTCCCTGAGTTTAGCAACCTCGACAATCTCCGGTTCGTAGGTGCTCTATGCTTTTATCGTGCTTTAGGCTAACTGTGATTTTTGTAGACTAGAGCAAGATGTGTTGCTGCCGCTGGCTGATCAACACTCCCTTTATCTGTTCGAACTTGGCGACTTCTGGTGCCAGATCAAGACTCCGGGCATGGCTATCACGTGCTCAGAGCTGTACATGCAGCGTTTCCGCTTCACAAACCCCAGCGCTCTAAGCACAACGGGAGGGAAACTGTCCCCAATTATTGAAGGCAACGTGGTGGTGGACTCGTCGGCCATCGTGCATCCCACGGCCAAGTTGGGACCGAACGTGACAATTGCAGCAGGTGTGACCATTGGCCCTGGAGTACGAGTTGCCCACTCGATCATTCTCGAGGGTGTGACCATCAAGGATCACGCCTGCGTGCTCTTTTCCGTCATTGGCTGGAACTCGATCATCGGCCAATGGGCTCGTGTCGAAGGGCAGCCGCCTAATGCATCGCAGATCCAGGTGCATTCAGCAGAGACCGCGCTGGTTCGCGATGTCACAATTTTCGGTGTGTCTGTTGTGGCCAACCCAGAGGTGATTATCCGCAACTGTATCGTGCTGCCACACAAGACTCTCACACAGAGCTACCACGATGAAATCCTATTGTAAAGAGCTTGTTGTTGGCTTCGCTCGTGGCTCCTAGTCAATCGGTTATAAACCACCAAAATAACATGGGAAAATAATCAATAGGTGTAGTTTCACATTTGAAATGTGGCGTCAAAGTGTCCCATCATCAGGTGCACCAGTTGAGTCATTTTGAAAAGTTGCAACACGCATGCACATAAACGTTTTTAACTGCTTTTAAAGCGAAGTACCAATCCTGCAGCTATTACACATTCTTCTGTTGTGGCCAACCTGCTCACAACCTCCACCCCGATACGTCAACTCAGCACCATCTTCTCTATTACTGCCGATTCGTTTTCTCCGCGTAAATTTGACAAGAGTACATGTAGTAAGGAATCAATCTTAATTGACAAGATTACATGTACATAGAATTAAGCGGAGTTTTACCGAATGCTTCCTCTGTCCGGAAATAAAGGGCCAGTTCGCACTGAAGTACGTCCCGAAATATAAGACGGTCTTATATTTCGGGACGTACTTAGGCCGTGTTCGAAAACGTATCGAAACGACGCGCTCGCGAACACGCCACCCTCGAAACGCAGTTTTGGTCGCAAAACGTCGTTTCGGACCCCATTTTCAAATTCATGCCCGGAGGTGAATTTTGTTTGGCCCGTATTTGGCTGGGGCCTAAAGCGACGCGTGTCCCCTCAGCACACTGACAAGATCCTGTTAGGCGCCAAAGTTTGCCATTTTTGCTTTGCGCGCACTGCAAAATCCTCCCCCTAACGACCCGAAGGTGTTCTCGATGAGCACACGAGACGATGCTGCTGCTGCCCAGCGTGCAACGTGGACTAGGGGCGAGGAGCTTGCACTGTTGGAGAGGTACTTTGAGGCACGAAAGGACCCGTCAAAGGCCACGGATAAAGGTGTCAAATCCAAGGCGTGAAAGGAGATCAAAACCACTTTGAGCACCAAGCTCAAGAAGACTGTGGACAAAGGTAACGGAAGCTTTTTAGCTAAGGTACTGCGTTTCTAATGTTCGTTCAGCAGGGCAATACAAGTCCAAGGTGCAGCGTCTGATGCAAGACTACGATTTATTCAAGGAGATTACGTCGCTGAGTCGATGCGGTACCTGCCCTCAAACGGGGAAACCTCTTCTTGATGACGACGTCTGGAATAAACTGATCGACGCCAAACCAACCAAGCTGCGAGGTCGCATCAAGGAGATGCGTAAGAACGGCTTTGAACACGCGACCATCTGCAGTCTAATTGCAGGTAAGCGATGCATTATTTTCTCTGAAATTAAACTAAACTCGTCTGTGCAGGTGATTTAAGAGCGACAGGTGCGGATGCGGAAAGCGTTCAGAGCCTGCTTGGCCTGCTGGAAGACGCCACGGAAAAAGAAGAGTCTGCATTACCGCAGCCCAATGGGACTTTACTTCCCAACAGTGGCGAGCAAAGCTCTGTGACCGACCCCGCTGCCGCGCAAGACCTCCACCCAAGTCACGAGCGTCGTGTCCAGACCGTAAAGCGTGTCCGTGATGGAGCTTCAAAGACGCGCCGCAACAAAAAACGAAGGCAGTCACCTTCTGGAGACTTCAATGAGGAACTTGGTGCGCTGTTAAAGACTTTTACCGTCTACATCAAATACAAAATGCGCCAAGAAATGGGTGACCAAGCCCCACAGTCCGACTCCGCAGCTTTTGCTGCATCGCCTTCGTCGGACGACTGAGCTCGAGATGGCGTATGATGACACGGGCTAATAACAGGCCAAGGTAATGTGCACGGGTGACCAACATGATAGTTTCATTTTCATCGTTCTCTTCAGGGACTTTAGTAACGTAAAGATGATTTTTTCATGATATTACTCGCTTACAGAACCACTTTCACTGCTGGAACTGCCTACTTGTCAGAATCACTCGTACCACTTGAAATTTCATCTTCGGGTATGTCGCTGTCATCTTCATTACCCGAGAATTCTTGATACTCCTCCCACATTGTGCCTGCCATCCACGATCGCCAATTGTCAGAAGTGTCGAAGTCATACGGAATCGGATCAAAAGTTTCATTTACAGCACGGTGACGACGCGTATCTCGACGACAAGAGGCGAGATCGGACCCAAGGTCCGATGCATCATACTCACGGATAAAGTTGTGCGTTAAAACACAAGCGTAAATGACAGATTTTATCGTCTTCATTTCGTAATCCATACATGTGCGGAGGACCTTAAAGCGACGCTTTGAAACTCCAATGGTACGCTCAATAACATTGCGAGCCTTCGCATGTCGTAGGTTAAAAAGTTCTTTTGGGTTGCGTGGGCGACCAGCATCACTAGTCGCCCACTCCTTCAGGTGGTATCTTACCCTTCGAAAGGGAGTTAACACCTGTTTACTTAGGCCATATCCAGCATCTCCTAGAGCGTAAAAGTGTTCTGGTAATTGGTCGAGCAGAGAACTCCATCGTAGTACAGTCGCATCATGCGCACTTCCCTCGGCTCCCGCATAAGCAAAACAAATTTTCATACTCCAGCTACAAAACAGTATCACATTGGTCGTGACAAAACCCTTGTGGTTTCTAAAGCGAGCTGTATCCTCAGTGCTCACAACCACTTGAAAGTGCGTTCCATCAATTGCCCCCAAGGCCTGGTGATAATAGGGGTGCTTCAACAAGAAAAACGATGGAACCTGCTTAGGTATCTCCATCGAGCTGTTTATCGCACGCAAAATCGCTCGAGTACCTCGGATTCTATACTTGTGAATCGTAGAAAACGTTAGATCAAATAGCACCTCTTGCATGCGGCATGTAGATGCCGTTCCAATCCAGTGGAGAGCCACCGCCAGTACCTCACGTTAGTTGCGGACGGTGTCAACGATGAACGGTTGGCAGAGCTCGAACAATGCGTCAAATGCGGCCACGTCCATCCTGAAGTGATCCCGAAACAGGAAGGAATTTCTCGATGAGTGAATGGCGTCAAAGAACCGCTGTCCGTCTGCCGTCATCAGACCTAGTACGCGCACCATATTCTCGTGAGCAGCCCGCCTCGACAAGCGGTGGTTCTGCACCAGTCGAGCACACACAACAGCAACAAGCAACAGGAAGATTTCGTCCAGCATTCGTTGTGAAGAGGCAGTCCGTTTGTCCAGGTGTGGGTGGTCAGGGTAAACTCTGGCTGCGTGCGAACAAGAATTGAGCGAAACGATGTTTCACATCGCTGGCCAAATCATCGTCAAAAATAGATTACAACTCTGAAACGCAGTTTTAGTAAAACGTCGTTTGCCGCGAACACGGCCTTAAGTGCGAACTGGCCCTTTATTTCATCGAACAGATTTTAAAGTAAATCAGGTGGTCTTATTAAGACCACCTGATCTACTTTAAAATCTGTTCGATTGTGGAATAGACCCATCGGTAATCTATCTGTCATTTATTCATTTTTTATCCAGATACTCGTTATTCCAAGCCTTGAGTTATTCCAGAAACTAAAGTTCTCTATTAGAGAACTTTAAATGACTGCCCAGGTCATATTTTAACAATAAAAAGCTACTGTGCTTTGCAATTATTAAAACATTTTTTAGCCTCTAAAAATAGCAGCTTGTCACCGTAAATGTGTGTAAAAAAGAGTCTTTCCCTAATTTTTAGCTAGATGTCTGTCTAAATCCACCTGCATATATTAGAGAACTTTACTTTCTGGAATAACGCAAGGCTTGAAATAGCGATTATCTGGATAAAATCTGAATAAATGACGGATAGATTACCGGTCGATATTTCAATAATTTATTCCAGTGGAATAACGCGACCCTTGCTATTCCACTGGAATATATTTCCCAACGAAGAAAATTCGTATTCCAGAGCTTGCGTTTTTTCCATAAACAAAAGTTCTCTATTGTAATCGATGTGGCCACGAGGCTACACCAGCAAACAGTGCCTTATGTTTGAAATGGTAAATCCTCCCAATTGGATTGTGCAGCTACGGGCGCAGTTGAGCCAGAATTGCAGATTCAAAAGTGCAATTAGCTGCATTACTGTAAATCAGCGTGGATCACGGTTTTATGAGCTCGCGTTATCGTAAATCCACCACCTGCTACTTATATATCCAGCAAATCCAATCTCGTTTTGCCAAAATTGCCGCAAAGCACAATAAGGTTAATTGTGCTACTAGTGTTGGGCACCTGAACTCTAACAACCATTCCCAGCGGAGATGTGTTATCACGCCGAGTCCGCTGTCACTACGCACATCGCTACTATCACACCATACCATCATGATTTTCCTGAAATCTTGTCTTCCACATTCCGACATTTCCAGTTACCGATTTGTCAAAGCGCTCCGTAATGGGTGGTAAACTTCCACGGCGATGCCCACGTACATGGCGCTTCTCCTACCATGGTGAAGCTCGCTAACCAGTCCACAGCCTTATTATCTGCTCTGAAATTATGAATCCAATTTTCCACGGAGCATCGGTCTGACATTTTGCGCACTAGCCAAAGCCAATGCTGCAATTTTAGGACTTCGGTGGACGCCTTCTCTTTAGTAACCCCAAAATCATTGCACTGTTGTTAACTACGCGTATGTGCGTCCATCCACCCGCTTGAGTAGACGGTGAAGTCCAATGAATTCGGCGACATTGTTGACCATGTCTGGATTTCCAAGAGCTATAGTCGCGATCCACACCACTGTCTGCGCTGCCGTAACCGAATCCACTTCCCGAATTACACTTCCAGTTACACCGGATCCAAGGTTGCCCCCTGGATCGACCATGAAGAACCCGACTACCTGCCTCCACATATCCTCAGAGACTAAGGGGGTTGAGCAGTCCGTAGACCACTTTGCAATAACCTGATCGATGATATCCACTTAGCAATTTTAATCACTAGTCAGCGGGAGTAGCCCTTCCCAACACCTTCGGAAGGTGTCGATGACTACCCCCGTCGTGGTGTTCAGCATCGCCGCTTCCGTTGGTCGTGAGCCCATCTCCGCATTTAGAGCTCTAAACAGCAGGCTCCCAATTCTGCGTCGAGAATTGGAGAGTCATTCAGAGGAAATCGATGGTACGGTAATTAAAGCATGCATTGTGTTTTATAACTATTCCATTCTTCTAGACAGTAGTGACTTAGACCCTCTCAATGCGATCGTAACAACAAATGAGGAGA